GGTTATCTAGGAAGGTTATCTAGGATATCTCAGGTTATCTAGGAAGGCTTTCCAGGAAGGAACGGGCCTCAGCAGCAAGAAACAGAGCTGCCCACAGGCTGTTGAAGGAGAAACAGGAGTGCATAACTTGCATGGAAACAATGTCAATGGGAAGTCCCAGCCGTGAGGGGCGTCTCAGAAAACCCCACAGACTAAGGCCTGTGACAGGAGAGAATGCAAAACATCACCCCGCCTAGGAGCACAGATGCCAGTACACAGTAGACATCAAAAATTTCAGAGCCCCTCACCCACCTCCTACTTGTCCAAGCCTGTAGGGGTCAGAAGCTGTAGAATATGGGGGAATAGAAATAAAGTGAAGAAAGACAAAGAGGCACTTGGCACTTTCCTTCAGGTGGGCTTCCTGTTTGTAGCAGGTCTGAGCTGGGGATAAGAAAAAAGCCTTTAAGTTCAAAGTTGATTATTAAATGGGCCTAGATGTTTTAATTGTGGAGTTGAAACCATTTTGTAATTTATCGTGATTTTATAAGTCCTTTTATTATCTCTAGGGCCAGAGAAGTCAGGAGCCCTCCCAAAACAAATCATTTGGGAGGAGAGAAGTAGCCTCACTGAATACTTTAAAGTGGGAGACAAAAATAAAATTGCTTTATGATAAAATCCATCAGTGCTGTTTGTTCAAAGTAGTGGTTACATCAGGGTATAAAATGTGTGAGTGTTTCCCAGGAAGAAGTAAGAGCAGGGTTTTGGTCACCAACTTGGTAACTCTGTAGGTTGAGCTCTGCTTCTGAAATGTGAACTTACGTATTCCTTGGACCCTCAGTCAGAACTGCCACTCTAACATCCAATGTCAACTGTAATCCTTACTGTTTCCACTTTCCCATCACTTACAATATTTGACCACTTGTACCCACTGATTTCCCTTCTTAGAAAAATTGAATTAGCATCCCTGATTAGGCTTATGTGTTTTTTACAGTGAAGCTGCACATGAACAGAATTCCTACAGAATGAGTGTTCTGGTCTTCATAGATTTTAATGAAATCTTACATTACGTTTAGTTTATAGAAGCAGACCTAAGGCAGAAACTGGAGCATGCCAAAGAAATTACCGAAGAAGCAAAAGGAACCTTGAAAGATTTCACTGCTCAGAGTACACAGGTGGAGAAATTTATTAGTGACATAACGAGCTGGCTGACAAAAGTAGAAGAATCATTGAAGAATTGTGCCCAGACTGAGACATGGGAAGGGCTGAAAAAAGTAAAGGTAGGTATTCACCTATCATTAAACTTGTATACTTCCAATGGTAATATTGGTTTCCTGTTTTGTGGTGACTAGAATAAAAATATAACTTTTGCTCTCAATTACCTATATTAACACCAGGCCAACTAATTCATGATATTGGACATAGCAGAGTAAGTTGTAGTTGGAGGAATGAATTCGGGTGGTAGGAAGTTGAAGACAAATATTCTAAAAATAGAAAGCATGCATTACTGTAGGACCTGCTCATAAGCTATGCTTGTTAATATATTTTTTAGTAAATGGGTAGAGCCTATAGAAGACCTGTTTGAATTTCCATGAATTTTCAAATTTGAATGCCAAATAGTTTTTCAATTCTTAATTATTTTTATTGGTTGGTATAACTGCTTTTATCTAGGGAAGAATATATTTTAAAAAATAGTTGAGAGACAACATTCTACTTGCATGTCATCTATCCATAGAGATAATGTTCCTGATAAGCTGTCTGTAAAGCTTGTGAGTTGACTGTTTAACATATGTCTGTTCTCTTTAGCATATTTTCTTACTGTACTTAAGACGAAGGACATATATTTTAAAAATATAATGCTTTTGGTGTGGCCTGTGACCCTGAAACAAAGCCCTATGAGCCCATCAAAGAATGTGAACTTAGGTGGTGACTCTATTAATAGTTTCTAGTCAGCCGACTAAACCCAAGATCATGGGCTGGAATCCCTGAGAAACCTACTCAATTTGCTTGGAATCCTAGACTGTAACCCAAATCCTAGTACCTTTCAACAGCTATTTGCAGTTGGTCCCAATGAGAACTGGGCAAAATTCTGCAAGAGTCAGCAGATCTATTACAAACACTAAAAAAAAAAAAAAAAAAATATCCCACAACAGTGCATACATTACCTAGTGGATTTCAACAGCATCAGTTTCTGAAAAGTACCATAGTGGAGTATGCTATTTCCCTTTAATGTGATGAATATCCTTCATGGCATTCTTTCATTCTGTAGGAAATACAAAAGGAACTTCAAAGTCAGCAAAGCAACATCAGCTCCACCCAAGAAAATCTCAACAGTCTGTGCCGCAAGTACCATTCTGTTGAGTTGGAAGGCCTGGGCAGTGCTCTGACGGGGCTCATAAAGAACCATGAAGCTGTGACCCAGTTGTGCTCCAAAACACAGGCCAGCCTTCAGGATTCTCTGGAGAAGCACTTCAATGGTGAGCTCTGGCAGGGCTTAGCATGAATCGGTTGTTTACCAGAAAGAATCCAAACCAAAGGCTGCCTAGAAACTGCCAGCAATAGTTGGAGAAAACCTTCCAGAAGAAGATCATTTTAAATCCATTTGTGTGTCGAGATTTGAGCAGTGGAAGTGCTGTGCCTGGGCTCTTGCCATAAGCTGAGTTCTTCCTCTTTCTGCCCAAGAAAGTAGGAATCCACCATTTTGAGGATTCCAAATTTCATCTGGGTTTGCTACATGTAGCTCATTTGTGTGGAAAATTACTTCCATGGCTATGATGAAGTAACACAGTAAACTTGGAAATTAGGAGAGGCCATGAAACAGTAGCAGCTATATAGTTCAGGAAATCGCCAGTCATATGTCCCCAACTCTGCTTCCCACACAGCAGTGCCTCTGCCCTGATGACGATGCGGAATGACTCGCTAAGTCAGCTTGGCGGAAAGAGAAGATGGCTCCTTCCTTTGCCATAAAAATGGCTAGAGCCTTTCTCCCTTCGCTGTCTTCCATATTCAGACAATTATCTTTCTTTACCAAGAGAAAGAAAGATGGTGGGAAATCAGATATTTCAGGAATACAAATTTCTTTTCAGTCTTTTCCCTGCAATAATTTCTCAGTCCTGCCATGAACAGTCATGCTGTAGTATATTCTATATTATTTTATTTCTGAAATATTTTGTAAGGCAAGATGCAGTGAGCTTAAAGCCAGAATGAATTCATTGTGGTAATCCTGGAGGCTCATTCAGTGTTTTGGATGTATTTCTCATTTTCATTACTTTCAAAAGAGTCTATGCAGGAATTCCAAGAGTGGTTTTCTGGGATAAAGGCAGCAGCAAAAGAATCATCTGATCGAACTGGTGACAGCAAAGTTCTAGAGGCAAAGCTCCATGATCTTCAGGTATGAAAGCTGACAATGCTTCTTCTTCTCCTACCAGCTGCCCTCCTGTGCCTTGAGGTCAGACCTAAATCATCTCTTTCCACAGATCTTCTTATTTTATTCAAACTTTTCTTCTTCTCTAACAGATTAGATTTCTTGAGTCATAAGGAGATAGACAATATGGAAAAGTAAGCTGAGAAAATAAATCAGAGCTACAGAATTTCTAGATTCTCTTCTTCTCTCTTTTAGCCTATTGACCATTCTTTGGAATTCATTCAAAACTAAACCTAGTTTTAATTTTTCTAGTAGTAAAAACATAATTCCATCTATTTCATATCACTATTGTGGAGGAGGTTTTTTATTTTGTTTTGTTTTTAAGATTTTTATTTATTTATTTGAGAGAGTGAGAAAGAGAGCCTGAGCAGGGGAAGAGTAGAGGGAGATGGAGAAGCAGACTCCCTGCTGAGCAGAGAGCTGGGCGCAGGGCTGGATCCCAGGACCCCGGGATCATGACCCGAGCTGAAATCAGACACAACCGACTCAGCCACCCTGGTGCCTCATATCGTGGAAGAGTTTTAAAAAGAAGACATGACTTGTGTTTTTTAATAACCTGCAGTGGAAATTTGGAGCTAGGGCCTATGGAAAGCAGTAGATAATACAGGTTTTACAGGTTTTATGGACTATGAAAAATATATGAATTCAGGAATGAAAAAGCCATTGTGAAGTAGAGTTCAGAAGTGATTGACAAGATTTTCAGGTAGCTCATCTGAACAAAGCACTGAGTTAAGTATTATTTAAAAACTTTTTTTAGGGACGCCTGGGTGGCTCGGTTGGTTAAGCAACTGCCTTTGCTCAGGGTCATGATCCTGGAGTCCTGGAATCGAGTCCCACATCAGGCTCCTTGCTCAGGAGGGAGCCTGCTTCTCCCTCTGCCTGACAAATAAATAAATAAAATCTTAAAAAATAAAATAAGATAAAATAAAATAAGTAAAAATAGTTTTTTAAATGAATGTGGAACATGAGGATTTTTGTAGCCTAATCAGTGAGGACAGTTATGTAGATTACTCATGAAAAGTCAGAGTAGGAAGATCATTATGATAAAGGAAGTTGGTTTTCCAGGAAGCATGGTGAATTTAAATGTGGAATTGTCCCCTTTAATCTTGAGATGCAGTGGAACTAACTCCACAAAGAAAAGTCTGAGTAACCATCGCAGACGCCACCCTGGAGCTCAGAGGAGAAGCAGGGCTAGCTCCGCAGTTCTGCGGTTCTTTTTCTCTGCTGAAACCGCTCATGACTGTGATCTTTCAAGGAAGAGGTGCACACCAAGAAAAGAAGGGACCTGAAGAGAGGACTTTGTGTGCAGGGGGGATCAGAGGAGGGGGAGGGGTGCAGGCAGCTAACCAGTTAGAGGGCATCACAGGAACGTGTGAAGAAGTAGAGCCTGGGCTGGGCTGGGCTGGGACAATGAGAATGGGGAGAGAACACCCTCTTTACAGGCTGGCCCTGTTCACAGTTTAGTCCTCAGTGGTTCCACTGACTGGCTGGCACCATCCTCGATTGTGAGCCTTGAGTCTGTCTAGTTGTACATTCTCATTCTGGTCTTATTAAAGGCTTTCTGCCTTTGAGCTCTGGGTTCTGTTTTTCTTCTTTTGCTCTACTATCTCAACTTAGAATTCTAATCCGTGCTCCCGTGCTCTAGGGCCCCTGAATAATAGCAAATATTTTATATTACCTTTATTTCTCGAAACAGAACATTCTGGACTCCATCAGTGATGGGCAGAGCAAGCTTGATGCTGTGACTCAAGAAGGACAAATTTTATATGCACATGTGTCTAAACAAATTGTCAGCAGCATTCAGGAACAAATTACAAAGGCTAATGAAGAATTTCAAGCATTTCTGAAACAATGCCTTAAAGACAAGCAGGCTCTTCAAGACTGTGCTTTAGAACTTGGAAGGTAGGGTTGTTTTGATAAGCGTGGACTTCATCACACAGTCTCAAAGACTTTGAGAAAAGAGCCACTGTGAATAAACAAATAATATTTGAAAGTACAGGTTCATACTTAAGTACAGGTTCATACTAGGACAAGAATTAATTGCTTGGACTCTGATGGGACTGTTTGGCTTTATTTTCTATATAGAAAAAGTAAGGAATTATATTCGGTAGTTATTATCAATGGCATACATGCATGTATTTTTGTCTATTTGATTAACTAAAATCTGAGAGCTTTGACACCCAGGTTTTAGATTATCCATATCTTTTCTTTGCTTCCACTTCTGTTGGGTTGGAGTGATGGCAAAAAACACTTGCCAAATTTCTGTGAATGAAGATTCCAATGAGGAAGCTATGTCAACAGGGGTGAATATAAAATTAGAAGGAAAAAAAGCAGGGGGAAAAAGATGTCATATAATCAAAATGCCTTTCTGGTCACAGAGTAATTTGCTTTACTCTTGTACAGGTTTCTTAGAGAACTTAATGTTGTTTTCAAAACTTAGAGTCCTTGTGCTCTTGTGCCATATTCAAATCTCTGTAAGATACAAAGACTCAGAGATGACTTTCCCTTCCTTTCCTGGGCTTCCACTGCCCTACTTAATCCATCCGCTCCAATTCAGAGTCCCTGTAGTAAGACACAAGTTAAGTGTACGTTGACGTGGGAATGTAATCTTGCTGATAATTACCAGCTGATTATCAGGAAATCATTTCAGCAAGATAGGATCTCAAGAGAAATTTCCATGATTTTTCATTTTGTTACTGAAATAAGTGATAATTTGGATGGACTTATTGTTGGGTTTTCTTCCATACTTGGAAATTCATGAGATTTTAATTGCCATAGACATTGTGACCTCAGATATTATAATTTATTTATTGTAATAAGTGCAGAAGAATTTCTACAAAGTATTTTCTTTTCTGTAGCTTTGAGGATCAGCATAGAAAACTGAACTTATGGATCCATGAAATGGATGAAAGGTTAAGTACAGAAAACTTAGGAGAGAGTAAACGGCACATTCCTGAGAAGAAGAATGAAGTCCATAAAGTTGAAATGTTTCTAGGAGAACTATTGGCTGCAAGGTATGGCGCTAAAATGGAATAGGTCCTTTCCCGACTAACAAGTGTTGTTTGTCTGGTTGGTTGGTTATTTGGTTTGGTTGTTAATTGGTTGGTTGGTTGGTTGGTTGGTTGGTTGGTTGGTTAATTAGTGGTGGTTGTATATGTTTCTGTCCCTAAATGTCTAGAATACAGATGATTGTGCAGTGCTCTCTATGGCAGGGTGGTATTCTAGAGAGAACATAGGGATGGAAATGAGGAGCTATCTGCATCCACCTCCCTTTGCTCAACAAATTGGATAGGCCACTCATTTCCTGTATTTCTTGATATTAGCCTGTAAGCATTATGCTGCTAAATAATACCATACTTTCTTCTCAGAGATTATTAGAAGGATAGAAGGTCCTTATAAAGGTACTCTTCACTTACAGAAATAATGCTATAGAACCCATTTCCATATATTCTTCACACACTTCAGCATCTAGTTCCATTTCCAATCCACCCCAATCCTCACAATATTCTTAGTAAAGCAAAAGGTATGGTCATTAAGTCTGACTTCCTGGAGGTTCCTCTTCTCCACTACAGTATTTGTCTCTTCGTTGTTTCCCGACTGAGCAAACATTTCTGGCTCCTGGCCCAGGCAAAGTTCTCTGGACTGTGCTTTTAACTCCACCAGCTTCAGGGCTTTGCTCCCTAAATTCATAATCCAACTGGCATTATCAATCGCTTTGTTGACAGAGTACAGCTTGACCCAAACTTCTGATCTATCCTCTTAAAGAGCAGATATACCTGTCTGTGAAGCAGCAGAAGCCAGCACCTAGCCTGCTTGATCAGACAAATCAGGAACACTGATCAATTCAAGTCTAATTCTGATCATATTCATTCCTTGTTTCTGCTGAGTCTTCTTTTGGGTCAAATATGCCTAGTAGTCCTTGCCTTAAAAAACAAACATGTAAACAAATACACAAACATGACCCATAATGACAGTTCTTATTGGTGTGCAAGTTTGATGACTATTATTCCCTGGAATGCTTCAGTCCCATCTCTGTGAGCTCTTCCCTTGGGGTGAACTCTTGTTGACTCTATACATGCCAACCCTGGACAGGGAGTTTCTCAAGGCCAGGGATCTTTAGGTCTTTATCATTGTTATAGTCACAATGTCTGATATAGTGCCAGAAAAAGAAAATATTTGCTGAATTAATGGGATAACAGTATCATTTTAACTTTTTGAAAATTATACTGCATTTTATTTGCTTTTTAAATCAGGTCTAGATACAATGTAACATGGTCAGACCTATTTCTCTCTTTATTCCAAACTTCTAAAATGACTTTAGATATTCTTCTTGAGCTGTAACTCTCTGATATTCCAGGATCAGATGCTAAGAGTCCTTAAGTATGCTTGCTGCTAGGCTCTGTGTAATTGGTTATTTCTCCAGACAATCTTAATGTACTCTGCTGCTCACCCTGCTTCTCCAGCTGAGTCACCTGACTTCTCACTTGCTGGCCACTTGATCCTCCTAGCACTCTGGACTTTCATCATAATATTTCAAGTACTCAACTATCTTGGGGGGATGCCCTTTTTTTAAAGTACCCCAGATTTGAGAATTATTGAACTTTTATCACCCATTAAGCAATTCTTTTTTTGTAGCAAGTGATATACATTGTCCTGAATTACTTAACTCATATAGTTGCTTAAGCCAACTTCTTGTCTTACCAGATTATAAGAAATGTAATTTAGAGTGGATGCAATATCATATAAATAATACATCTCCTAGAGGGCCACAGGATGCTATGTCTTTGGTAGCTGATCGGAAAAACACGACAGACCTTGTCGGAGATAAAGTTTGTATTCTTTTTCTAGTACTCACAAGAGTTCATGTTCACACATCTGCACTCTCCCTTCTGGTATCTTGGGGGAGTTCCTGACAGACAAGCTGATCAGAGTTCAGAACTCTTTAAAACAAGATGAAGCCAACCCAGCCACATATGACTACACTTTTCCTGCACCTAATTAACATAACTCCAAACTGAGATGAGCCAAGTACCCAAGATACAAAGAAACCCATCAGCACTCACATAATGGCCTTTTGATAGAAACTGTTTTGTTTTGTTTTGTTTTGTTTTTGCAGTTTATCTTCTGTGTTGGGTCCTGGGATATGAGAGGAATTCTAGAAGCCCCTGACTTCCAGAAGGTGAAAGCCTGTGGACTGAGACAGACAGGGTCTTTGAGGTGATAGAGCAAGACAGGGGCAGAGGGCACACAGGGGAGGAGCCCTGTACTCTCCTCCGTCTCGGGGACAGTGCCATGCTGCCTAGGGAGGTGATGCCTGCACTGGGCTTTGAAGGGCCAACTAGAAGAAAGCAGAGGAGAGTCAACGGGTTTTCACAAAGGAGGAATCCCATGTATACACCAAAAAGCAGAGGGTTTGGGGACATTTCAGGATTAGAGCATTTAGTCGGAACAGAGATGTTAGAGATGAGGCTGGAGAAGCAGTCCTGGGCCATTTTCTGAAGTGAATTCCTCATAATACAGGGGCCAGGATCTAGGCACAGCATAGACGGAGTGAAATTCCCTGATGTACATAGACTGCATCCAGAGAAGTCGTAGAGAATGCAGAGCCAGCCCTGTGAAAGTCCCTGGCATCTTCATTTCAAAGGCACGGCAGCTATGAGCTCTTGTCTGGTGACTTCTCCAGGATCAACAATCACCCGTCACTCTGCTATGCTCCAGAAAGTCAGAATTCAATTTTTTTTTCTGTTTTCTTTAGAGAATCTCTGGATAAGCTTTCCCAGAGAGGGCAGCTTCTCAGTGAAGAAGGCCACGGTGCTGGGAAAGAAGGACGCCTGTGCTCCCAGCTCCTCACGAACTACCAGAACTTACTCAGAATGACCAAAGAGAGACTGCGGAGCTGCCAGGTGGCCCTGCACGAGCATGAGGCCTTGGAGGAAGCCCTGCAGAGCATGTGGTCCTGGGTGAAAGGCATTCAAGACAGACTGACCGCTGCAGAGAGCACCGTTGGAAGCAAAGACACCTTGGAAAAGCGGCTGTTACAAATACAGGTAGGCAGAGCACCAGCCAGACACTGACAACTTGTGAAGATCAATTTGCTTAGATTCACAGATGTTTGAGTTGGGTCTCAATTGTTCTGTGAGCCTCTAAATGAAGATTTGAGGGCCCAATGGAGAAAAGATGATGTTGGCAAAAGGGATGTGGAGGAACCCTGTTTCTCCTTTGTAAAGAAACATTTTTGTTTCAATAGCTTTAAAATAATTTTTAATGTCACTTAGTAAGTATTTAGCAAAAGTTGTGGAATATTTCCTCTACCCCAAGCACTATGCAAGTTGTTAGGAAAACAGAGATGAAAGTTAGTGCTGGCTTTCTAAGTGTTTACAGTCCAGTGGGAGAGACTAACCTGTAAATTGTAACTTGCATTACCCCATGTAGTCAGGGGTCATGACTGAAGCAAACAAGGGTGTCCTGCAAACACAGGGAGGCCACCAGCCCAGACTGCAGTCAGTGAAGGGGACATGGGAGGATAGAAATTAGCCAGGCGGTGATGGTAGGGGACTGGTAGGTTTTTGACAAGTGTGCCTTCATTTTCAAAATAATTTATTTTTACTTTGAAACCAACATTCAATAAATGTACAGTTTCTAGGTTAGTGGCCCCGAGTTTCCCAAGAATTTAAATTGGAGTTAATAAAGTATCATATTGCAATAGGGTGCAACAGGTTTGTTGTGTTTTCATTTTGTTGTTGTTGTTGTTGTTGTGTTTTCATTTTAAAGTGAGTAAGGTAGGGGTGCCTGTGTGGCTCAATCAGTTAAAGTGTCTGCCTTCGGCTCAGGTCATGATCTCAGGGTCCTGGGATCAGGGTCCTGGGATCAAGCCCCATGTCGGACTCCCTGCTCAGCAGGGAGTCAGCATCTTCTCTCTCTCTGCCCCTCCCCCTCCACTCATGCTTGCTTGCTTGCTCTCTCTCTCAAAAAAATAAATAAAATCTTTAAAAAAATAAATAAAAATAAAGTGAGTAACATATTCCCTACCTTGATTCTCATGGGAAACATAATAGTTCCTAAAAATATGAGAAGGTTCTAATATTCCTACTGACCTGTATTCACTGTTCCTTCATAGGATATTCTCCTGATGAAAGGTGAAGGAGAAGTTAAGTTGAATATGGCCATTGGCAAAGGGGAACAGGCCTTGAGAAGTAGCAACAAACAAGGTCAGAAGGTGATTCAGACTCAGCTACAGACCCTTAAAGACGTGTGGGCTGACATCATGAGCTCCTCTGTCCGTGCTCAGAGGTACGGAGCCTATTTTCAGTGTTAATTTGCCTAAGTAAAACCCAGTGGCTTAGTAAAATGATGAAATAGTGCTGAAAGTATCCTGCGGTAGAGTTACCAAGCATATTATTTTAGCTAGTTGTATGCTTGCTTGTCTTTGCCCTGATTGTATTTTCTGTAATGGCAAAGACAGTTTTGTTTGTTTGCTTGTTTTGTGTATGTGTGTGTGGGTGTGTAATATTTTCATCTCCCATAATATTTCTCATGGCATCTTGTACACAGCATGGGCGCAGTAAGATACCTCCTTTCAGTTCATCAAAGCAAGTCTTTAATAACTCTTCCCTTTTTAGAGGAACATACAGGAAATTAATTTGTTAGCAACTATTGAACTTAAGTATGAATCTTTTTCTCAACCAGAAGTCATGTCACCCACAATGGGGCCGTGGAAATGTGTATAGGGTTTTTGATTGTCATAGTGATGGGTGCATCCCTGGCATTTAGTGACGTGGCCAGGAGAGTTTACATCCTGCAGTGCGTGGGGGCATTCTCACACAGCCAACAATCAGCCCACCCAGGATTTCCTAGGGTTCCTGTTGAGAAGCCCTGTACCAGCCGCTCATGAGTAATTAAAGATACTGAGTGTTACACCAGGTGGTGTTGTTGCTGTTACATTTATGAGTGGGAGATTTCCACCTTCCTCTCTTTTCTGAGTATCCACAAATAATCTGGCGGCTGGTTGGACAAATGACCTGCAGTCAGAATTATACTAAATTACCTTCCAGAAGCCATATTCTGAAAGCAATATATAGTGTTAGGTCACCTGAAGAAGTGTGTGCTTAATAATAAATAAATGAATAGCATAAGAAATAGATTTTGTTTCCTTTGAATATGGAACATAAGTGGTGACTCCCAAAGTCAGCAGGACTTTAAATCTCAGTAATAACTCATAATGGTCAGCAAAGAAAAAAAAAATCAGATCCCATGGTTCTGATAGAGTGGACCGCTGGAGCATGAACTAACCCTCCCAATCCTTGGCAACGGGCCAGCTCCAGAAGAGTGAATAACAATGTGGGTGAATAGTTTTCAGATGTTGGAATAAAACGTTAAATACAAGAAGCAGATTCAAATCCTCTATTCTTCCTTTTCAGCAAGAAATTAAATTTGACAACCACATGCTGAGCAGTAGCAGTGCTCCAATTATTGAGCTAAAATAACGAATCAAAACAATTTTTCCTCTCTAAGTGCTCAGAGGCTAGGGTAGTGTGCATTCTAAAACACTGACTCAGATTGTGTTACTAAGATACTGTGGGACTGTAGGATGATGCAGGGCCTGGGATTGCTTCTGGAGAGGCGAGATTGATTTGTACTTTCTGGAAAATTCTTTGACGAAAGAATAGCACTTTAAAGCACTTATGTTGAGGTTTCTTTTGATGCAAAAGGAACAATTTGAGGAGATGCTGTAAGTACATTTACCACAGATTTAACTCCAGGATCATAGGATTATATGCACGGGATGCTCGGAATGGTCACTGAGGATGAGTTTAGAATAGTTTTTAAAGATGCTAGTCTGGAGAGCCTTTTACATGACAATCTAGAGAGCTGTTTGCTTGACTATTACTTATATGACTTAATGTGACTATTGTTTCTTATATTATAAATACATTAAGCCTTTGTTCCTTCACACGTTCAACTCAGAAGCACTAAACACTGTGCATATATATCCTTAAAGTGAAAATCGATCTAATGATATTATTTACTTAGAAAGAATCCCTTAAATTTTGAATTCTAGTTAATAGTTATCAGCTGATTTGAATAAGGTAAACTGAGTCCAAGAAAAATAAGAATGATATCTATTAAATAAAATTTAATTGGTGCCCCAGTACTGATGTTTTAACAACAAAACTCATAACTTTGTCTGTTTATTTAGGTCAGTTAGCACTTGGAAGACAAACCTCTAGATGCCTATATGACTATAACATCTTACTTCAAATTCAACATAGATTTAGTTTCATTTGAAGAAACTGTTGTGGATCAGAGAGAGGTAGTGTTTCTCCCTGCACTTAAAAGCAATATTTTTATCACAGAATAGCATTCAAACAGCTTACATGGAGGCAATGTCCTCATACTTGGTTTCAGTCGAGATGTCAAGATAACTTATTTTTGTACTATGTCACATTAATTCTAGCACTTTGGAGTCTGTGATTAGCAAATGGAATGACTATCTAGAGTGGAAAAACCAGTTGGAGCAGTGGATGGAATCAGTGGATCAAAAAGTAGAGCATCCTTTGCAACTGCAGCCGGGTCTGAAGGAGAAGTTTTCCCTTCTGGACCACTTCCAGTCCATTTTATCTGAGGCAGAAGACCATGCCAGAGTCCTGCAGAGTCTCACCTCAAAATCCAGGGAGCTCTACCAGAAGACAGAGGATGAATCTTTCAAGGAAACAGCTCAAGAGGAACTGAAAACACAGTTTAATGATATAATCACCGTTTCCAAGGTTAGTGTTTTATATTGAAGAAAAAATCTTCAAGGTTCAGGTAAAGAATATACTACAGGCTCAGAGTGCCTGGGTGTCTCAGTCAGTTAAGCATCTGACTCTTGATTTTTGGCTCAGGTCATGATCTCAGGGTTGTGAGATGGAGCCCCATGTTGGGCTCTGCACTGAGTATGGAGCCTACTTAAGATTTTCTCTCTCCCTCTCTGTCTACCACTCCCTCTCTCTGGCTCTCTAATAAATAAAAAAGAATATACTGTGGGTTAAATTATAGGGGACCCAGCTGCTCTTAAAGTATTTGTACATTTAGTGAACAGTTATTACAAGAAGACCATACTCACCTATGGATGCCCATGAATCCTTTTTCTGTAGTCTTGGAATTATTTTTTATTCTTTGTTTTTTATCTTTCTCCATCTAGAATGTTGGCCAGTCCACTTCTTTTCTTTGTAAGATTGAGCCTCAAATGTCAGTATTTGTACTTCTTTTTCTTTTGTTGCTATTTGTATTTGTTGTATTAAATACAAGTCTATTTGCTTCCAGATTTCAATCATGTACAATGTATTTCATGCATTTCTCAGTGCGGTATAAACCGCCTTTTCCTATTCTTATTCTCCAGATATAGGCTCCTTTATGTAATATCAAAACTATTTTTAGTTCCCTCTCTGAATCTTTACTTTCCCCCATGATTTTTCTTTTGTGTATTTGTGACAATGTCTTTTTCTTGGTTTTCCTTTTAGGAACTCTCTTTGTGTTATTAATACTATAATTTTTAACTTATGTATTAGTTTATCTTAATTTTTATTTTGATAATTTTGACTCTAGAGTCAAAAAGACCTAAATTTGAATTCTGGCTTTGTCCCTCTTTTGTATGTCTGGCTTTGGGCATGTTACTTAACCTCTGTAACGTCTGTAAGTGCCCTTTCCTACAATATAGTGATAATAATAGTATCTACATCACAGGGATGTTGTGAGGAGTAAATGAGAAAATGCACTTAAAGTGCTGAGCAGAATACTGTACATAGTAATTACACTGTAATAATACAGTAATAACACACTGTATTGTTGCCTGAATAATAAGAATAGTTATTAAAATAATTATTATTAAGTGGATTATTCATGAGGGATGTTAGTAAACATTCATTCAGCATAGATTTCTGTTCTAACCTACACTAAAGTAAATTTAAAGGAAAATCATTGCTTCCTTATGTGCAGTCTAATTAAGATTTGATGTTTTCATGTTAAGATTTAAACAAAGTTCAATAATAGGAATGAAATCTTCTGAAATCATTAAGAGACCTGCTGTTTTGTCTGATTTCATATTCTCAGTAATGCCTGTTAAAGTGACCTTTTCTTTGCCTACCAGGAGAAGATGAGGAAAGTGGAAGAGATTGTGAAAGATCACCTCATGTATTTAGATGCAGTCCAGGAATTCACAGATTGGCTCCATTCAGCAAAAGAAGAACTCCACCGGTGGTCAGATATGTCTGGAGACTCATCAGCCACCCAGAAGAAATTGTCTAAAATCAAGGTCAGAAAGTGCACAGATATTATAACTTCATTGTTTCATTGGTTCTTGAGTATGACATACCTGTGATGAAGATTCTGTGGATAAGGTTGTTACTTAAAATGTTTCCTATTTTCTATTTGTTGATATTTATTACCTTGCACCTCACAAATTATAAACATAAGCAAGGGGAAGAAAGGAATTTAAACACTTGACATTTGTGAGCAAAATGCAACATTGTCTATGTATACTTCCACATGCAAATGTGCTTATGGCCATAGTCGGGGAGACTATGAAATATATGCTAGCTGGGTGGGCTGATGGAACCAGACACTATTTTCCAGCGCAGTGATAGAAAAGTTTATAACATAACTTAGTTAAACGTATTTGAGCAATAACTTGGAAATGTCATGCTAGATGTTTTATTCCGCTTTAATAGCCAACAGTTCAAGAACGTAATGGAAAGCAGTGCTTTAAAAGACATTAAAATTATCACCTAGTTTACTCCTCACAAGGGCAACTTAAAAAATAGAAATTCACATATCTGAGAGAGCTAGAACAAGTATATTTCTAGTTATTTGAATATTAAATTACAATAATTCCCCCCATGAAAATAAAGGATTTTAATCTAAAAATTAAGCAATGAAATTCTAAGTGATTTAGTAGTAGATGAGGAAATGTTGGGAATAAATAGTGTAATTGTGGTCAGGACTTTTAAGATTCATACCGTGTTCTGATCCCTGGACATCAGAATATAAAAGTCCTAAAAATACTAGTTGATGATAACAGTAATAACTACATTTACTTTTACATGCTTAGAAAGTATTATTTAAATCTTACAATGACCATGTAGGTTTTAAAAGAGGTAAAGCACCTTTTGAAGTTCTTATTATCTGTGTGATTCTTTAAAATACTCCTTTGATACATTTCTCACTAATATTTTATTCATCCATCCATTTATCCATTTATTCTGCCAGGGTTGTGCATTCCCTCAAGGAACCTGCAGTGAAGTTGGGAACAATGATGCACAAACTATGTTTATAAAATAATACATTAAATGTAATGACAGCTCACACTACTTTTAGAGCTTAGGCCCTAGAATCAGACCCTGATGCTGTATTCTTCCTCTACTGCTTTTCTAGCTGTGTTGGGCAAGTCACTTGATGTCCTCAAGCTTCAACCTCTTAATTGGTAAATTAATAACAATAGTACCTGCCTCACCAAGTGGTTTTGAGGACTAAATTAGGTCATGAACATAAAACATTTAGCATTACGCTTGACACATGGAATCCACTCAATAAGAAAATTCAATAGATTTGGAAAATGAATGATTTAATTGGCTATGGAATGACAGTGTGGGAAAAGTCAAGAGTGATGGTCTAGACTTAATGCTCTTTTTTTAAAACACTTTATAAAATACTTCCAAAAATATGGGAAATGTAGGAGAAGGAGGTTGCAGGAAGAAATTGGAATTTGGGAAGGAGAAAGTGAAGTCCAGGTCAGGCTTTACTGGAGGCTGGTGCGTGGGTGAGGAGGAGCCTTGGAGGAAGTAAATAAGTACCTCCTCTGTCTTTCAGTTGGTTCCTCACCACCCCCAAGAGTAACCACCAAGAATAGGCAACTTCGAAGCCAAATATGCATGTGTATGCATATGATATTTTTAGATAGTTAAATCCAAAACAAGGAAATATGTATACAAGTCATTTCAAAAAACTTTAAAATGATGACATTCTTGGGGTGCCTGGATGACTCAGTCGGTTAAGCATCTGACTCTTGGTTTCAGCTCAGGTCATGATCTCATTGGTCCTAGGATTGAGCCTCACATCAGGCTCTGTGCTCAGTGTGGGCTCTGCTGGAGATTCTCTCTGCTTCTCCCTCTGCCCCTCCAGTCCTCACTCCATGTGTGCGTACACACTCTTTCTCTCTCTCTCTCTCAAATAAATAAATAAAATCTTTTTTTAAAATGATGACATTCTTACTCAAAATCTGGATGAGTGGAATTAGTGGTTGCAAATATTGAAATGTCCCATTTTCATGCCAAAGAAAACTGAGATAATGCGTTAGAGACTATTTTGGGAAACTGTGTTTTGACTACTGATAGCCTCTTAACTCCAAATTTGAAATTAGTTGTAAAGGCAAATTATAAGTATTTAAATCCAATAATTAGACATAGTTTTTTTTAAAAAGCTATATATATTTTTTTCACCAAATAACTACTTACTATATACACTGATAAACATGGCAGGTTTTTAGAATCCTGCTGCTGAGGAAAGGATGTGTGTGTGTATATTAAATGCTAACTCTGTGTAAGATTCATGTGATTGCCCCTTGGACTACGATATAACTAAATACTTTTAAATGATCTATACTAAAATGTGGCTCTTGTATATAATTATGAGAAGCTATATTTATTTCAAGCAAATCTAGTGAAATATGAACTATATTTGTAGGTTAATTAAGACAGATTATGTTTAACACAATATGCTTCATACTTAACATTCCTATTTTTGTAACTCGTTAATTTGTAACTGATTTTCATCTTGAAATTTTTCCCTAATAATCATCTTTTCCTCCTGTTCAATCCAGAACAGAAGTCATAATTTTTATTAATACTAACAAAATCCTAACTTGAGCAATAGATATGTAAATGATTGAACACCAGATGATGAATTCAGTGAGAGAAGTTTCAGTAGAAGGATCTGTTATCAGAAAGAAATGCCACTATTTTACCTGATTTGTAATGCATATTTGAATTTTATCTTATCCTTTAGAGTATTTGTGTGCTTTGAGGCCAAAAATTATACCTAAATTGTTAAATTTCTGGTGAGTTTCTTAAAAGTGAAAATAATAGCAATAAGTAAACCCAGTCTAAAAGTTACTTTGAACTTTTGACTAAGTAGGTCTGTGGTTTATTCATTTTAGTTACTCTAAAAGTGTTTATTTAAGGTACTGAAGTGTTTGAAATTGAGTAGGGCTCATTCTTTGGTTGTGATGGCTCGGCCTGATTCCTCGTAGCATGAAACCGACTTGAGCCACCATCTTCTGGAAGAAAATGAAACGGAGCACAGACGCTGAGCAGAGCACAGTTCTGCCGCAGTCCTTGGTCACTCGTCTGTCAACTTAGGGAGAAACATAGATTTGCATAATTATAGGAGAAACACACCACAGGCAAATGTTTATAGCACTATCAAAACAATTTCACACATTCAAACAATGCCTGGTTTCAGGTCCCCGTCTAGTCTGTTCCAGGAGGTGGCGGGATTCCGCAGCTCATTTTGCCGCAAACCTCAGCGCTCACGATGATAACCCTCTGCTCTTCCCACTCAGGGGTGGGTGGATGAGTTGATTCCGGTCCTTGTGGCACACTTGCCAAAACTTCCTCGCAGGACAGGGTCCCCCTCTGCACACATTTGTAAACTTGCAGCCCAAGTGACTCACAGCCTCCTTGGTTGTCATGACGATATTCCATTACAGGAGCTGATGGATTCCAGAGAGATTGGGGCAAGCCGCAGAGGCAGAGTGGAGTCGCTGGCTCCAGCAGTGAAACAGAACACAAGTGCCAGTGGGTGTGAGCTCGTGGACGCGGAGATGCAGGCCCTGCGAGCTGACTGGAAGCAGTGGGAAGACAGTGTACTCCAAACGCAGACCAGCTTGGAGAATCTGGTTAGCCAAATGGCCCTTTCGGAGCAGGAGTTCTCGGGCCAGGTGGCTCATCTGGAGCAGGCACTGGATCAGTTCAGTGCCCTTCTGACAACTTGGGCCCAGCAGTTAGCCCTCCTGGAAGGCAAGAATACCGATAAGGAGATAGTGGAATGCTGGCAGAAAGGACAAGTAAGTTGGCTCCCTGTTTTCTATTGGTGGTTATGCTAACAATTTTGTTTGGTTCTCACTGTTGCTAAAAAAATCCTTGCTAACTAAAAACATGCACCATTCAGACTTAAAAAGAAATAAGTATTTACCTAACTAAATTTTCAAATCTGATTTGTTTCCTTTTCTCCTAAGGCAAACTACAACTAAAGATGGGGGGAGAAGGAGTTATGATTTACTGTAGGAAACATGGATTGTTCGTGCAGACATTTTACTTTCATTCTTATGGTGTAAGAGTCTGTAATATTCTATTCAGCCATTCAGCCTGAAAACTAGCCTGTGGGTAGAGGCATAAATAGATGGAGAGTCATAGCTGGTTTTCTGCCAGTGAATTATTTCCAAAAATTAAATGATTGGAAGCTGTATCTTAAAAGAAGCATTTGGTAATCTCCTAAAGCACAACTATTAGTTTTCACCCTGATTAGCTCTCCTAGGGTGGTTTTAACAGCTGTGCTTGAATTAACCCGTCAACATAACTCCTGTGTCATGCTCACGGGTTGTCTTCCAGACCTCTTTTTTTTTTTTTAAACTAATGGCAGCTCTCTCAGAACATGAATGTAACAGCGTAGAAAGGATCATGAAGAAAGAACAGAAGCTTGAAATCCTCCCTTTTATTGTTAAATGGTATCTTCAAAACACTGTTGTTATTTGCAGTTTTATAACACTCAGAACCATGGATGTCCTTAAAAGGAAGTTTCAGTGAAGTAAACTTCTCTGTTTCTATTTATGTTATAATCATTTCAAAATAGCTTCAGCCAGTAAGAAAGTCATGTCGTATTTCCAGCTTTGTCTGTTTTAAATCAAGTATTTCAAACAAATATAGCACACCATGAAATAAAACTTTATTATTATCTCTTTAGGCTATTTTATTTATAATGTTTCTAGCTTATTATTATTTTTTTCCTGATGCCTGTTCCATCTTTTAGATTTAAGCACCAGAATAAAGTGTAGAAAGCAATTCTGTAAAAGGGAGACAAGGAAGTTGGTAATTGTTCCATGTGGTCAGAGTTAGTCACTCTGATAGAAAAAAAATCAGTTATAATTTTTAAATATCTATTTTGTTTCTCTTCCTTTCTCTACCATTAATATGAGTGACAGTTTTAAAAAGAAAGATTTGGTGGTATTTAAATTATATTACTATTCTGATCTATCATTATTCTTTGCGTAGTTACTATTAGTCAAAATTGTACGTGAGACCTATAAAACATCCATGTGATAATGAAAAAGTAAATGTCGGTTTTCAGTTTTATTGACAATTCAGAGATGACAGTCCTCTGCTTAGATCTACTTTCAGGTTTGGCTCCAGATCTCGTGCTTTTGATGACAATAGTACATTACCTCTCAATGCTCAGCTTTTCTCTTATTTTTATTAATAGTATAAGAAAGAAATGGTCATTTATGTGATGGGATAGAGGTGTTAACTAATGCTGGGGGGGAGGTAATCATCTTGCAATATATAAATGTATCAAATTAGCACACCTTAGTATACTTTAAACTTGTTACAATGTCATATGTCAATTATATCTCAATCAAAGTTGGTAAAAAAATTTTTAAAATGTTTAAGTGGAGATAATACTTCCATTACAATGAATACATAAGAAAAGTTTTACAAAATAATGAATTTGTTAGGATTCTTACAGCATTGTTTTGCTGTTGGGGAGGGCTTCTCATTGTTGACAATCATAATAGTCACAAACCTTCACAAGTGTTTACTTTCTCTTTTGCAATTAAGTGATGATAACCAAGAAATATTTCAAAATGTAAAAATGGATCATCATCTATAAACTATATAAAGTCATATTGCAAAAAATTGTGTTTGCTGTGTTTACAAAATTCATCTCTTAATATCTATTGGGTTATTAGTGTTTGAAATTTAGCCAATTTCTTTTTTTTTTTAAAGATTTTATTTATTTATTTGAGAGAGCGAGAATGAGAGAGAGAGCACATGAGAGGGGGGAGGGTCAGAGGGAGAAGCAGACTCCCTGCTGAGCAGGGACCCCGATGCGGGACTCGATCCCCGGGACTCCAGGATCATGACCTGAGCCGAAGGCAGTCGCTTAACCAACTGAGCCACCCAGGCGCCCGAAATTTAGCCAATTTCTTAACCTTTATAACCTCTAAGGGAAAAAATGCATTCTACTACTTAACTGAAACAGAAATTTTTAACCTGATGTTTATATAATGAAAGACTCTACTAAAATGCTTTAATTTGTGAAGTTATGGAAATTTGTTTAGTGTAAAATTTTGGTCTGAAGCTTTTTTCTTTTGATATCATCCACTTTATAAGTGACTACTTTGAATCTCAGGTGTTTTTTTGTTTTGTTTTGTTTTTTGTTTGTTTGCTTTTATACTGTTTTGGTATGTGGTTAAGTTTCTACAGTTCTAAATTCTTGCTTAAATAAAAGATACAATATTGTATAAAATAGTAGCTACTAGTTTAGCATTTGGAATTTCAGAGAGACACTTTCTAGTTATTATGAATTTTATAAATAAAAATATCTTAGACTCCTCCTCTAGCCCAGACACTAGGATAAATAAATAATTTTAAAACCAAGAGAACACCACACCTCTCTCAGAATCCCAGTCTAGGTGGAAAGCCAGTGAGTTCAAAGCCAATAGGGATGATTAATTGTGATGAACTGACAAGGTGCTGTGTCCTCAAGTGAGAAGCCCCCATCAAGAGGTGCGAAGGAAGGCAGAGTCCTTAGAGGAGTTGTTATTTGAGCGGAGTCTGGAAGTCTGTTACAAACTGACCAGATAGGTGAGGTGGAGGAACAGTCCCAGGATCCAAAATTAGTGAGGAACAAGAAAACACAGGAGAGAAACTGGAGAACAGGTTTCAAATTGAGAGGACATTGTACCATTCCAGAAAGAAATGACAGATGTGCAAGGGGAGACTGAGTCGGTGCAGAGGGAAAGTCACTGGAACAGACTGCACCTCGTTGTCTCTTGTCTCTTGGCAAGGCCAAGATGTGGCTTAGTTTTCTGATTTAGATCAGTGGGAGGACGGTGGAGCCATTTACTAGGATGAGGAATGCAACACAGACCTGGCTTGTTGAGAGGTGTGGTGTTCCTACAAATCTAGGCCATGTCTAGATAAAAATCTGAGAACAGGAATAGTAACACCAACAGCCATCTGAGTAGTCACTCATCTTCTTGGCTCTCCTCAATTAATTTTTTTTTCCTATGGCAATATCATTATTTACACAGTCCCGCTTAAATATTTGGGGGTTGTTTACCTGCTGTTTTTACTAGTTCAGCATTTGTCAGTGTGCCAGGAATTGTGCGAAGCACTTGACATGTGTGATCTCATTTGCTCCTTGTGACAGTCCCACAAGAGCACGGTGTGTAACTGAGGGGATCATGGCCTTGATTTTAGAGATGTACTTGTCAAGTCTCAAGACCTTATGTTGGGTTAGATATTCACAGTACTGTGATTATTCATGTTTCTCTCTGATCTGTTAAATTGTGTGCTCTTCAAGTACAGGATTCATATCTTCAGTCATTGTGGGGAGTCCTAGAGTTCAGAAAAATGCTTGGCACATAGCAGACATTTAGCAAATATTGGATGACTGTGTGAATAAAACTATGAAATGAATGGATTACTAGTTAAATCAGACCTGTGGGCTATAAGCCATTTTTAGTGTGAAGGTTAACGATATATACTACATAAAATCAGTGCGCGCGCTCTCTCTCTCTCTCTACATATATACATATATATGTATATATGTATATATATATATATTAATCCAAAATAAGTATTTCTTTGCTTGGAAATGATTTCTCTTTACCTTTAAGCAATATAGCTATCTTCCAATGGCCTAGTCAAACTGTTATTAAGCAATTAAGGTTATTTTCTCTTTCCTTTTTCTTGTCCTACTTTGACTTATTTGACCACATGATCATTTGATTACTTGGTGACATTTGATGCCAGAGTGCCTATCCATCCTAGAAAAAGATGCAAGTAAGCCAAGTGCTATTATTTGCCATGAAGACTCCTGAAAATAGGATGTATTTATTTACTGAATCTATTATGTTGGTTCTTCCCTCACTAGTAATTTATAATATGATTTATGCATGTATAGTGTGAGGCTGTGGAAACTACCCAGTTTCAGTGCTTGCTCCTCTGTCTTGTTATTTCCTAATAGGAGATACTGGATGCCCTACAAAAAGCAGAGCCTAAAACAGAGGATCTTAAGTCTCAGCTGAATGAACTTTGTCGATTTTCCAGAGACCTCAGTACATACAGTGGAAAAGTTTCTGGCTTGATTAAAGAATATAATTGGTGAGCATGAACCTTATTGGTATGCAAAAGATTTTTATATAAATAAGCAGCCAGAAGTGTGTTTATTGAGGCATGATAAATTAATCATTAACCAAATTGCTAAATGTGACTGCATACTCCAAGAACTGTTGATTCTATCAAACTTTATTTTAATCTATCTTATCATTTTTTTCCTTCCCTTAAACATTTCAAATCCTGGTGTTAGTCTTTGTTTGCAAGCATCAAAAGGCTGTCAGAATAGAGAACAGGTTTTACAGCAACGATTTCGAAGAGCCTTCAAAGATTTCCAGCAGTGGTTGGTTAATGCAAAAATCACTACTGCCAAATGTTTTGATATACCTCAAAATATTAATGAAGTTTCAACAAGTCTTCAGAAAATACAGGTAAGAGTGCCAACAATTAATGCTAATAACAGTGCTTAGGTGGATTAAAAAGGTGCCTCTAAATCTTTTTATAAGCATATTAAATTCATCCTTAAGAAACTCAGATTTCAAATAAATCCCTGCTTGAAACAACAATTAATTGTGTATGTGAAGAGAAACTCGTCCATTTGCCCAAAAGCATGCTATTTTTATATATTAATAGGGATGTAGGAACTAATAAAAGCCCTTATATATGACAAGAATTGTTCCTGAGCACCCTAAGCAGATCTTCTCATTTAATTTTCACAATAACCATATCAGGTACATAAGATTATTATTCCCAATGTCTAGAGAGGGTAAAAGAGTCTTAGTCATTTAATATATGCAATAAAAATGGTTTCTTTCTTCCCTTTGATTGTGTCAAGAAATAAGTAGATAATCAATGTATTTTAAAGCATAGAGCATTTTATTATACCTAATCTTAGCCTTTTTCTTTGTAGGAATTTTTGTCAGAAAGTGAAAATGGACAGCATAAGCTAAACATGATGCTGTCTAAAGGAGAACTTTTGAGTACTCTGTTGACCAAAGAGAAAGCTGATGGCATCCAGGCCAAAGTTGCAACTGCAAAAGAAGACTGGAAAAATTTTCATTCAAATCTCCACCAGAAGGAATCTGCCCTAGAGGTATAATATAGTCAGGCACATGGACACATTCTCTGTAGTTTGTTGTTGTAGGCATTGTTGTCAGTTAAAACTACACTTTCAATATATCCAAATATGGTTGCCAGTGATTTTGGTCATTCCTCTCTGGATATCAACGGATAACTGGACAACTCTAAGAAACAGCTTGATTTTTGAAGTAGGAACCTCACTGAGGAATTCAAGAGCTTCTTGCCTGGTAGGGGCTGTCATCATAGGCTTGCACTGTCCCACCAGAAATAATTGGTTTTTACTTTTAAACAGTATCACTCAATCATTCATTTGAAATTCCTCAAGTTTGGAAGTCATTCTAGGAGAACGAACAGAAATATCCATGTAAGACTTCAAAATGCTATGGATGATAAGGTATATTATAACTAATGCAGTTATCAAGCAGTAGGTTTTTAGGAGTTAAGTATGCAAAGAGCCAATGGTTATGCAAATTTCTTTTATCCAGAAACAACATAAGTTGAATTTATTATAATCATAATTACTGCCATGATGCAACTGTTTTGTTTTGTTTTTTTCTTGTGAGATCACCTGTTTTGTGTATCAACTCTTCTCTTGGAGGAAAATTTAGTGGCATGGAGAGCAATTATTTCCCTTTCAACCAACACTTCCTGGCAGAATAGATCATTTATTTGATTATGATCATAATTAATGCAAGATGGAAAAGCATAATAATAGAGAATTAATATCTGGAAAGAGAAAATATGTGTTCCCTCAGTTCTTCCCTACACCAAGACTGTTGTAATTCTTCTCTGTAATGGTGGCTATTCTTTCAAGACAGGCATCTTCCATTTAATAGAGAGTGATAACCATTGTGCAGTGCCTAGAAATTTACTCACAACCTTACAGAAATCATTAGTATAATGTTGCCTGAGCTCTGAAGCATTTATTGTTGAAGGTAGTACATCTAGCATTGATTGCATGATTACCTAGTCCAAGAGATGTCCAGGAGTAAATGGATAGGTGGGGAATATTCTGCTTTCTGCCTTCTTTATCTTCCTTTCCTTTTTTCTCCCTCCCTCCCTCCCTTCCTACCTTCCCTCCTTCCTTCATTTCTATTAGAAATAAAATAGAAAACAATATGTGCCAGCCACTATGTTAGGAATACAAAAGGTTTAGTCTCTTCCCTTTCCTCAGGGAGTTTACTTTGTGGAGAGGGAAATAAGTATATAAAGAAATGATTGCAATATAATACAGATATATCCAGGTTACGGTAGTCACTCAAAGAACGATGCAATAACTCCATTTGGAGAAATCAAGGAAAATTACCAGAAAGGTGACATTTTAACTGAAATTTGAAGGCTAAACATCCTTTGAATTTGCCAAGGCTGACCTGCATTTCAGGCAGAAGGAACTGGATGTGCAGGGCCAGAGTGTTGTGAGTGTCAACAGTGGGGGACTTTGAGAAGTTTGACATCCACGTGGGGTTTTGTGGGAGGAACAACAAAGATGAGATTGGAAATGAAGATTAGGGCAAGATAGGAAATGTCTGGTGTACTAAGCCATTTGATCTTGACTCTTATCGAGGTTTTTTTTTTTTAATCTGAACCCCTGAACAGCATTTATGTTCTCAATTTTCCCAAGGATGTAACATAATCCATACCATTTTAGATGCACAGGAGAGAGGTTAATTCATTATGTAGAATGGATGTTTTAGGACACTAGGGCTCAATTCTCTTTCAAAACCCTAGTTGAAAAAGACTGAGTGAGGAACCTACTGGTATTCAAGCTGGAGATAAACTTACTGGAGTGTCAACTCTGACCACAGTGTAGGCAAGAATGGGGAAGCTGTAAGACTAGAGAAAGCTTCTCATAATGGTCCAGATGAGAGAGATGAAGGCCTGGATTAAGGAAATGATAATGGAGAGAATTTATCCCTAAGGTAAAACACAGCACGATTTGGTAGCTAATTCAATGAGGGGCATGGGGAAGAAGGAGAAGCTAAGTTTGTGAAGCGCTTTAGTTTTCCAAAGCATTTCTACAGCTACCTGTGTCCCTAAGAGGTGACCATGGCAGGTGTGACTCTCCCACATTGTAGACAGTCCGGATCAGATACCGATGGAACCCTGAGCCGCTCTCCCACAGGCTCCTGCAGCCCTTGCCACTTAGATTTTTCAGCTAACCTTTATGGATTATCTCTTTGACAGTACTACCTAAAGCTCTGATTTAAATTTAAGTTTGAATTTAAGTTTAAAAGCCTTTAGTATGTTCACATGGTAACATAAATTTCAAATTCACTTCAATCTAGCATTTTTGTAAGTAAGAGTGGATATAGACACCTTTGCTGAAGTTAAATGGTACCATATAAAACTTTATCAAATACATTTTACAGCTATTAATACCTACAAAGTATCTATGAAAGTAGTCACAGCTTCTTATGTAATAAACACAGAACACTATTAGGTATTATTTTTTGGTATCTTTATAAATTAGAATAAACAAGTTGCTTATTAAATACATAATAAGCATATAAGCCATATTGACAAAACGTTTGTTAATATTTATTTATATTTCTCCAAGGCACCAATGGTGTATCCCAGGTCCTCCCCTCACAGAGCTTGTAAGCTAGTTGTGGAGACCAGGAATGCCTGCATGAGATAAAAACTCACAATCCAACCCAGTCTGTGATAAAGTACATAGTGACTGGTATAAACAACAAATGTGACGGAAGTTGAGAAGTGGGTGTGAATTCTGGTGTGGGCTGGATAACGAGGCAAAAACTCCTTTTTGAAAAACTTGAGATTAAAAGCTCTGAAAGGATGTTCAAAAATTACACAGGTGCTAGGGTGAAATGTAGAATGTTCTATACACTGGGAACAAGGAAAGAGGGGAGAAGGGCAAGGGGGCCAGACTGTAGTGGGCTTTCAATGCCAAGTGAAGGACTTTGGACTTGCTATTACAATTTTTTTTTTTATCCTAACATGATCTAAAACCTCATAGAATCTGAAGATCCAAATGAAGGACTTTGAAGTAAGTGCTGAGCCTGTCCAGGACTGGCTGAGTAAAACTGAGAAGTTGGTGCAGGAAAGCAGCAATCGCCTGTATGATCTTCCTGCAAAGAGGAGGGAACAGCAAAAGCTCCAGGTAATGAGACCCTCTGCCCTTCTAGTCATGTCTTTACCCCCATCCTCTGCACCACCTTGCATTCAGGCGGACCCTGGAGCTAGGTTATGGTGTCTGGGAGATGGAGCGTACCCCTTCCCGATTTCTGACAGATTTTATGTTTTCTGGCTTTCCTTTGAGGTGCAATCTGTTTCTGTCCTGTAGTCTAAACTGTGTGTAACCTGGAAATAACAAAACCTTCAGGGCACACCCACTGCTCGCCATGTTTATTTCCGCGTTCTTTGGGCCAAAGCTTCGTCTGCAATGTGCTTTTCCCCAGCCTCTTAATAGTAACTTGCTTGTGCTTTTCAGTCTGTCCTTGAGGAAATAAACTGCTACGAGCCTCAGCTCAACAGGCTAAGAGAGAAAGCTCAGCAGCTGTGGGAAGGACAGGCTGCCAGCAAGAGCTTTATGCACAGAGTATCGCAGCTGTCTTCTCAGTATCTAGCTCTAAGCAATTTAACGAAGGTAACGCCCGCCATGTGCTGTGTGTGTGTGTGTGTGTGTGTGTGTGTGTGTGTGTGTGTGGTACTGAGGCCACAGATCTGGAGTCTCAGTAGGGTTGTGCGAGGGTGTGTGTGGGGTCAGAAATAAGGTGTGTAAGTGTCCTTCCCGGCCTTGCAGTCTAAGTCACGCGTATGTGCTGTGTCACCTTAGCATGGTTGTCTGAAAAGAAACTAAGGGAGGTTTCAAAGACTGAAGAGACTTCCCATCTCTATTATTGCACAAAATATTCTCTTCAATACTGAAATGGTATGTTCCCCAGTGCTTTTATCTCGAAGACTCAAAGTGTAAACATAAGGCAAAATTCAGAGTTTGGGGTTGAAACAATCTCAGATAAGTGATTTTAGAAAAACGTGAATTCAAAGCAGTTTAAATTTCAGTGGATTGAATATAATGAGTTTGGGATAATTTTTTAAATCATAGTTGTCAAGGATGTGTTGATTGAGAGTTTCATTTTGGATTCTAGAGTAGAGCTCAAAATCAGCAATGATTCATATAACTGATTAGATATCTTTTCCAACAACTTAGAAAAAAGTAAATGGTATATCCCTATGACCTAATTCAGCACATTCAGCAGGTATAATGCAGGCTCATCTTGAACTTCGTGGGGCAGGTCTACCTTGAGCTTTATGTGGCTTGGACATTTGTTCCCTGTATTTCTCTTCGGCATTTCAGATCTTAGAATGTAGGGAACCTGCTGTAATATGGCGTCACCTATTTTAGTGTGGACTTACTTCTGGTCTGCTAATTTGGGTCCTCAATAAAGCATCATTGAGACAGTCATACTGGTATAGGTCTTGCAGTAAATAGTCTATTTTTATACCCATTTTTTGTCTATAAATAAGTTACTTCTTTTTTGTCTTTAGGAAATCTGGCATATATCTGAAATTAGAATTAAGGACATCTTTCTATTCCTTTGTATTTATTTAGATGTCAAAAATCAGTAGAATTTTGAATGCTTTTAAGAGCTGTAAACAGTCATAAAATCTTCGCTGTGTCGAATATAACCTTTAATAAATAAGTCATATCTATGGTCGCCAATTGGCGATTACAAAACCTCAGATAGTTGTGTTTTAGAACTGGCTACAAGGTAGGTCATATGGTCATGGTATCAGTTGAGCCCAGTGTGGTATGGGAAAGGTAGAAACTACTCTGATTCATCTCCCACATAAGGCATTAGAAAGAAGTTTTGCTGATTCCAAAAGAATATCACAGTTGTCATAAAAAAGAGTAGTGGCTAAGGTGGGGAGCAGTAAATTATCATTGTAATTGTTCTGCTTTGGAACCAGTTATTCCAAAGATACTTCCCACATCTCTGATCAATACAGACTTGCATCGTATTTGTACAGCACAGGAACTTATGCCTGATTGGTGTTATTTGAAACCAATGGTTAGCTTTACAATTTGAGCATCTGTAGGCTGTAGAGTGGCATGGACAGCTGGAAAACTATTTCTGTCATTTCCAGGAGAAAGTGTCAAGATTGGATAGAATTGTTGCAGAACACAATCAGTTCTCCCTCGGGATTAAAGAGCTCCAAGACTGGCTGACCGATGCGGTTCACATGCTGGACTCCTACTGCCACCCAACATCCGACAAAAGTGTGCTAGACAGCAGGATGCTCAAGCTTGAGGTGTGCATTTTATAGAGAAATGTCTCTAATTTACAGAATTTGTTTTTCTCAAAATTCTCAAGTCTCTGTCTGTCTGGTGTGATTATGTTACACTCTTTCCACAACAACTCCAAGACCACTTTGTGGGTGTGACCCTGTTTGCAGAGCATCCCTGAATCATTTGACTCCAGACATGTCCACTCATAAATAATTTACAAAAATTAAGCTAAAATTACAACCAAATATGGTTATTTGCTTGATATAGTTAAGAGGTGAGTTTCAAATTACATCATAGACACATTTATTCTTAGAAAATATGTTGAAACTTTTTTAGAGCAAGACATTTCCCATCTTGGTCAAACTCACTTGTCTGCCTGTATTCTTCAGTCAGTTCTTCTCCCATCCCAGCATATTAGTTCTGTTTCACGTTTGTGATAAAACAACTATTCTGCAGTCATTCTCCTGACAGTCATATGCTGGGTGTCTTATAAGAGATTGGCCCTCTGTCTTGATTTCAAGGATTCAAAAATGAATAAAATGTGGTCGTTGTCCTCCAGGATTTCATTGTCTGAGGTTGGAGGCTGACACAGAGAAGAGAGTGATAGCAGAGAGGGGTGTGCTTGTGGTGCTGCAGACACACACAAGGAATAGTGGAACGTGTGGGAGGGACTTGGGACTCAGAAGAGCTTTCTCAGACAGCTTCATACCCACACTGAGATTTGAGAATGGTACCAGCGGAAGCAAAAGCCAAAGAAAACAAAAGAGCACCATGTGGGAGAAATTGCTAGCAGGTCCTTCTTGCCGCAGCACAAAGTGATGGCAATGCGAGGCTGACACTGGATCTGTAGAAGTTGGCAGCGTCCGGATTAGGGAGGACGATGAAACTTTGCCTTTAAGTGGTAATGCCAGTTTTATAACATTGAATTCAAACTTCCTTCTTATATAGAAAAAGAAGAGTTGCCTGTGAAGACCTTGAAATGTATAGATTAATACATAGTATCAGTTGATCTATTTCTTTAGGCTTGTTGTGCTAGAGACCTTGACATTATAAAGCTCTTTATCCTGTGGCCTTTGAAAAACCGTGAATTCTATTGTACTCAATTTTTCTCTTTTTTTTAAAGATTTTATTTATTTATTTGAGAGAGAGAATGAGAGACAGCATGAGAGGGAAGAGGGTCAGAGGGAGAAGCAGACCCCCCGCTGAGCAGGGAGCCCGATGTGGGACTCGATCCCGGGACTCCAGGATCATGACCTGAGCCGAAGGCAGTTGCTTAACCAACTGAGCCACCCAGGCGCCCACTCAATTTTTCTCTTATCGAAAACCAGTTGCTGTGTTGAGCACTGGGTGTTGTATGCAACTGATGAGTCACTAAATTCTACCCCTGAAACTAATAAAAAAAAAAAAATCAACGAGCAGACAAAAGAACAAAACAAAACAAAAAGAAAACCAGTAAAATAAAATTTCAGTGGAAAGAAGGGATTATTCAGAGAAGAATTAAGACATAAGAAGCCAAGGCCACTTGGAGACCAGCAGGTGACTGGGGATTGGTTACCTGCCATGCGGTCAGCCTGAGAGATTCATGGCTCAGTGCAGTCGTCTATCATCCTACCATCTTCAGGAGCTCTGAAACATTTAAAGTCAGAAATGCTAAACATGCAAATGACAAGGGACTTCTGTATTTGCTCTTATAGGCTCTATTATCAGTGAAACAGGAAAAAGAGATCCAGATGAAAATGATAGTGACCAGAGGGGAGTCTGTTCTGCAGAATACCTCTCCGGAAGGCATTCCTGCTATCCAGCAGCAGCTGCAGAGTGTGAAGGATATGTGGGCTTCCCTTTTGTCTGCAGCAATTCGCTGTAAAAGGTTAGTGAAACTAAAGCCAACTCCTGCCAAGCCATTACCAAAGGATCTTTATAACAGCATGGTAACAGACTGTTCCTGGAGTTTTCTTCCCTTCTTTCTTTTCCTTTCCTCTCCTCTCCTCTCCTCTCCTCTCTTTCTAGCCTCTGCTCCTCTCCTTCTTTCCTTCCTTCTGGAATAGCGGCACTGGACATAAAACTTAGAATCAATAAGCAGGTCACCCGAGACCCCGGGGGAGGCTTGAGGGCAAAACTGGGAGAGATCCACTGTGTGAGGCTTTTTAAGCCAAGACCCTCTGGAGGAAGAGAATCAACACTTAACTCCACCAAGTTGAGCAGGACATCCAGAGGAGAGCAAAAAGGAATTAATAAAAGAAGGAAGGAAGAACCAAGCAAGAACAAGCACAGTAACTAACTTGCAGGAGATTTCTTCCTTCCTTCCTTCCTTCCTTCCTTCTTTCCTTCCTTCCTTCCTTCCTTCCTTCTTTCCTTCCTTCCTTCCTTCCTTCCTTCCTTCCTTCCTTCCTTCCTTCCTTCCTCTTCTTTTTTTTAAATTAGAACAAAATAAAATTAAAGGTACAATCTTGCATTTAGGTTGGCCTGCCATACCATGCCTTTGTTTTAGTATAATTACGTGTTTCTTTTTGTTAGTGTTCATTGCTTAAAAATTCAAAAGATAAATAAAGGTTTCATCACATAAAGATATATTGTTTAAACCAAGTAGTTTACTTGGGAGGTAACCCCAGGAAAACACCAGTAGGGGCTGGGGGAGAGAGATGAGGAAGGAAGGGCAGCTGATCAAGGGAATGTTCTCAAGCAGGTTACCACAGCAGACAGCTGGAACTTAATCTGGCCAGGCAGTGCTGGGAGCCAGCAAAGAACACGTGTCTCAGAGTTACCCACCGAGGACTGGAGAACTAGAATGTTTGTCAACAAACTCCCATGAGTCAGGAGGGCAGTGGAGGGCTGCTCCCAGGGAGGGCAGCAATCCCTGGCACTTCTCGCCTACATTGCGCTCAAGCTGAGCGGGCACCAGGGACCAGAGAATGCCCTCAGGCCAGGAGGCATGGGGCTGGCAGTTGGCAGGGTGCTGCAGTGGAATGGTTGGAGGGTGAATAAGGGTGGAGCACAGAGTCTCTGCTGCAAAACAGCCCAAAGTATGGTAGTGAAATTAGGCACACATGATTAATGGAGTCAAAAACATAACATTCATATTGAGAGAAGGAATGCTTAATTTATCTGGAAGAGAAGTAGAGGGTTAGACCAGTTCAGAAAACATTACCCTATTTTTCCGTTGTGATTTTCAAATCTCCTGCAAGTTAGTTACTGTGCTTGTTCTTGCTTGGTTCTTCCTTCCTTCTTTTATTAATTCCTTTTTGCTCTCCTCTGGATGTCCTGCTCAACTTGGTGGAGTTAAGTGTTGATTCTCTTCCTCCAGAGGGTCTTGGCTTAAAAAGCCTCACACAGTGGATCTCTCCCAGTTTCGCCCTCAAGTCTCCCCCCGGGGTCTCAGGTGACCTGCTTAATTGATTCTAAGTTTTATGTCCAGTCCCGCTATTCCACCTGTCATCCTGGACTTCACCATCCCTTGCTCCCCGGGGTTATGCTTGCCGGGGACCCAGACTCAGATTTGATGAGCCCTGGCCATCCTGGCCCACCCCCCACCTGGCCCCTGTCCGATCTGTGGGCTCCCTGCTGGCGGAGTGGACAGAGCAGACGCATAAGAGAGATTGGACAGATTGGACTTATATGGCTTCTCCGTGATGTAGATTATTGCCCTTTCTCATACCTTTCAGTCAACTCGAAGGAGCTCTTTCTAAGTGGACGAGTTATCAGGATGATGTTCGACAGTTTTCCAGTTGGATGGACAGCGTGGAAGGCAGCCTAAATGAATCTGAAAGGCAGTACGCAGAACTGCGGGAGAAAACAACAGCCCTGGGAAAAGCCAAGGTGGGAGCTGGATGTCAGATTCCGTTTGTCCTCTGGCAGGCTTCTTCAGAACGCCTAAGTTAGTGAAAATATGACTACCTGTGCGCCAGGGCTGTACACATAGGTAGACTGTATTTTGGGCTTTTACTATAATTTCTAGTGGCTCCTTAAACCAGACTTTTGTTTGTGACGATTTTATTAGTGAGTGAAAATCTCCTTTTCCAGGAAAACTTCATAGATGTTCTATGATACATGTTCTATGATACGTTTAAAATTTGGCAACTTGAAATATCTTTTATTATCTTTAGCCTACTCCTCATTAGGAGGTAAAAATGCTTTCTTTTTATCACATCTTTTGTACTTTATTGTACATTTTCATGCTTATATTAGTATAGTGCTACATATGTGTTTTTAAACAAGTTGATAGATAGATAGATGATAGATATTGAGGATATGTTCTTGAATCCTTTTGTTCATAGTAGTAATCAAACATAAAATTTTGGAGACCTTTGATTTGTATCCTTACTCCTGGGGGCATATTTACTGGATGACCTGTTCTACTTCAACCTTACCACATCCTAAGCAGTACTTATTACTTCTGCCCCCAGTTCCTTCAAATTCTGATAATCCAATCTCAGTCCATTTGTGTCACCCCATGCTGAATATCCTAAATTAGGAGCTTCATTATCTCCAGTTCCTTCTTTCTCATCCCCACTTCGAATTAGGCATTAGGTCCAGCTGATTTTATCTCAGAAATGCCTCCTGACCATAATCCATCCTTCTTTTCCTAATTTGCAACAGACTCCTACCTGTTCATTTTGTCTCTTGTCTCCATCTGCTGTTTTCTTCATATAAAGGTGAATGTCTCACTTTCCTGCTTCAGGGCCTCATTGTCCCCTTGTCTGTGGTATCCAACCCGTCTTCCTCATCTAGTTTGTAAGAATTTTCACAGTCTCCTTAGTCACCCTCATTTCCTTCACTCTCCCATTGTCCTTCCACCCATGCTTCAGCCTTACTGTATTTCTCACTACTTCCTGAAAATGCCGCGTCAGACGGAACAGAGATTTCCTGCCTCTACAGTAATGATCTAACTCTGCCTCTGCAGCCAGAAACCTTGCACTCACCTTTCTGAATTGACAGAAGTCTTTTTGTTACGATACCACCACTACCCTAAGCTTACTTAGTTCTTCTGTTCTCTGTTGTTCATATCTCTTTATCGATTACGTAGAGTATATGCTCACATCTCTCTCTCCCTTAGTAGATAAAGGTACTTAATTTTTTTTTTTAATATCCCACCATTTAGCTCTCTGTCTGACACAGAGCAAATGCTGAATAAAAGTTATTTGAATTACTAAATTGCCTTATGGGACCTATGCCAAGTTACTTAACATTTTAGGGTCTCATTTATGCATCTGAAAATTAATATAATCATAATTATCTACCTGGTAATATTTGATAATGATTTGTTGCCTAATTAATTAAATTATTCATCTATTCAATAAGTACTAAGATCTTGCTACGTGCAGGCATTGTGCTCAATTCTAGGTAAATAAAACAGAGAAGAGCTGTATTCTGGTGGAGACACAAATACTTTTCTGAGTGCCTGAATAAATAAATAATTATAACTGGGGATAAGTGCAATGAAGAAAGAAGGCTGTGAAAGAGTAATGTGCACAGAGCTATTGCAGACTGCTTGGGGTTGAGGGAGGGAAAGAAAAGTCCTCTCTGAAACAGCAGACTTGTAGACCATGCCAAAAGGAATGTTGTGCAGAGAAATTAGTCTGGGGAGGAGGTGAGAAAAGAGCAGTCCAAATGGAATAATCAGCATGTGCTCAGGCCCTGAGGAGGGAGAGAGTCTGGCTCAAGAAGGGAACTAAGAGAAAGGCCACGTGTTGCTGGAATAGAGAATAAACAGGTGAGCTGGCAGAGGAGCAGGACCCTGGCCACGCATCGCCATGTGGCCTAGCCTGAGGATTTCCCCTCGATCCTGACAGCCCAGGGAAGACAGCCGATGCTTTGAGCCGTGGAGTGACAGGATTCCATTTACAGTTTTAAAATCTTTTCTCACTCAGGCTGCTGTGTGGAGTGGGGAAAAGGAACAGAGCAAGAATTGGTGGCAGGGGATCTGCCTGGCAGGATATAGCGGAAGTCCAGTAAGAGACAGTAGCAGCATGGGCTAGGGAGTTTGCAGCACACATGAGGACAAGTGTCAGGACACAGGATTTCATTGTGGCTGGAATGACAGAGAGCAGGGAGAAAGGGTGACTTCCAGTGTCCTAAGATGGCCATCTGGGTGGCACGTGGTGGCATTTACTCCTTGAAAAAAGACTGAAGGAGAAGGGGATTTGGGGTTTGGTGGGGGCTGGGGAGGAATGGGAGTGGAGTAGAGATTGGGAGCCCATTTTTGGACAAATTAAGTTTGCAATATCAAAGTTATTTTGAATCGGAATCTCAGACAAAGTTCTGAGCCAGCTATCACACACACACACACACACACACACACACACACACACACACACACACATGGATAGATAGATAGATAGATAGATAGATAGATGGGTCTATTGATCAACTTATCTACAGACAGATAATCTAAGGTCACTTGTCAACTACACAGTTAAAATATGTTAATTTTAGCAGTATTACTGATAAGATGGTATACGTGGTAACTCCTTTATTTTCTTTTAAATGTTCTCTAGTTACTAAGTGAAGAAGTGCTGAGTTACAGCAGTTTGCTGGAGACCATTGAACTCAAAGGGGCTGGCATGACAGAACACTATGTCACCCAGTTAGAATTCCAGGATCTTCAGGAACGATACAGAGCAATCAAAGAGAGGGCCAAGGTATGGCTAACCATGTTCCCTGAAGACTCACTGAAATAGGAGGGGTTAAACCCATGCTTATTTAGACTCATTTATTTGCAGGAATAATGATTTGTGAAAGCACAGAAGAACAAATGAATTTTAATACTTTAAACAGTGGCAAACCCAAACAAAAACCTTCAAATACTGTTAGTACATGAAAGTTACTGAAGGAAAATAATTCTGCATAAAAATTCCCAGAAATTAACCAATTTAAGAAAAAAAATTGGACAGCTTCATAAAGAAAGTTCATAAATGTTTTAATATGTCTGGTAATGAGAGTTTTCTAAAGCAGTAAATAATCACAAATAATATTTATCATTCTTCATTTAGGCCTCACAAAGAAACTAAAAATAACTTTCAAGCATGTCCTACTTTATTAGACAAAGTACATGGAAAATTAAATCCACAGTGAGTGCCAGTCCTCACTTACAGCACAATATAAGAATTTCAGTTTTCTTCATTAGCAAAAGTGTGTTCTTATGACAAGTAAAGTTAATTCATATTTTGGCATATCCATGTTACATTTCATAAGGAATTCAGAGATCAGGTAGTTAATTCAACAAAATAATCTTCAAGGCCTCTTTTCATCCTGATATTATGTTTTTATATTTTTTACCTAAATCTTAAAGCTTTATTCTTCTAGGAAATCATACTCCAGTGATTTAATAATCATGTTTTCCTAAAATTCCAAAAGTAAGTTCTTATATACATCAACACTGTGTAGTAATGTTTTCCTGTCTTAATCATCTTAAATGCTGATAATAGGAAGCAGTAACCAAGTCTGAAAAACTAGTTCGCCTGCACCAAGAGTATCAGAGAGACCTAAAGGCATTTGAAGTTTGGCTGGGGCAAGAACAAGAAAAGCTTGACCAACATTCAGTTCTTGAAGGTGATGCTCGCACTCATGAGATAACATTGCGGGATCTTCAGGTAAAGTCTAATTCATCTTAAAGGAATTTTCATTCTGAACATGCAATTATAATTTTAAGCAATGGGAAGTTAATGTGATCTTGAATCATATGAAGAGCTTATAGTTATTAAAGGAGATCCTGATTCACAACGTTCTGGCATCTCAGTTGTGCATGCTAGTTGAGATCTTTGGTGGGCAATTTAGATATAGCAGGACTGGAACTTCAGGAATTTGTTCAGCTACTAAGATGGCCTCTGACAGCAATGGCTAATGGTCTCATTTATGGTTTTGACTGGCCCACCTGCCTGTTTTTCCCTAAAGGTTGAATTGGAAGTGGAACTTAGCAGCAGGAATCAATAGAACATGACATTCCTCAAAGTCAAACTGATGACACCATCTAATTTCAACCAAAAGCTCCCACACTGCTGAGGAAGGAATTAGAGGGACTAGAAAAAGTGCCAGCGTGCAGGGCAAGATGACAGACCTAGTGGGTAGTGGTCCTAAGCCGTTCACTCATTTACTTATTCAGCATTTATGGAAAACCTCATGTTGTTCAGACACTTGTCTAGCTACTGCACATAAAGATAATTAAAATATTATTTCTGCCTTCAAGGAACTTGCCATTTAGTAAGAAATGCAGATCTCTAGGCAGATCATTTTGAATAATGTGATAAGGAATACACTAGTTGGACAGATCTTATGGGAACATCAAAGAGAGCCCCTCAATCTTACCTAGAGAGATAGGGAGGGGTTAGGAGGTGTCCTTAGAAGAGACCACCAGGCACACACAGAAGAGAACGGAGAAAGACCAATGAGACAACTCCACGTCACCAGCTGTGCATTGGAAGCAACTGACAGAGTATCAGCCCTGATTAGGATTGGTTTGAGATTGGGCAGGATGTACCTAGAGCTTGCACAAAGCAGAAAAAACAAGGACTGGAATGGTTATAACCAGCATATAAAATTTCTGGCTATTTCAGAAATGTGGGTATTGGGGAATGTATAATGGCAGGAGTACAAGCTTGGGATGAGGAAGTTTGGACTCTAATGCTTGATGGGACCTGACACTGGAAGACTTTGGGCAAGAGAGAACCTCTGTCATTCAGTTTCCTACACAGAGTTGTCATGAGGAAGGATTAAATGAGATGGGAGAAAAATCTAACTTAAATGATGCTCCATTCATGAAATATATATGAAGTAGAAATTAAAAGGGTCCCAATTCATTAGCTTATGTAAGGATCTAATCCATTCTATTTCAAAATGATAGGTACTCCAGTCTGCCACATGCAGCAGTTGTAATTTATTTTACTAGAGTTGGCTTTGTTTTTGCTAAATAACCCCTCTCAGCACTTCACTTCAAACTCTTGGCAAGCAGATACCAGCTCTCTTGCCTTCTGTGTGGGAGCCGGGCCAAAAAGTTACTTGTCGCCAGCAGATGTTTCTCTTGTTCTGGTCAGAAGAAAATGTTTCCCTTCAGTCAGTAGCAGTGTGGCCCAAACTGATACCCACCTCTCATTTTGCCATGCCTTAGTTCTTACATTGTCTTATTTTGAGTCACCACAAATCTTAAAAAGGAGGGAAGATGCTCGTGGTGGAAAAGGTGGTAGGGAATTGTGATATTGCAACTGCCCAGCAGAGCTTCTTGGGCCTCCTAAGATCCTATAGTACGCATAGTGGTATGGGGATCGGCCAGCTCTGTGGAGTATGTTCACAAATTATTTTGTGTAAACTGAAGGCCTAATCTGGGTCATAGAACATATAGATTTTAAAAATATTGAGCCATATTTTTCCTTCAGAATAAATAGTTGAACCATGTGATATATAAGAATTTACCTAATACAGTGATGACTCATATAATAGAGAAAACTGTTATAAAATATGGAAAGAGTGATAATTGGGAAAATTAATAAATCAGAGCGAGGACCAGTAAGCTATAGCCTATGGCCACAATGCGTGGATTTTCAATAAAGTTTCATTGAATCACAGCCATACCCATTCACTTATATATCATCTCTGGGTACTTCTGTGCTGCAATGACAGAGTTAAATAGTTGCAGCAGAGATTGTATGGCCCTCAAAGCCTAAAATGTTTACTGTTGTGTTTTTTATAAAAAAAGTTTGCCAACCCTGAATTAAGAGAAAATATTGTATTAATATTGTACTTAACTTTAAAAAGACTAAGAATTTTGGAATAAAATTTCTGTTTGTGGACATTTTGATTCATATTTTACCATATATCTTGTTCTTTCCCATTTACAAAACATTCACATTACAGCATTCTTGGAGTGACATCATAGCTGAGGAAAAACATATCCATTAGTTTGAACCATAAGAGATCGCTCTTTTTGTAGATTAAAGAAATTGTCAGATATCAGCAATTTCAAATGGCTTGAAGTGATATTGAAGATTTTTTAAAAATGATACCATATTTTAACTAAATATGTCAGTATTTTTAACATTCTTGGTGAGACTTGACTTGGTTCCTTTCAACTTTAGGTGATCAGATCAAGTAACACTGTGGATTCTTTAAACATTGGAAAAACAAGTATATAATATTGTTTTGCCAACATCCTTAAGGATGTAACAGTTTTCCTTTTTATAAAAATAGTTTCTGTTCTTCAAGACTTGATTCATATCACATTCACAGGGTAAATCTTTGGGACTTACGCTTTGGTGGAAGAAAAGGTATTTGCACCTGGGAGCCCTAGTGGGCAGGTGTGATGATCAGCCTCCCAGATTTGTATGCCCTGTGCTCTCCAGGGCCAATTTTTCTTGACCATCACATCCCCTAGAACAGCTTTGGCAAAGGATCCCTCTTAGCAAAAACAAGGGTCCATGGTTCCTTTCTGAGCCTCAGGTATAGCACTGATCCCATTCAGTGTCAAAACAAGAAGCCTGGGACTCTCTGAGTAGTTTGAGTCATGACAAGCCTAGGTTATTCTTTTTTTTTTTTGTAAGATTTTAGTTATTTATTCATGAGAGACAGAGGAGGAGAGAGAGAGAGGGAGAGAGAGAGAGAAGCAGAGGGAGAAGCAGGCTCCCAAGGAGCAGGGAGCCCGATGCGGGACTCGATCCCAGGACCCTGGGATCATGACCTGAGCCGAAGGAAGACGCTTAACCATCTGAGCCACCCAGGCGCCCAAGCCTAGGTTATTCTTTAAAAAAAAACAAAACCCTTTATTCACAAGTGTTTTTGCCTGTAAGCTGAAAAGTCAAATTTCAGAAACTGTTTCTAAGATGGGGTATATGTGTGTGTACATTTGTGTATGTGTGCATTATGATTATTTTACTGGAAATATTTATGAGTCTTTCCCCTGACTCAGGAAAACAATGTTCAGGGTTAGATACCTGTTTTTTTGTGTAAGACAGAATAAAATAATTGTTTTCTAATGTGAAGTTCAAGCTGGCACAGTTGACTTAGGTGAGATATGATAACTTGCGCAGGTGTAAAATATGAATGAGGTGTGACAGCCATACCTTTCCCTTCTCCCCTGCAGGAGCTACAGGTGCACTGCGCAGAGGGGCAGGCCCTGTTGAATTCGGTGCTACACACCAGAGAGGAAGTGATACCATCGGGCATCCCCCAGACCGAGGACCGGGCTTTAGAGTCCCTCCGGCAGGACTGGCAGGCTTACCAGCAGAGATTGTCTGAGACCCGGACTCAGTTCAATAATGTAGTCAACAAACTGAGACTCATGGAACAAAAGTATCAGCAAGTAGATGAGTGGCTCAAAACACTGGAGAGCAAAGTGAGTGTCAAAACAGGACGTCAGTCTAGCCGGGCAACCAAGCAGATACAATTACATCAGATGAAGGTACAACTCCTGTAAATTCTTCATCTTTGTTAAAGCAGCAGTGACCTCACATAGTTTGTTTCATTAAAATATTTAGTAACTTTTCGTCCAAGATTTAAATTTTGCAAAATCTCTTTCTGTTTGCAACAAAGAATTACTATGTAGAATATTCTTTGACAGCAATTATTGAATAGAATCTTACATTAATCTTTAATAAGGTATAATTTAATGAAATATTTTATATTTTCTTCCCATACCCTATTACCTTGTTTTGTAAAGATACATGAATGATAGTATTGAAATCACTTAAGTTTATGGTTCTGATATGAAATTGCTCTAATGTAGTGCATTGAAATAATACCTGATAATTAGTTTTATCTAACTTTTATGCAAATTTAGTAGGCATGATCAAAATAACGCTTTTCCTTTGGAATTTCTTTTTTTTAAGATTTTATTTATTTATTTGAGAGAGAAAGAGAGAGAAAGCAGTGTAATATATACAGTAGTGTAATATATACAGAAAAGTACCCAAATAAGAAGTGCCCAGTTTTTAGCATGTTGTAATACAATTTTTCATGAAGGTTATATATGGTATATTTTCAAAATTATATCTCTGAATAAGTATATTCTGAACATACACTAAAATAATTTCCTATTAAGAAGATATTATATATTTGTCTAATGCAATAATGCCTAAGATTGATCCTGTTTCTGCCACGTTTATGTCATTTCAGAAGTGGCATGAAGAGGTAACCGCATACAAAGATGAAGTTGAGGAAGTGGGAGCCAGAGTGCAGGAGATGCTGGATGAGAACCATGTGAGCAGCCGAATGGGCTGCCAGGCCACCCAGCTGACTTCCAGATACCAGGCCCTTCTTCTCCAAGTGCTGGTGAGTGGGCCACCAGCTGCTCGCTTCAGGCCAGCAAATTTCACAAGCGAAAATGTTCTCCCTTGCATTAACTTCTGGTGAAGACACACATTTAGCAAGAAAGGCATTGCTATAGGTCTGTAATTTACTGTCCAATTCTGTTTTTCCTTTTAAAGGAACAAATAAAATTCCTGGAGGAAGAGATCCAGAGTTTGGAGGAATCAGAATTATCCCTAAGTTCCTATTCTGATTGGTACAACTCTACTCATAAAAACTTCAAGAATGTGGCCACCAAAATTGACAGAGTAGATAAAGTGATGATGGGGAAAAAAATGAAGATGTTGGAGGTAGGTGTGCAAACATTGGACTTGTCTCCCAGCCTTTGTCATTCCACACTGCTGCTCCATTCCCTATGCAGGCATTGGGAGCAAGAGTGTTCTTCCCTGCCCCGGGATGAGTGATGGTCCATGGCTCACGCTTCACTCCAAATATTGAGTTATAATCTCTGTAAGGCTAAAAGCTGACTTTCAGTTATTTGTGATGTCATGTCATCTGAATGACTTAGACTTGATTGCTTGTGTCTGAATTCCAGTTTGACACTTAAATATTAAGAGAAAAAAATTATCTCTAATTCACGGGACCACGTATTAACAAAAGAGTTTTTACTCGGATCTTTAGGAGTCCTACTAAGGATGAGAAGAACATCACGTTCTTATTTTAAGTCTCTGATTTGGAAATGTTATAGTGATCAGGACTTGTTAAAACCTGTATTAAGTAAAAAAAAAAAGAAGATTCTGATTCCTGGCAGATCACCTCTTCATAAAACTTCAAAAACGTATCTTAAGGGGAAACTTGAGAATGGCGACTTGAAAGCCTTTTCTTTAAAAGGAGAGAAATACTAACTCTATATTTGCTTCCTGCTCACTCCCTTCCTCAGAGTTTGCTAAAAGACATGGAGAAAGGCCATAGTTTGCTGAAATCAGCCCGGGAGAAAGGAGAGAGGGCTCTCAAATACTTGGAGGACAGCGAGGCAGAGACATTAAGGAAAGAGATCCAGGAGCACGTGGAGCAGTTGAAGGAACTGACCAGTATTGTCCGAAAAGAGCACATGACTCTGGAGAAAGGCCTTCTTCTAGCAAAGGAGTTCTCAGATAAATACAAAGCACTAACTCAGTGGATATCAGAATATCAAGAAATCCTACACACTCCTGAAGAACCCAAAATGGAATTATATGAGAAAAAAGCTCAGTTATCTAAATATAAGGTAGTGTGTTGTTCCTCACTGACAAAGGAGTGGGAAGGTCCTGCACACAGGGACCAAATGGGAGGAACGTGATTCCTGGTGTGTGCCGCCCTTAATCGGTGCTAGAAAACATCCTTGACATGTCCGCTCCACTGTGGGTGATACAGATTTATCTAGTTATGCTACATCAGCCTTATTTTTCCATTCAGGAATCATCTTTGCCTGATACTCAAAGATTGTATCAATAAATGGAGATCTATTCTGACAGTCTGATTCAGGTACAGGGCTACTCCAGATAAGTCTTCCTGGCGTCAGGATCTCACACCTATACATTTTATCTCTTTCATACAGACTTTCCTTCATTTCTTTTGTACCCAATGCCTATAAGCTGATCTATGGTAAATTGCAAATGAGATAGCGTATTTGTAAGAAAATAAATTCTAATTAACCAACTGTGGCTAAACATCTTAGAAATTAATTTTTGAAAGAATAAATGGTGATACGGATATGGCTATATATGATACGTAGAGAGAGATATTTCCCCTGCTTAAATCTATGAAAGAATTTGTTGAGGCTTATATATGGAATAATTTGTCTTCTAAATTTGACCCAAGTTTAGCAAATTTTTTTAAGAACTACAGTGTGATGGCTTACCTTGGAACTTTTCCTGTTGGAAGCTCTTTCCTCCTCTAGCCAATAGTCTATTCCTTTCCTTGTTTTTGTTTGTTTGTTTGTTTGCCAAGGGTAACAGTATGTCTTTGAAGGTGCCACATAAGACCACAACTGCTTTTCCCTTTTTTCTCTCCCCACTGCGTTCTTAATATATTTAAATAGCACTTTTAGCCTATCACAGCAATGTTGCAGCTGGAATCTGTCTCTCTAACTTCACATCCAGTTCAAGCTGCAATTAACTTCATGAACTCAAAATCAAATGATAACACCTCACTCCCTTTTGTGTTGAGTTTTCTTTTATCCTCCAGTGGAAGAAATGAGGTGCAAGCCAGAAATATGAACTAGGTTAAATTTAGCCAAAGGTAATTCTTTTCCATACATCCTTCTCCCCATGTGAGGGGCTATTTGATGTGTTACTCTTACTCTATATTTTAAAACTTTATAAGCCATAAAAATTATTCTTTAATGTTTTACATTTATCGATTTATAAAATATGCATCAGAGCTTTATTTGAGGTAGATCGTCTCACACGTGGCACAGACATCTGTATATATTCACCATGATCGTGTAGGTTAGCTGGCTCTTTTTATTTTTCCTCTTTGTGTTTCAAGTCACTTCAACAAATGGTGCTGTCCCATGAGCCCTCGGTAAGATCAGTGAGAGAGAAAGGTGAGGCTCTCCTGGAGGTCGTGCAGGACGTCACTTTAAAGGATGAAATAGATAAACTTCACAGTGATTACAAGGACCTCTGTGGTGCAGGAAAGGTAAGGAGAGACCAGAAATTCAATAAAAATGTGCTTATTTGCCAGAAAACGGTCTTGCCTTTTTTTTTTTAATCTGCCAGGGCTGGTGTAAATCAGTCTTTTTCCTTTTATTTAGATGGTCATTTTAAACGGTATGATGATTATGCTTTTTCTGTTCCTAGTAATTTTTTGAACTAGGTAACTGTACCTACCCTATGAGTTGCATGGGGTTTTTAAAAATATAAAGCAGTTCTGAGTATATTTGTGGCTTGAAATTCATCTCTAATGGGCACTTGGCTTCACAGGAACATGTCTGCAGCCTCGAGGCAAAAGTCAAAGATCACGAAGATTATAACAGTGACCTCCAAAAAGTAGAAAGGTGGCTGCTGCAGATGTCAGGCAGATTGGTGGTGCCTGACCTCATGGAGACAAGCAGTCTCGAGACAATTACCCAGCAACTGGCCCACCACAAGGTACGCCTCATCGCTAAAGAGCTGAAGAATGCAGCGTGGCTTTAGCAGCTATGCCGTATGTGTGTGTGTGTGTGTGTGTGTGTGTGTGTGTGTGTGTGTGTGTGTGTGAGAGAGAGAGAGAGAGAGAGAGAGAGAGAGAGAGAGAGCGCCCATCTCTGGATCATAATGACCATACTTAAGGAATCAGGTCTGAGTCTCAAGAACATCTGAAAGCTGAGAACAGTTGAATGTCCCTATTTCTGTGAAGCAACAACAGTTCAATCCTGGCTTTCAACTTCTGAACACATTGTGGCATTTTTCCCAGCTAATAGTTTTTTTTTTTCCTACAGAATTTAATATTTATAAAGTAATTTATCAGAGGAAGAGATTGTCTTTATTTTAGAAGAGTATAGCCAAAGATAGAGTACAGGAATAGTAATCAGAAAGGCTGGATTCTAGCCAGACTCTGTCATTCCCAGCTCAGGGAACTTAACCTCTCTGAGTCTCCTCCTTTGGCTGTTCTGTAAGAATGATACCACCCCCATCACACAGCTGTTGTGGTCATCACAAGCGATGATGTACATGAAAGCATTTTGTAAGCCACAAAGTATGATACTGATACACAGTGTTCTTATATTTATTAATATATATTTGTAGTAATTATATGTGCCAGATGACAGATGTCATATGGTCACAATTTTATGGAGCAATTTTGGTGACCTTAATGGGAAACTAAATTGTAGTCATGATGTGGTGACTATCTAGTGTGTCTTAGGAAAGCCGGTTAACCTCTCTAGGCTTTAGGATTCCTTATAATGTAGGAGGAAATTTTATTTAGCAAATATGAATAAAAATAGAAATATAATATATTCTGTTAGGCACTGAGGAAATACCCTCAGTCACCTCATGATGTAGTGGTTCTATAACAGCTCAAAGACAAATGTTTCTTTTCAATATGGTAGATATATGATAACAATTAACCCAGCACCACCACAAAAAAGTGGTGGACTCTGGGCTGCTGAGGGACCACTAGAGTTTCTCTTAAATGTATTGATGTATCCACCCAGGAAACCTTGTGCTAGAATGTGCCACTTGTCATTAGTATTTTATAGCATTAAGGAAATTAAAGCCTGATTTGAAAAAGTTAATTCCCTGCCCTAAGTGGTCTATGGAGAGTGCTCACTAGAGAACACATGTGGGGTAGTGGTGTGACAAGCTGGAGTCAGACAGCCCCAGGTCCAGAGGCTGGGACTCTGCCATTTACCAGCTGTATGACCTTGAGCACATTATATAACCTCCCTGTCCTTCAGTCTCCTTATCTGTAAAATGAGGATAATAATATACATTTATCAGGATATATATATAGTTCCTGGACTATACCAGGTGCTTAATAAATGGTGCATGGTAAATATTATTTTTATTAGTATAAATACTATTCAATATAAGTTAGATATGATATAAACAAATTACTAATTAGATATTAAATTATTATATCAACCAGATATTGTATTATTAGATAGATATTATTAAATTAGATTAAATAGTAATTAGATTATTTTAGGTATAAATTATACCAGAATTATAATTTATAGAGCTGAAAAATGTATGAACATCCTTTTTGCTGATAATAATGCCATGGAACATATATCTCTAACTATAACTGAGATCAGCCATAAATTCACTCTAGTCTTAGTGGTTACTGCATCATCCTTATATATCTTATTCCATTAAACTCATTAACCCTTCCCATTCAAGTATCCCTGAAAACATACATTTTTTGTTTGTTTGTTAATATGGTAACTAAGACAAATTGCAAAACTCGTTCAAAAACATCATTAAATAGTGAAATTATTGATTTTAAACTTTGATAAATTGGTCATTTAAAAACTGAAAATGGAATTATGAGAACTCTGTATTTCTTTCATTTTTGCAGGCAATGATGGAAGAAATTGCTGGTTTTGAAGACCGCTTGAACAATCTTAAAATTAAAGGTGACAATTTGATCAGCCAGTGTGCAGACCACCTTCAAGCAAAACTAAAACAAAATGTGCACGCTCATCTGCAGGGCACAAAAGATAGTTACTCAGCTATCTGCAGTACAGCTCAGAGGGTGAGTACACCTGGAACATTCTAGAATGATGATGAACTAAGGAGAAAGTCTGTACAATCTAGAGGTTTTAAAAAAATAGCTTTGATCTTCAGCTTCTAGGTTAGTTTTGTTGTATGTCCAGACAGGAAATAAGAGGATAGGTTTCATAGGCTCTGTGTGGACACAGAACTATCATACATTTGATTGATATGATCAAGTGGTGAGTTTCACACACTCAGTTTTACCCAACCCCTTTATTTCATAGATTGATTATGAAAATTTTTAAAAATTTCATTTTGCTTTTATTTGCACACTATCGATGCTTCTAATTGGCCATTTATTCTCCAGCACCAAAGTAAGCTTATTCTGTAACTTTCACAATAATGATTTTCTGTCTAACTCTATGCTGCCTAGGTTCTACTCCAATTCAGTATTTTTATGAGTTCATATAGAAATTGGATGGAGTTAGTACCAAATTTTAGTTATAACTTAATGGGTATACCTCCATTAAAATGGAATTCTTAATGTTATAGAAATAAGTCTAAGATGAGTACGAATCACTCTTCTAACAAAAATTAGGTAAAATAAGTGAATTGTTTTTTATTATTTTGGAATTCTTAAGTGGCTTTGCAAAAAGTCCATGTATTTTTGTCTGGGCTAGCCAGTAAGAACTGGAGATGTACATGTGACATAGGAAGAATGCTCTGTCTTCATCATGATTGGAAAAAAAAAATGCTGGGTGATATTAGTTGACTTCCCAGACTTGAAAAATTCACCTTCAAAAAGTTAAGAAAAAAGAACAGGGGAGGGGGGATGGGGGATGGGGTAACTGGGTGATGGGCATTAGGGAGGGCACATGGAATGAGCACTGGGTGTTACATAATACTGATGAATCACTGACCTCTACCTCTGAAACCAATAATATACTATAATTAATTGGATTTAAATTTTAAAAAAAGGAAAAAAAAGTTAAGAAGAAAGAGGGACAAAGTAAATCTAATAGATAATTGCAGATGAGGACACCAAGGGGAAAAGGGAGTGAAGCAAAATAAAACAGCATGGAGCTTTCTGGTGAGCTGCTTAGTGCCCTTCTCCAACAGAGATTATTTTGAACACTGACTGTAGCAAGCACACATTAAGGATTTCACAAATTGAAAAAAAAATTTGGTAAATGTTCAAAATACAAACACATAGCTTAAAAATAAATTTTTAAAAAGCAAATGAAACTCTAAGAACATAATCAGAACCTCATAATAGAAGTGTGTAAAAATGATAAAGAGAACAAAACACCTTTTTTCTTTTTAGTTCTGCTAGAATAAGAATAAATAAGAGACAGTGCCAATATCAGATGAAGATGATGAGTTTAATAGATGACAGAGAAAAGCAGAATTCAGTTATTGTTTCACTTGTCTTAATAAAAAGCCAGACTAACTTAATTTCCTTCTTTTTTCTTTCTTCTTTTTTTAAATAGAATAGTTTGCTCAGAAAAACATTATAGGTATATTTCACCTTGATTTCAAGGAGACACATATAGGTTCTCGATATGTCTATGGATAAAATGGAAATTGGTTGGCTGGTTGAGGATTAATTAATTGAATCGACATACTAGAAAATGTTTGGATTATTCTGGATCATTGTTGTCCTGGAACATAGCTCCTAAAATGAAATGAGGGCATCCAACTATCCCTTTCCTTATGTGGTAGTTTAGTTCCAATTTGACCATATTCTTTTTTTTATTTTTTTTTATTTTTTTTAAAAGATTTTATTTATTTAATTGACAGAGAGAGACAGAGAAAGAGAGGGAACACAAGCGGGGGGAGTGGGAGAGGGAGAAGCAGGCTTCCCGCCGAGCAGGGAGCCCGATGTGGGGCTCGATCCCAGGACCCTGGGATCATGACCTGAGCCCAAGGCAGTCACTTAACCAACTGAGCCACCCAGGCGCCCTTGACCATATTCTTAAAACAGAAGCATTTCAGTTAGAGAATTATCAGTTACCTTTTCACGATACGGTATTTTATCTATATGTTTAGTTTCTAGCTTCAACAAAAAGTGCAGTTATTATACCATGGGGGTGGGTGGGGACTGCAAAACCTCTGATTTATGTTTGACAATTTACTTCAAAGATGTCTTGTATTCTAATACATTTCTACAGTTACATTAACCCCGCCTACATTCTCTTCCCCCAGTCAGGGTATTATATTACAACGTGGGGGTTGAGAAATTATAAATTGAAGATGGCCACTGAGCTTTGCAACATTTTGGGACTTATGCAAACTCCTTAGATATGTATATGGTACCGGGGAGTCCTGCAGGGAAAATTCATGAACTTGTCCATGTGATTTTTATAGAGATCGGCAAAGATTTTTTGAACATTCTCATAACCACAGCATGATTGTTTTGTCTCAGGTGTACCAGAGTTTGGAACATGAACTTCAGAAGCACGTTAGCCGACAGGACACTCTGCAGCAGTGCCAGGCGTGGCTCTGTGCAGTCCAGCCAGATCTAAAGCCAAGCCAGCATCCACCTCTTAGCAGGGCAGAAGCCATGAAGCAGGTAGTAGACTCCTGAAAGTTTATGTTATACTGTGATTGATTCGTTCAGTGAAATTGTATTAAGTACTTATGTGCCAGATTGTGTGCCGGCTCCTGAGTGCATAAAAGTATACATAAGGTCGGAGCTTGACTCTAATCAAGTTCATGTTCTAGCTAGGAAGATGGACCTGATACTGATGGTCAGCCTGGTAGAACAGAAAGAGCATGGGCACTGTGGCCAAGATATCAACTCTAGTAACTACTCCACAGGGTGACCATGGGTATGTCACTTAATTCTCTGAGTCTCGGTGGTTCCATATGTAAAGTGATGATTCTAAGTATACTTACTTCTGAAAGTTATGAAAAAATTCAAACGTTATACCACAATGTACATGATTTGTAAACAGAAAGGAGGGATGGTTTGTGTTCCCCGTGGGACATTTGGCAATGTCTGAAGACAGTTTTGTTTGTCATCCCTGGGAGTGGTGGGGATGCTGTTGGCATCAGCCAGGGAAACTGCTGAGCACCCAGCAATGATCAGGACAGCCCCTCCAGCAAAGATTTACTTGGCTTCAAATGTCAATAGTTCTAAGGTTTAAAAGGCATAGAGGCATAAACCCATCAAATTCGGATGTATGGTCGACTACCCTGTAAGGTCTTCCATGGTTTGCCCCCTGCCCTACCTCTTTGATCTTTTCTCCTACTGGGTCACTCTGCTCCAGCCTCAGGGCTTTGCACCTGCTGTCCCCTTTATCACCCCATGACATGATTTGCTCCTTCCCTGAATTCAATTCTGTTCCTCAGAGAGGTCTTGGAGGTACATTCTTCCCAAAGTAACAGTGCCTTTCATCATATTCACTTTCCTTTATTCTGCTACATGGTGTTTATCACTACCAAACATTGCATTGCATGTTTGTTTATTTGTTTATATATTATCTGTCTCTCTCATAAGAATGCAAGCTCCATGGAAACAAGGGTTCTGTTTGGGCTACTAATTTGTACCCAGGATCTAACATAGAGCTTGCACACACTCTGGGTATCTTCACAGAAACACACCTCTCTGTGTTTCTGTGTATGAAGATCCACCTGTATCAGCCTTTCTTGGGGTTATGAAAAGGGAAGAGCACTGTATGAACTTTCTGCAGAGAAAAAGAGCCCAGCCATCTGCATTTTTACCAAACTCTATTGAAGTCTACAAATGCACAGTGACCTTTTCCTTTCTGTCTCCAGAATATGCAAAAACATGTGACAAAGCAGGCCAGGGTAGGCTACTGATCCTTTCTCTGAAATGGAAAACAAGCTAGAATGAGAGCAGAGAATCTGGAAAGATTGCAGAAGTTTCTTGGGTGTTCCCCTTCCTAGACCATACAGACTAATTACATTGAGAAGCAGCTGCTGGACAAATGGATCCCTGCCAGGAATGCCTTCCTGCAAGTCACCAATCTGTGTCATTTATAACAAGGGTGAAAATATTGAGCATAGCAAGGTTATTTTTGACATGTCAACAAAATACTACAAATGGTACAAATATTTGCTGTCTAAATATAGCATGTTTCTCTTTCACTCTGACAAGTTTGGTTTTTTTTTTTTCAGGTCAAACACTTCAGAGCTTTGCAGGAACAGGCAAGGACTTACTTAGATCTCCTCTGCTCCATGTGTGACTTGTCAAACTCTTCAGTGAAAACCACAGCAAAAGACATTCAACAAACAGAGCAAATGGTAAAAAGTTAAAAAAATCACATTGGATTTGTCTGTTTTATTATATCCTCTTGCCTGATGTTAGATGCGAAAGAAAATATCTCCTTGGATTATTCTTCCTGTGATGCTCCTACAGCTATTATAATAAATAGATATTTGAGTTTCAACTAAGTCACAGAAAGTAAGCACACTGGTACTAATGCCACAGAATTGGAACATTTTGTTCCATGGGACTGCCAATCATTAGTGCCTCTTTCCTCTCCTCTTTTCCCCTTAATTACCATTCTCTCCCCCTCTTTTCTGATTTTTCCACTCACATTTTTGTTCTTTTTTTCCCCCAACTTTTTCTTTAGGTAATACTTAATATAAAAATGGTTCCTGATTCTTGCTTTATATTAGGGATGGCAGAAAATGTGCCATCCGTCAAGACCCTCCTAATCCATGGGCAGTGACTGAGTGTGGTGTTGAGGATTCTGAAGCTGTGTCTGGGCTCCATGGGAAAATGTTGTGAGGAGTTCGCATTACTCACCCACAGCAGATGGCAACATAGAAGCCAAGTGTTCCCCAGCGCTGCCTTAAATTTTGTCAAGGCAATACATTTAGGTTTAAAAAAAAAAGAAGACTTGGTTTTGATATTTAATTGTTTGAATATTCACAGAACAGTAAAGGGATATAAAGGAAAAAAGTATTGAAGAAGTCAAATAGTTAAATAATAATGTAGATATTAAAATAATGTGGTTTTTTCTTACTTTTATTATCAAAGCAAATCTCTCTTTAAATCCTTATGAAAGATGATGTAATTCATATGTATTTCTAAAGAAGTGATTTATTGAAATAAATTATCTGATTTTGAAAACCAGTGAAGCTGATCTAAAAATATATCCAAAGCATTCATTACTTGGTGTTTTGTAATTATCAACAGATGCACAATAGCGAACAATATAAGTCTTTTCTAGTTAACCCCAAGACCAAATTCATGAGTCAGTCAAGCAGATGTGTCTCCTAAAATGCCCGATATAAAAAACCACTAAGGCAGCTCTGACCTAATAAATTGTTAAAACTTTTAGAACTTTACAACTGATTGAAATCACATGGCATAAGTCTTAGACACTTAAAGTCTTTAGAAAATTTAAATGTAAAAAGAAAATCTGCTTTTCTTCAAGCAAATAAAGAGTTCATTTTGGCTTTATTACAGAGTGTGTGTGTGTGTGTGTGTGCGCGCGTGTGCGTGTGTGTGATGTTTGCATATACATGCACACATGTACATGTATGTTGGCCTGTGTACATGGACAGCCTAAAGGATTACATGTCTGATTCACTGAACCTAAATGTTTCAGTCTATTGCTGCTAAATTTTGCCTCTGTGTTCTCTTAAGATTGAACAAAGGCTTGCCCAGGCACAGAACTTAACTCAGGGCTGGGGAGAGATCAAGCACATGAAGGCTGAGCTTTGGATTTACCTCCAGGATGCTGATCAGCAACTACAGAATATGAAGAGAAGGCACTCAGAACTGGAGCTCAACATTGCACAGAACATGGTTTCCCAAGTGAAGGTAGGAATTAATGGGTCTCCAGAGGAGATAAAGGAGACTACAACTGGTATGTGGCAGCCAATGTCCTTCAACATTAGTATAGCTACTTAAGGAATGAGATAGAATCAGAACAACCTTCATTTGGTGCCAGGAAAGGACAGATGAGAAAGTAAACATTCAGATATTTTCTTGGAGCTCCAGTTAGCTACTTGGATTGAAGAACATTCACTCTGTAGTTTGTTTCTGAACAAAGCAGTTGTGGTTTAGCCAATAGAGCCAGAAGACGCTGCCACTAAACAAACACAAAGCCTTATTTTTTACTAGCTTTTCATCACAATATTGCTAAAGCTGTAGGACTGTAAATGTATCAATTAATTAAATCCATCTAACCTATAAAGTATGTATTAATATATAATTAATTTTATGGGGCGCCTGGGTGGCTCAGTCATTTGGCGTCTGCCTTCGGCTCAGGTCATGATCCCAGAGTCCTGGAATCGAGCCCCACATCAGGCTCCCTGCTCAGCCAGGAGTCTGCTTCTCCCTCTCCCTCTCCCCCTGCTTGTGTTCCCTCTCTAGCTGTCTCTCTGCCTGTGTCAAGTAAATAAATAAAATCTTTAAAATATATATATAATTAATTTTAAATGTAATAAAAATAGAATTTATATTATATATTTATATACAGCTTAAATGTAATAGAAAATTACCTAAAGTGTATTAACTTGATTGGAAGTTGTACCAGATTTTTAACAAAATTTAAGATTTATTTTTGTCATGATTGTGAGCATTTTTTTCTACTGGAATATTGTTTGCATATGCAGAAAGAAGAAAAGAGATAAATTAGATTTTTTTTCTCAAAAGCAATGAACTTTAAAAATTCTTAGAAAACCAGGACTGCACTTTAAGATAAAAATAGTACTTTTTTTTTCCTTAATGACTTTAGTATTGTTTCATATTTATCAGTTTTCTTTATACTTTTCAAAGTAACATAGTAAAGGAAAATACCACAGTTATCCTTTGATTCTTATGTACCTGAAAATTTGTACTCATAAAGAGGTATGGTTTTTAGACTTCCTCTTTGTCCCTCATGACCCACTCATTATACATTCTTCAGATACTTGAAGTGTTTGGAAGTATTATATCTATGTCTCATTCTGTATTTATTGGATGGGGGGTGGTTATTACACATCATTCATTTTGTTGTTGTTGTTATCCTTCAGGATTTTGTTAAGAAGCTACAGTGCAAACAGGCATCAGTGACCGCTATTACAGAAAGGGTGAATAAGTTAACCAAGAAGCAGGAGTCTCCTGAACACAAGGAAATAAGTCACTTAAATGACCAGTGGTTAGATCTGTGTCTTCAGTCTAACAATCTGTGCTTGCAAAGGGAAGAAGATCTTCAGAGAACAAGAGATTACCATGACTGTATGAATGTTGTTGAAGTGTTCTTAGAAAAATTTACTACAGAATGGGATAACTTAGCCAGGTAACAGCAGTTCTCCAGTGGCTCACCAAAATGCTAAGCCATAAATTTCCTAATTTTTAGGAAAATCAAAAATTTTAAATATCTATTGTCTATCGTTATAAATACTGATAAAATATTATTAAGAATCTAATGTTGTCAGATGGATACAGAGTCATGATTTTTTTTTTTTTGCTCAGTATTAATTTAACCAGTGAGTAGAAGGAAAATGTTTGAAAACAGCACCATTTTCCTCTATGACCTTAAGGGATATTCCAAAGACTGTTACACTGTTACTTCAAAGAATATCCCAAGAGTATTTCTAGTTTTGTTTAATTATCAGTTACGGGACTATCATCTATCAATTCATGAAATGAATCCTTCTTGAATCTATGTATTCTGTAGGTATCTTGGCAGTTCTGTAAAGTAGTACATTCTGTATAATTCGGTCAAATTGTCTTGTACTTGTGAATTCTAGAAATTAGTGAACAATCCAAATTCAATTAATGTGTGTCGTTTGTGATTTTGTAGCAATTGAAGCCCTCTTAGCTTGTTGTTTGAAAAGGATTTCTTTTTCTGCCACATATACCAGGTCATCATATGGAAATCTTTTTCTATACTTCTGATCACTATAATTGTTAAAATCTATACTTCTTCTGCCTAGATTTATTAATTTGTAAAAATTAAAACTGAAAACATTATTCTAGATGTAGTTAAATTATAGTGGTGTTTTTGAAAGGAGATGCACTATTTTCTGATTTGTTTACTTTTCTTTGATGCTCAACAATCTACTAGTCTTTGGGATAAATCCAGTAAATATCAGCAAAAACCCGTATTTTGAGTTTATAATAGGCATCTCCATCTGTTTGACCCACAGACACCTTAGACCTAATAAGGCTTAAACAGATCTCATCATACTGCCTCCCAACCCTATTCCTCCTACTTCAGAACTGATCATTTTACAATTGAAAGAGACTTACAAGATTCCTTTTTCTCATGTGTGTTTTATCGTCGAAGGGTTGAGAATTCTTTGCATTTCACACTTATTTTTAAAGATTTCTAGTGATAAGCAAAAAATATCTCAGTACGTAGATGAGTGGCTGTTAAAGTCATTGGTTATATCTTACAGAATAAACTAGTGCTATTTGTTTATTGGAACTTCTCATAGGAGAGCACGTAGCTCGTGAATAATTTATGAATTTCTTTAAGAATGCAGTAGATCAGTGCTTGTCAATATTTAGTGTTTACACAAATCATCCAAGAATGTTGTTAATATGCAACATAATATGTTAATATGCTCAATTGATAAGAGCCAGAGGAGGAAGCTAAAAGTTCATGTCTGATGTGATGGGAGAGCAGCATTAGCCAGAAGAAGAAGCACAGAGAAGCATCAAGGCAACTTATTTGGTTCAAATTCTGATACAGAAATATATGGGTCCATAATAATCATACTCTTTAGTAAACCATGAATTGAGCTATCGTAAGCTAAGAACATCCACTTTAAGAAAATGTTGAAGTGTAATTTAACATGGTATGAACATATATAGATATTAACCAAAGCTAATTTATTTGTATATCTTTTGATATATTTATAGATCCGATGCAGAGAGTACAGCTGTCCATCTAGAAGCTTTGAAAAAGTTAGCCCTAGCTCTGCAGGAGAGAAAGCAGGCTATTGAGGATCTGAAAGATCAAAAGCAAAAAATGATAGAACATCTGAATTTAGATGACAAAGAATTAGTCAAAGAACAGACAAGTCACCTTGAACAACGTTGGTTTCAGCTCGAGGACCTTGTTAAAAGGAAAATCCAAGTGTCAGTCACCAACATGGAGGAATTAAATGTGGTGCGGTCCAGGTTTCAGGAGCTGATGGAGTGGGCAGAAGAACAACAGCCCAACGTTGCTGAGGCCCTGAAGCAGAGCCCCCCACCAGATATGGCTCAGAACCTCCTCATGGATCACCTCGCCATTTGCAGTGAACTGGAGGCCAAACAGATGCTCCTGAAATCACTCATAAAGGACGCAGACAGGGTGATGGCTGATCTTGGCCTAAATGAGCGGCAGATAATCCAGAAGGCACTCTCTGATGCACAGAGACATGTGAATTGTCTCAGCGACTTAGTGGGCCAGAGACGAAAGTACCTAAACAAGGCCTTGTCTGAGAAAGCCCAGTTCCTCATGGCAGTATTCCAGGCAACCAGCCAAATTCAGCAACATGAGCGAAAGATAATGTTCCGTGAGCACATCTGCCTGTTACCCGATGATGTGAGCAAACAAGTTAAGACATGTAAGAGTGCACAAGCCAGCCTCAAGACTTACCAGAATGAGGTCACTGGACTTTGGGCTCAGGGTCGTGAATTAATGAAAGGAGCCGCAGAGCAGGAAAAAAGTGAAGTACTAGGTAAGCTTCAGGAATTGCAGAGCGTCTATGACACTGTTTTACAAAAGTGTAGCCATCGGCTACAAGAACTAGAGAAAAATTTAGTTTCTAGGAAACATTTTAAGGAAGATTTTGATAAGGCTTGTCACTGGCTAAAACAAGCAGATATTATTACATTTCCTGAAATCAACCTAATGAATGAGAGTCCTGAGCTTCATACACAACTGGCCAAATACCAACACATTCTCGAACAATCTCCAGAATACGAGAATCTCCTGCTTACACTACAGAACTCTGGGCAGGCCATATTGCCATCGCTGAATGAAGTTGATCATTCCTACCTCAATGAAAAGCTAAATGCTCTGCCCCTGCAATTTAATGTAATTGTTGCATTGGCTAAAGACAAGTTCTATAAAGTCCAAGAAGCAATTCTTACTCGGAAAGAGTATGCTTCCTTGATCGAATTGACAGTCCAGTCTCTGAGTGAACTTGAAGACCAGTTCTTAAAGATGAGCAAAGTCCCTGCTGACCTGAGAGTTGAAGAGGCTCTCTCTCTTCAGGAAGGTTGCAGAGCCCTTTTGGGAGAGGTGGCAGGCCTTGGGGAAGCAGTGGATGAACTGAACCAGAAGAAAGAAAGTTTTAGAAGCACAGGTCAGCCTTGGCAGCCAGACAAGATGTTGCAACTTGTCACCTTGTACCACAGGCTAAAGCGACAAACAGAACAAAGGGTTAGCTTACTAGAAGATACCACCAGTGCTTATCAAGAGCATGAAAAGATGTGCCAGCAGCTAGAGAAACAACTAGAGGCTGTGAAAACAGAGCAGTCCAAAGTGAATGAGGAGACCCTTCCTGCAGAGGAGAAGCTCAAAATTTATCACTCCCTGGCAGGAAGTCTTCAGGATTCAGGAATTGTACTCAAACAAGTGACCGTGCATCTTGAAGATCTGGTTCCACACCTTGATCCTTTGGCTTATGAGAAAGCCAAGCAACAGATCCAGTCCTGGCAAGAGGAGTTAAAACTGTTGACTTCTGCCATTGGCACGACAGTGACAGAGTGTGAGAGCCGCATGGTGCAGAGTATAGACTTCCAGACAGAGCTGAGCCGCTCCCTGGAGTGGCTGAGGAGTGTGAAGGCAGAGCTAAGTGGGCCGGAGTGCCTGGACCTGAGCCTACAGGACATCCAGGAGGAGATCAGAAAGATCCAAATTCATCAGGAAGAGGTACAGTCCAGCCTGAGAATAATGAATGCCCTGAGTAACAAGGAGAAGGAGAAATTCACAAAAGCCAAAGAGCTGATTTCTGCCGATTTACAGCACACCCTTGCTGAGCTCTCAGAGCTAGATGGAGATGTTCAGGAAGCTTTACGCACCAGACAGGTTGGTATGCAAGGGCTTCTCTTTTCTTTTTTTCCGCTCTGCTTATTTGTAAAACAGTCGTGAGAAATTCCTTAGTTTTTGTATTTGGTTAGAGTTGCTTTATGCAATATTTCTTTTCTTTTCTTTCTTCTTTTTTTTTTTTTTCAGAAAGAGAGAGGGGGAGATGGGGGAAGGGGAGGGGGGGAGAGGGAGGGAGAGAATCTCAAAAAGATTCCATGTCCAACGCAGAGCCTGACTGAGGGCTCAGTCTCATGACCCTGAGATCATGAGCTGAGTGGAAATCAAGAGTTGAACGCTTAACTGACTGAGCCACCCAGGCACCCCTATATTTCTTTTTTGATACTACATAGAATCATCTTTAGTATCTTTATTGCTTACATGCATGGTATTAATCTCATGTATTCCACGTTTCGACTTGTCCTTAGTTATAACACGGTAATACCTCAGTTTTCTCTCACCTTTAGGAGAGATAATACATGATAGCACTAATATAATCAATACCACACATGAGTACATTAATACTAAAATAAATTAACTAGCAAAGAATAATTAGTGATGCCTTTTTTAAACAATCTGAAGCCTGGAGTTTCTAAGATGAGTGCTAGATGAAGAGCCTCCGAAGGAGGCATTGTGGACAAGACGCAGTCTTGACCTGATGCTGAGCCACACTTCCTGTGGGGTCGAGCCACACTTCCTGTGGGGTCGAGCCACACTTCCTGTGGGGTCTCTCATCAGTTGCCCCGTCTCTTCATCCTTTCCTCATCTTCTCTTGCTCCCCTGCAGCACAGCAGAAGCAAGACTACAAGATTCGTTCATGACTTGACTTGGGGATAACAAAGAAATGAGAGTGTGCACAGAACTTCCCAGTTTGACAGCCTAATTGCAGCTTGTTCTGAGGCTTGCAAGTTCTGTGTGTTCAAAATTCAGAGATATAATAGCGCCCAGAAGTTTACTTACTTATCCTTTGGTTCTTTTTTTCCACATCTGTCCTCAGTCCCCGGTTCTATCCCAGTTGAACCGAATTCGTTTCAACAAGCCATTTAAGTAAAAAAGAGAGTTTTCCTTAGGATAACATAGCAGCTAAAGCTTTGGAGTAAGGCACACCTGGGTTTTAATGTCAGTTATTTGATATTGGGAAAATGATTCCCATCCCTTAAATCTCAGCCTCTGCTCTGTGGAGGAAGGATACTAATATTTCCTTCTTAGATTTGTATTCTCAGTATAGGACCTGATGGAGACAGAAGTAACCCCCAATGAATCTTAGCTATCACTTAACTTTTTTTTCCCCCACATAGATTAAGGTTAACACTAAATAATAAATATTTTTAATCTTATATTTGTTTTTTTTTCAACCCCACAGGCTCCCCGGGGGTTCCCACCTGCCCCCTCACACTGATAATATTAATATTTGGGAAAAATCTTGAGAAACTTCATCAGCTAAAATCTGACTTCTTAAACTACTTTTACCTTTTCAGGTTGATTCAAGGTCACTGTTAAATTTTTTTTTTAATTTCCCTATAGCCATAAAGTATTTAGCCTGGAATGAAGAATCAGAACAGAAGTTACCTGGAATTTTCATTCCTGAGAAACATCTGTCCTGTTAGCTTGCTTCCGCTGATTTTTTTTATTTTTGAACGAAAATCTTGAATCTTTTAAGGTGTCCCTACTTCTGCCATCTTGTGATTGATTGTCTTATTGACTGTCTTGGCCCCAGTAACTGAAGGTTGTGGTTCCAGGGGCACTACTCATCTCTACCACTGATTCTTTGCTTGGCCATCTGCATTCTTTCCTTATTAAGTGCCAGTCTTGCACATACTTTCTGCGTCTGATTGCATAATAGCGACTTGTCTTGTCCAGTCACTGCTGGCCACTTACAATCTTTCCTTTCCTTCTGCATTTGAATGGATTTCACTTGATGGGGTCAGCTTTCCATTCTTAAACTTTTCTGTTTTAGTCGGTATTCAAGACTTTTGGACTACTAGTTCACTTCCACAAATTGCTATTTAGTCTGGTGAACACCGGTTTGGAAGTTTGGTGTTATTATACTTCCTTCCTCCCACACCCATCTTTATTGAGGGTTAACCGACAAATAAAATTCTAAGATATTTAAAGCATACAATGTAATGGTTTGATATATGTAAACACTGTGAAAAGATTTCCCCCATTGAGTGAATTAATACATCCATCACCTCACATTTTTTGTTTAGGTGAGAACCTGAAATTTAATTTCTAATGTCTTCGCAAATTTCAATTATACAATACAGTGTTATCAACTATAGTCACCATGTTACACATTCGATCCTCAGACTTTATTCAGTTTAAAACTAAAAAATTGTACCATTTTACCAATCTCCCCCTAGCCCCCCTGGGAACCACTAGTCTGTTTAATTTCTATGATTTCAACTTTTTTTTTTCTTTAGATTCCATTTATAAGTGAGACCTTGTGGTATTTGTCTCTCTGTGTCTGGCTTATTTTGCTTAGCATCATATCCTCCAGGTCAACCATATTTTCTCAAATGACAGGACTTCCTTCTTTTTTAAGACTGAATAATATTCATATATACCATAGTTTCTTTTCTTTTTTTTTCTAATTGAAGTATGGTTGATACACATTACATTAGTTTCAGGTATGTGACATAGTGTTTTGACGAGTCTATATGTCATGCTGTGCTCACCATAAGTGTAGCTACCATTTGTCAACATATAACACTATTACAATACCACTGACTGTAGTCCCTAAGCTGTACCTTTCATCCCTGTGACTTATTCCTTCCATAACTCGAAGTTTGTCCCTCCCACTCCCCTTCGCTCATTTGCCCTCCCCCCCCACCTCTCCTCTGGCCACCATCAGTTTGTTCTCTGTATTTGTGGGTCTATTTCTGCTTTTTATTTGCTTGTTTTGTTTTTATATTCTACATATAAGTGAAATCATATGGTTTGTCTTTTTCTGAATTCTCTCACCTAGCATAATACCCTCTAGCTACATCCATGTTGTCACAAATGGCAAGATCGTCTTTGTTTTTATGGCTGAGTAGTATTCCATTGTGTATATATACCACAGCTTCCTTATCCATTCATCTTTTGATGGACACTTGGGTTGCTTCCATATCTTGGCTATTGTAAATAAAGCTTCTATAAACATAGGGGTGCATATATCTTTTGAATCTGTGTTTTAATTTTCTCTGGGTAATTACCCAGTAGTGGAATTACTGGATCATATGGTATTTCTATTTTTTAACTTGTTGAGGAGCCTCCATACTGTTTTCCACAGTGGCTGCACAGTTTACATTCCCACCAACAGGGCATGAGGGTTCCTTTTTCTCTGCATTCTCGCCAACACTTGTTATTTCTTGTCATTTTGATGCTCTTCATTCTGACAGGTGTAAGAGGATATCTCATTGTGGTTTTGATTTCTATTGCCCTGATGAAGAGTGATGTTGAGCATCTTTTCATGTGTCTATTTGCCATCTGTATGTGTTCTTTGGAAAAATGTCTATTCAGATCCTCTGCCCATTTTAACTGGATTATTTGTGGTGGTTTTGGTATTGAGTTGTATAAGTTCTTTTTATATATTTCAGATATTAACCCCCAATTGGATATATCATTTGTGAATATCTACCATTCAGTAGGTTACCTTTTTGTTTCATTGATGGTTTCCTTTGTTCTGCAAAAGATTTTCATTTCGGTGCAGTTCCAGTAGTTCATTTTTTTGTTTCCTTTGCCTGAGGAGACATCTAGAAAAATGTTGCTAAGGCCAATGTCAAAGAAATTACTGCCTATGTTTTTTTCTAGGACTTTAATGTTTTAGGTATCACATTTAATCCATTTTATTTTTGTATACTACATTTTCTTTAACCATTCATCTGTGGATGAACACTTAGGTTGTTTCCATACCTTGGCTAGTGAAAAATGCTGCTATAATATAGGAGTACAGATATCTTTTCAAGATGATTTCATTTATCTTTTGGGTAAATACCCAGAAGTGGGATTGCTAGATTCTATGGTGGTTCTATTTTTAATTTCTTTAAGAACTTCCATACTCCTTTCCATAATGGCTTTACCAGTTTGCATTCACACTGGCATTACACTTCCAACCAACTTTGGTTGGAGGCATTATTTCACTTTGGTAAATACTCAGCCTCTCATATTTTGCAAAGCATTATATATTTATTTTTAAAAGGGAGAGAACAAAGCTTCAGAAGTAGTCAAGATACCACCAAAAAATTTCTATTCTACTTCTGTCCATGTTTATTTATTTTAACTGCCATAATAAAATCATAACAAGAATAGGAGAAGGAAAAAAGTAATGGTGAATTGTGCCTAAAAAAATTCTACCAACTTATCAATTCACTTATACACATACAGCCACATGACTGAGGACTGGAAAAAAAGTGGAAAAAAAATTAAACTATTTCCAGTAAATACATTGCAATTGAGAGTTGATTGTGTTTGCCATTACTGTTTTTCAGGCTGCCTTAACTCAAATATATAGTCAATGTCAAAGGTACTATCAAGTATCTCAAGCAGCTAATGACTGGCTTGAGGATGCTCATGAAATGTTACAACTGGCAGGCAATGGCCTAGATGTGGAGAATGCAGAGGAAAATCTCAAAAGCCACATGGAATTTTTTAGTACAGAAGATCAGTTCCACAGCAATCTGGAAGAGCTCCAAGGCCTGGTAGCCAGCTTGGACCCACTCCTCAAGCCAACTGGAAAAGAGGACCTAGCACAGAAAATGGCTTCCCTGGAAGAGAAGAGCCAGAGGATAATACAGGACTCCCATGCCCAGTTAGATCTCTTGCAGAGGTATTAAAGTTGTTTTCATCTTTATATTCCAGTGAAATGAATTTTCACATAGAAAAGAGGAATATACCAATGATGTACATTAGCATGTAAATTCATTCTTCTCTCTTAAGTATCATTAGACATATTCCATCAGAGCTCTGCATAGAAATGTGTGATTTTATGTTGCTTATTATCTTTTGTCTGACTTTTTCAAGATGTGCTGCTCAATGGCAGGATTATCAAAAAGCAAGGGAAGAGGTTATCGAATTGATGAATGATGCAGAAAAGAAATTGTCTGAGTTTTCTTTATCGAAAACTTCTTCCAGTCATGAAGCAGAAGAGAAATTGTCAGAACACAAGGTTAGTTTTGGGTTGTTGTTTTAAATATCCTTTCATTGTAATTGTAATGGGTCTTTGTCATCTGAGAGTTCCAGAAACAGGTCAATAAATCTTCATTTACACCTGGATGCATTTAAATATGAAAAGGATATTAAATGTGAAAAGGATACATTTAGTCACATTTCATAGCAGTGTGAACTTAATTAAATGCTATCACCTTTTTAGGATTCCTGTTGAAATGCACAGCTAGTTTCACAAAAAGACCAGAGAAATTTGCTTCTGATAAGATATGACAATAAATTAGAGAGGGCACGTACTGAATGGAACACTGGGTGTTATGCACAAACAATGAATCAAGGAACACTACATCAAAAACTAATGATGTAATGTATGGTGATTAACATAACAATAAAAAAGATATGACAATAAATTTCAGTAAATACTTCCTGATAATAACTTCAATAAATTCAAATAATATTCAGATATTCATAACAGTCTCACTCAAATAGCACAGCAATATAAGGTCGAATGTAACATACTTAAATATCAAATTCAGTGCCTTATCTTTTGAAATTGAGAGAATGTTATCTCAAGTCGCAAATAAACTTTTCTTCTTAATAAATAAAATATTTTAATAAATAAATTTTCAATAAAGACATAAATTTACCTTACCTCTTTAAAACATTCAGGCCTAAGTCAATTAAAAATTAAGTGTAAAAATAAGAGTTACCAGAGGAAAATAAAAATACATAGGAACATTTCCTTTTGCAAGTCATTTTGAGCTTTACTGAAATCCTTAGAACTTCTGAAAAATCAGTCTCTCCTCATAACCTCTTTTATCCTCTCCCTATCTCAGTCTTTAGTGTCAGTAGTTAATTCTTTCCATGAGAAAGTTGTGGCCCTTGAGGATAAAACTTCACAACTGGAAAAAACTGGAAATGACGCAAGCAAAGCAGCCTTAAGCAGGTCGATGACTACTGTCTGGCAGCGCTGGACACGTCTCCGTGCTGTGGCTCAGGACCAGGAGAAGATATTGGAAGATGCAGTAGATGAGTGGAAAAGCCTTAACACTAAGGTAATTTCCATGACTGATGGGCTCAAAGAACTGTTTCCTTGCTGATGACAATGTATTTTGGAAAAACACTATTTTGTTTCTTTTTTGAAATTGGCTTTCTGAAAAGCAACAAGCCTTTCTTTTTTAAGTCTCTGTTTCAGTGACATGAAAGCCAAATCATGAAATGCAATGTGCAATTTAATGTGCAATTTAATCCTAAATCAGGGTCTGATTATTTTTTTTTAAGATTTATTTATTTACTTTTAGAGAAAGAGAGTGAGCAAGAACAGGGGGACGGACAGAGGGAGAGGGAGAGAAAGAATCCCAAGCAGACTCCCCGCTGAGCATAGAGCCTGCCTTGGGGCTCAGTCCCACAACCCTGAGATCATGACCTGAACCAAAATCAGGAGGCTCCCCAGGGTCTGATTATTTTAATGAGAAAACCAAGCAATTAAATTTTGAAAGGAATACAAACCCACTTTGCCCCATTTGCTAGGCTCTTCGTAAAATTTTCTTACCCCCCTCTCTCTCTGTCTCTCTCTAAAATAAATAAGTAAATCTTAAAAAAAAATTGGGGCACCTGGATGGCTCAGTCAGTTAAGCACCTGACTCTTGGTTTCAGCTGAGGTCATGATCTCATGGGTCCTGAGAATGAGCCCCAAGTGCGGGGGAGGGGGTCCCCACTCAATGGAGAGTCTGCTTGAGATTCTCTTCTTCTGCTCCTCCCCCAACTCGTGCACACACACACGCTTTCTGTCTCTCCAATAAACAAATAAATCTTTAAAAAAAATTTCTTACCTGGCCCTGAAAAAGTATAAAATACTTTCTTTGCCATGAAAATGAGCGGGAATTTCCAAAATCCTGTATTTAATTCCTTTTATCTTTTAAGTAGGCTTCAGTATTTTAAACCATATCATCCTTAATGACTCAAAGGCACATATTTATGTTAACATAAATATTGGAAAGTTTTTCTTTTATCTGTTTATTTAAAAAAAAAACCTTTTCTATGTTATGCAGTCTCTGATAGCCCTATTATTTTGAGATTAAATCTTAAAACCCAGAAATCTTCCCTTTCATGTTAAGGAGATTGTTCATGTCTAGTCCCTGAAATTTAGAGTTTATGCCGTCATCTTTAATGTGCCTCAGTGACTTTGGGTCAAATGTGCCATTTATTGGAATTGCTCTGTCTTTTCAGTTTATTTTTGATCTTCACAGTATATACATTTGTCCTCAGGTTACAAAAGCCAAGGAAATGATTGATCAGCTGCGAGATAAATTACCGGACAGTTCTGCAGAGAAAGCCTCAAAAGCAGAACTCTTCACTCTTCTCGACCATCATGACACACTCGTTCTGGAGCTGGACCAGCAGCAGCTGGCCTTAGGTCTGCTGCGGCAGCAAGCACTGAGCATGCTCCAGGATGGAGCCACGCTGTCCCCTGGAGAAGAGCCGTCTATTGTCCAGGAGATCACGGCAATGCAAGATCGGTGCCTGAAGTAAGCATAGACTTGCTTTCATTCTCTGTTACTAAACTTGGTCATGACCCAGAGGGATAAGCGTAGTATTAGAGCCTGGGGATGCTCCCATCATGCCACCTTAAAAACGTGGGAAACTGTTCCCTTCATCCCTGCTTTTCATTTTTCTTAACTCTTCAAGTTATTTATCTGAAAAATACATCCTAGTAGTATTTAGAAATATAGTGATGAGCCATACAGAATTCAGTCTCTGAGGTTTACACTCAAACAACAGAGACCGACAACTACAGAAGCATTTCGGCAGAGCATGGAAAGAGTGGTAAGGGCGTATGCAGCACCTCTAGGAGAGGAATCAAGGAAGGCTTCCCTTCAGGAGGGGTGCTTATGCTGAAGACTGGGCAGGCTCGAGCTAGGCAGTGAAGTGGGAGGAGAGGTTAGCCCACAGGGGAATACAATGTAAGAAAGCTTGGATGTGAGCATGTTACTTTCAAGGAGCGGTTGGGCGACAGGGCAATTCCTGAGAAATGAAGCTTGAAAGGTGAACAGGTGAGAGCTATTGAAAACTTCATTTTGATAAAGCTTGATAATTCATTGGCTAACTTGGAGGGCAGGGAGATCAGAACAAGGGTAATATCAAAGTCCAGATAAATAATAGCTATTTACTGATAATGAACTTAGCGGAAAGAGAAAGTTAATCTTGATGTGTAACCAGCCTGAATCACTCATTGAGCCAGAGGAAGAAATGTCAATAGGTGATTTTACCCTGTATTAACTAATATTACTCACCCATAGCCTATATTCCTCTCTTCTACTTATAGATGAATTCAGGATAATCTGACTTCGCTTATTTAAACTTTTTTACCAAACTTTTGTCAATTCAAATAAAAACTTATAGTTTGGATGTTGAACATTATTAACTGCCAAATTTCTAAAGCTTGATACTTTGTTTAGAGACTGGCTTCTAATAGCCACAAACATTCCAATTACACATTACTTTGAAGTGCTGATGATTCTGCACCATTTGAGTAGACTTCCAAAGAGGAAATAAATAAACAATCTCCAATTGTTTAAGACAGGAAAATTCATTGCAATTTAGTGGCTTGGGAGTATGTCAACTCTCAGTGTTCCAGGGATAAATCATTGACTTAATATGACATATATTCTTCTGTTGTACTTGGCTTAAGTGTTACTGAACATTATCTCAGAATTTGGGGAAGTGTCTTTGCCTGCAAAAAAGGATATGAGGCTTTACTTTTTTTAATGTCTGTTTTTGATAATATTATGTCATTGATTAGGGACTTCCTTTCACATCAAATCCTCTTCTGGTTTCTCCCTTTAATGTTTCTGAAGCATGCAGGACAAAGTGAAGAGTAACGGAAAGGTGGTAAAGCAAGAGCTAAAGGAGCGAGAAGTTGTGGAGACTCAAATCAATTTGGTGAAATCTTGGTTTCAGGAAACAAAGGAATATTTGGGGAATCCAACAATAGAAATAGATGCTCAACTTGAAGAACTTCAGGTACCAAACTCTTCTTATTCCCTATACCCATCATTTTAAAAATGTCCTGATTTTAATGAGATATGTTTGTTTATATTTAGTGAGTATTGAATTAAAATTTTTCAGCAATGTAACATATAAAAGGCTTTTAGTATTATTTCAAGGGACTTTCTTTTGTTCTGTATAAAGGGGACACGCTTCTCCCCAGAGACTAAGGGAAGGCTTGAGGTTTTTTTTTTTTAAGATGTTTCTCTAAGTCCACACTTCATATATTGATAAACAATACATAGTCTTGTCTCTGTACCCAGAAAAATGAATTTCCCTATCAGGCTCCCAGAAGCTTCTAATTTTGATCATTTTTTTAGATTCTCCTAACAGAAGCCACAAATCACCGACAGAACATTGAGAAAATGACTGAAGATCAGAAGAATAAGTACCTGGGTCTTTACTCCATCTTACCTCCTGAACTGTCCCTTCAGTTCGCTGAGGTGGCACTGGACCTGGGAACTATCCATGATCAGGTAAACCTCGGCGCACAAAGTATGCCTTTCCATTCTTTCAGAGGCTCAGTACTTTTGTTTGAGAGTTCTTGATTTTCACAATCCTGTCTTCATGGAAACAGTTAAAAACATATCAGTATAAAACAACAATATTAAATTAGAGGTCTTATTTGTAGGCAAGAAACATATCAGATGAGCACAGATATGAACAATAATGTTATGCAATTAAAAATCTTACCTACTTCACCTTTTTCTAAAATAGATGACAAAATTTTTTAAAAGCTATTATTTCATGTATTCAACAAAAATTTTTTGAGTACTCAGGACCTGCCAGGTACTCTTCTAGCTGTTATTTCAGTTCAGCAAAATATAAGTTAAGTAGGTGAAGATATTTGAAAAAAGGGAAAATCAAAGTAAAAAAATAAGGTAAAGCCAGGGAGGAAGTTATTACCCAAAAATGCACATTGGTGGGTCCTATAATGTTGCTAGAGGAAAGCCCTTCAAATAAACTCTAGCTTTCAATGACCAAAGAAGATGTGACACGTAATCCAATCCATGTCTATAAATTTTAAAACAAATTTTTTTTTTAAACAAAGAGATACATAATCATTCATAGTACTGAGATCAGAGGGAGATTTCTATCTTAAGTCCCAAAAAGAGGACATGCTTTCATATAGTGTAAATAGCTTTTGTAGCATCTGTATGGAAACATAATAGCTTTTTAAGACCTCCTTGGTGACATAATGCTAAAGCACAATTAAGTTGAAAGCAGTCTATGGAGAAGATATACCACTAATTCTAAAGTGCTCATGAAATGGAAAGTAGTGTCACATTGTAGCAATTATAAAGTTCATACAAGTGCACTGCATTTTTGGACCTCCAGTGAATAATACAAAGTGTTTTAAAAATTTCAACAAAATCCAATGCTACTACATCATGATATTGACCTAAACTAAAATGTTATTTTCTATTTTAAGTATTTAATTGGCCTATTTGGTTTTTCTTCTTAGACATTGGAAGGTCTACTGGGAAAAGTTCAGATCTTAAAAAAAAAGTTCAAATTTAATTTTTCTTTTTCTCTGGATAAATTTCTCTATATTAGAGTTATTCTCATGCATCTCATTTACGTTGGCACTCAACTCAAAATAATGAAGGCCAAAGAAGTCTTTTTTTTTAAGATTTATTTATTTATGTGAGAGAGAGTGAGCAAGCGTGAGCGGTGGGGAGGAACACAGGGAGAGAGAGAGAGAATCTCAAACAGACTCCCCGCTGAGCGAGGAGTCCACACAGGGCTCCATCTCACAACTCTGAGATCATGACCTGAGCTGAAACGAAGAGTTAGAGGCTCAACCAACTGAGCCACCCAGGGGCCCCAAAAAAGTATTCTTTTAATGGCATGTTTCCTCTAAAGTGCTTTTCACTTATATAAAGAAAATATTTATCGTGTTCTCTTAAGCATTTTATTATAAGCAATAATATCACTGTTTTCAAATCAAACCAAAGCCATTTGAAACTTATAAACATTAACTGTATTTTTTTCCCTTTGTTTTTAATGGCTTGTGCTTAACACTTTTTTGATATATTATAGGGATGTACTTGGGAAGTTGGAAGAGGAGTTAACAGATCACCAACAGCTAACTTATAAAAAGGTGTTTGGAAACAAATCCAGATGCTTCCAATGATCTGGAAGTGTTTTCCATTTTATGGAGAAAAAGGTTTAAAGGAATTTGTGTTCTGAATTTGGTAAATGGAGAACCTAGGATTCAAACTCAGCTATATACATACTGCTATTTGTAATGAGTATTCTATAAACGTTTGATGCATAGATCACTGTACATGCATTACTTGTTTCTTTGCTGAAACAGCAACAGAAAGGGACAGTGGAGGCATGAAGGTGGTGGGAAGCAAAGCTGCCTGGAAAGCTGTGAGAGCTAGTAACAGCACGTGGCTGGCCTGACAAAGTCCATCAACGCCAGAGGGGTGTTAACCCCTCAAGTGTCTCTTGTCAACATCTTAAGATTGAGGTTTTCAGTAGCACTTACGCAGTTTTAATCATGGTTGGTTTTGCTGTTCTCATTGATTATTTAGATCCAGGACAAAGTAAGAGAAGTTGAACAGAGCAAGGCCATGAGCCAGGAATTCAGCCGGCAAATTCAGAAGATAGCCAAAGATCTCACAACTATTCTGAGTAAGCTGAGAACAAAGACAGATAATTTAGCTCAAGCTAAAACCGACCAAAAGGTAAGGAAGGAGAAGTGGAAACATAAGAGATGCTACTGAATGAATTAACTATGTTTTGGAGTTAGTTTATTTTGGGGATATAGAGGGGGGGAAAAAAGCTTTCTTGATTAGCAAGCTTCATTAAAACAAGGTAGTAAAGGCAGGCAGTAAGAGATTTTACAAACATAACAGCGTAGGTCACTTCATCATTACAATGGAAGTGTATTAATAAATGTACCTACATATGTGTGTAAGAAGGAAGAGTGTCAAAGGACCAAATAATGATCTGGGAATATAAGTATAAAAATTCCAAAATGAAGGATGGTCTTGGTGGTTAAATCTGTGTTCTTGCTCTGCTGATGAGTTAAGTGATGAATCCTTTTTGGGTGGGGCAGAAGGAAACATTAACCTTCTCATCCTAACCTCATAGGAAATAAACACCAGGGTTACAAAACATCCTGCCTGCTCTGCCTTTCTAACCAAAGAAACAGAAATGACCTGATCAGAGTAGAATTATTCTTTATAATATTTGGCATTTACAAAAGTCATTTAAAATATCACCCTTGATCTTGGAAAATCTGGAGAAATTTACTTTCTATAGTCTAATGCTCTTTTGTTTTGGCTTCCATTTAGGTGCTAGGAGAGGAATTAGATGGCTGTCATTTAAAATTAATGGAACTAGATGCAGCAGTACAGAAATTCGCAGAACAGAATGGCCAACTGGGTAAACCACTGGCCAAGAAGATAGGAAAACTGACTGAACTTCACCAGCAGACCATTAGGCAGGCTGAGAATCGGCTCTCCAAGCTCGGTCAGGTATGTATTCCAGGCCAGGAATCAAAATCTTCTAAGGCAGAAATTCAGTGTTTGTTTTTTCTTTTGGAAATAAATCAAAAGATAATATTGACAATGATGAGGGTAGTTTAAGGGTAGCTTATTTCATACCACACTGTGTTCCTAAAATTCACATGTAAACTTGCCTTTATTTTATATCAAACCATATTATAAGTTCATTGACAAATGTGGTCATATAAATGGACTTTTGGAATGAATATTTTGTCAACTGGAGAAGTATTTTGTGAAATGAATACTAATCCAGTAACATGTTTTACAAAATCAGTATGGAGTGAATTCAAATATCTTAAAGTAATATATATATATATATAAAGTAAAATATATATAATATATTTAAAGATGTAAGACATAAGATATATATATAATATATAAAGATGTAAGACATAAGATATATATGTATATACATATATATATATACATGCTTGCATTTACCCTTTACTTAATAGGTTCAGGTCACACATCCATCATAATTGTTGACTGTAGATTCATCTTTATAAATTGATGATGTGTTTTTTGGGTAATCAGGGACAAACTAAATCATGACTTGGCAACTAATGAATTGTAGTACCAAAACCTCCTTATTCAGTGAGGGTGGAGTATGCGAGGAGGGGTAGAGAGGAACTAGACAGATGACTAAGAAATGAGAATAGAGAGTATTTTTAAAAGACAGTTATTCAAGCATATTAAGGACTTGGACTTTATCCTAAAGTCACTCGGACGTCCTTGACAGGTTTTCAACAAGGAAATGATTGTTTATACCTTTAGATATCACAGATCCCCTAGGATTATTGTATCTAAAGAGAAATAGAAGACTGATTTCTAGCTCATGAAACAGAGTTTACAATTGCTCTCTGAATGGTAATGATTTTTCAGGCAGCATCACATTTAGAAGAGTACAATGAAATGCTTGAATTCATTTTGAAGTGGATTGAGAAAGCTAAAGTGTTGGTACATGGAAAGATTACATGGAATTCGGCACACCAACTTCGAGAACAATACGTTTTACATCAGGTAACTTTGGGAAAAACCATTTTCAAAGAGTAACTTAGAGAGCAATTTGATTTAACTGGGTAGACTGACAGAAAATTTAAAGGACCATGATGTAGAATTATTGTAGGTGCCAGATAAAAAGAAAGCTAAGGTAGCCCTAATGACTTGTCCGAAGGTTTGTAAGAAAGTGGCTACCCATAAGATTTCATTAGACTATATAAATAAATAAATATCCTCTATCTCCCCTAGACTTTTCTTTCTCCAAGACCCCAAATAATCAGCCAGATACAGGTCTCTCTTTTTTTGCAGCTTCTTTGAAACAATCACTTGCAGGGATATGGTGGGAAATTCTTCCCCAGGAAGAGATGTGACATGTGGAAAGATTATAGGCTCCAGAGTCAGACTGATGGGAAAACCAAGCTCTGTTATTTAGGGCTGTGTGATTTGGAACAAACTATTTTGCCTCTCTGAATTCAGTTTTCTCATCAATAAGATGGAGATGTAAATGGTACTTATATTGCAGAATTATTAGGAGGGTCAAATGGTTTAACATATGTGCAGATATCAAGCTCACTACGTGCCACATGGGTGCCTCCTTCTCAGCATCCCGCCTCGTCTTGGTTGTCTGGCTTTCCAGAGGAAGCAGGGGTCAGCTGGAAAGGAGCAAAGAGTCCATATCACATGGTGGCTGCATTACTTCATTTCCGGAAGTTCTCTTCTGGTTATATCATCCAGGAAATTATTTCATCCTTTCATTATCTTTAGCTTGAATTAGTACAAATATCTAGTAGCCCAGTTAGCTTACAATACAATACAGAATGATTTTTACTTAGTTACATGGATATCCTGAAGTATTTTAGATTCTCTCTCTTTTATTCTGATTTATGTATACCCATATCTTTTAAATCATTTGCTTTTCCATTCCTATGGACAAGTTTCTAGATCAAAGCCCCATTTTCTCCTTATTGGAATGCTCTAACAAATGCTAATTAATTTCCCTATGTACATAATCGTTCTTTTCTAATCGATCTTGCATACCCTTCTGGAATCATTCTTATACCACTCAAGACAAGACTTAAGTTACAATGGGTTGTAAACAATTAAAAAAATATTCAACCTCATTAGAAATCTAGAAATGAAAATTTAAAGAGAGAGCACTCTATCAAATTAACACCATTTGGAAGTTATTTGATGGGGTGCCCGGGTGGCTCAGTTGTTAAGCGTCTGCCTTCAGCTCTGGTCATGATCCCAGGGTCCTGGGATCGAGCCCCACATGGGGCTCCCTGCTCCGTGGGAAGCCTGCTTCTCCCTTTCCCACTCCCCCGACTTGTGTTCCCTCTCTTGTTGTCTTTCTCTTTCAAGTAAAATCTTTAAAAAAAAAAAAAGTTATTTGAGGTTCATATTTAAAGAAGTGAGAACTCTCAACTCTGAAGGTTACTTGTTAAAAACTTTTTGAAAAACAATTGGCAAAATGTATCATGATCATCAAAATGTTACTACTCCATAATCCAAAATGTAGAAAATATGTGGTATTAATAACTATACTGGAATTTTGTTTTTTAAAGATTTTATTTATTCATTTGAGAGAGAGAAAGTGTGAGCCAGGGTGGGGGAGTTGGGGGGGTGAGTAGAGGGGGAGGGAGAAAGGGGGAAAGTATCTCAAGGGGACTCCATGCTGAGCGTGGAGACTGACACAGGGCTTGATCTCATGACCCTGAGATTATGAATTAAGCTGAAACCCAGGGTTGGACACTTAACCGACTGAGCCACCCAGGTGCCCTATAGTGGAATTTCTTTTTTAAGATTTTATTTATTTATTTGAGAGAGAGAGTGAGCAGGAGCAGAGGGGAGAGGCAGAGGGAGAGGGAGAAGCAGGCTCCCCGCTGAGCAGGGAGTCCAACATGGGGCTCTTTCATAGGACCCTGAGATCATGACCTGAGCCAAAGGCAGAGGTGACTGAGGACCTAGGACCCTGAGATCATAACTGAGGCACCTAGATGCCCCTATAGTGGAATTTTAAAGAAAATGGCTAGTCACTTTTCTGAATGACATTTTGGATATAATAGAGTATAAATGTAGTCTTTAAAATGACCATCAAGGCTTTTTTTTTTTTAAGTAGGTCCTGCACTCATTTATTTATTCAGCAAACATTTATAGAATGCTTTCTTTCCAAAGCTAGGAATTTAAAATACAAAGAATATTCCCTGTTCTTGCCCCAGGGAGTTGATAAAAGAGGCACAAGACAGATCTAGACAATTATAAACAGTGTGATAAGTGCAGGAAATGAGGGATCAAAGTGCTGAGGGAGCCCATAGGAGCATGCTCCACCCACACTGCTTGGGGTCTAGGGGAAGTTAAAGGAGGCCTTCTCACGAAAAAGTCAGTCCGGCCTGAGTCCTGAATGACAGGCTGCCTACTTGTGTGAAATGGATTTTAGACAAAAATGCATGTTGAAATCCCAGTAGTAAGAGTGAAGGGTGCTCTGGTGCAGTAGAGGGGACACTACGGGGAGGTGTGGAGGAGAGCTGGAAAGAAGCTTAAGAGGTAAGAACAGAGAGAGAAGAAAAAAGATCAAAAGCCCTGTTAAGAACTTGGGCTTTACCTTACAGTCCCTCCGAAGCTTTTGACAGATATTCTTCAGGCAAGCGACAAATTCAGGCTTGTATTTTAAGAAAGATGATTTAGCAGCCTGTGGAAAACAGACTATGAAGGTGAGACAGCGTGGAAGTTGGCTTCAGTGTTAGGACAGAGAGTGACAGGGTCCCTCTTTGGAGGCTGAGAGAAGACAGAATCGAGGACTATCACTGAGCTAGAATTCTGGACTCTGGAGACTCTTGGATATGGGTGAAAGAGAGGGAGGAGCCATGGACAACTCCCAGGTGTTTTGACTTGGGCAGGTGGGTGAGCTGAGTGCCTCAGGGATGCGGGATACCGCCTGTCTGTGGGTCTCTCGGAAGCTCAGGAGAGAACTCAGCCTATAGACACTCTTTTGAGGAGTTCTTCCTTACCTGCCTTAGTTCAGGCTGCCCGTGTTTTTTTTTGATATAGTGATCCATGATTCATTGTTTGTGTATAACACCCAGTGCTGCATGTAGAACGTGCCCTCTTTAATACCCATCACCAGGCTAACCCATCCTCCCACCCCCTCCCCTCTAGAACCCTCAGTTTGTTTTTCAGAGTCCATCGTCTCTCATGGCTCATCTCCCCCTCCAATTTCCACCCCCTTCATTCTTCCCCTCCTGCTATCTTCTTCTTCTTTCTTTTTTTTTTTTTTAACATATAATGTATTATTTGTTTCAGAAGTACAGATCTGTGATTCAGCAGTCTTGCACAATTCACAGCACTCACCATAGCACATACCCTTCCCAATGTCTATCACCCAGCCACCCCATCCCTCCCACCCCCCACCACTCCAGCAAACCTCAGTTTGTTTCCTGAGATTAAGAATTCCTCATATCAGTGAGGTCATATGATACATATCTTTCTCTGATTGACTTATTTCGCTCAGCATAACACCCTCCAGTTCCATCCACATCGTTGCAAATGGCAAGATTTCATTCCTTTTGATGGCTGCATAATATTCCATTGTGTATATATACCACATCTTCTTTATCCATTCATCTGTCGATGGACATCTTGGCTCTTTCCACAGTTTGGCTATTGTGGACGTTGCTAGGCTGCCCGTGTTTAGCCAAAAACAGTACACAGAGAGAATGCATGTGTTCTAAAGTCAGGTGGAAAAGAAAGATGGAATAGTGTACATATATTATGATCTCAATTACCTAAAAATATACCCAAATGTAACAGTAGTTATCTCCTATTTAAAGTTTTCTCTGACATATTATAGAGTATTTTATTTTCTTCTTTATATTTTCAATATTTTCTAAGCTTTAGTATATATATGCATGTATGTATATACATATATGCATATATGCATATATACATATATGTATGTATATACATATATGCATATATATATATATAGCATTCCTCATGAGGAAAAAAACTGTACTTTATTTAAAAAAAATAAAGATCTATTGCCTAAGAATAATGTCCCAGCTCCCATTTTTCCTCTTTGTACATCACATATCCCAGTAACTGCACATTTTGTGCTCACTCACCTCTGTTCCTTTACTTATGCTCTTCCTTCTCCCAGTCTTCCTGCAAGTAGGAGTGTGTCTCATTTCTGTCATCTTTAACCTTTCTACTCTTTCACTCTACTCCTATGATGTGTATTATGTGGTTAACAATCCATTTGTATTATTAGTCCCACTAGATGATACTATCCTGAACGATGAGGGCTGTGTTTTATTCCTCTTGGTATCTCAAGTTGCTTCTACCACCTTTGCCTCACTAAAGAAAGTGTTCAAAGGTTTTTGTTTGTAATGCTCTTGTGTTATTTTCATTTCTTAGATCAATAAGCATCTCAGATCTTAGAAAATGAGAGCTGAAAGGCATCTCTTCAGTTTAAATATGAGAAAAAAGTAGGTTCAGCAACCTGACAAAGATGCCCAACATGTCAGAGCATTGATGCTCTGGGATGCTCATGTCCTGACCCTCACCAGGGAGCAGCTTGGAGCAGTAGAGAGAGCATGAGCCTTAAGATCCAACACTTAACATTTGGCCTTGGCAAACAGTTGACAGTTCCTAAACTTTGATTTCTTTTTCTGTGAAATGGGGATAAGAGTAGGTAGGGAGTAGGCACAGGGGTGTGAAGGTTAAACACAATAAGACACACAGAACCTCCATAGTGAGCATGAGAACTGTGGATAACAACATCTCACTCTCTTCTAGTCTGACGGTCTTATATCACACCAGATTGAGTACCTAAATGTCTATCTCTGCCTACCTGTCAATGTCATGAATATTGATAATTCTCTCTAGACCATGCTAGAAGAATCTGAAGAAATTCACAGCAATCTGGAAGCGATGATTGAGAAATTACAATACCTCGCTAGTGTGTACTTCACAGAAAAAATGTCTCAGCAAGTGGCAGAACTGGGACGGGAGTCTGAGGAGCTGCAACAGATGATCAAAATTCGTTTGCAGAATCTCCAAGATGCTGCCAAGGTAAAATATAACAATAATAATAATAATAATAATAATAATAATAATAATTGGAAAGTCTATCATTTAAAAAAATGGTGGTTTTATAGTGGAGATGTAGTACTTAACCTCTGATAATGCCTTCTTGACTGCGATGTTACTCTTCTATGACTTTGAACTTCAAGTGCCTATATACTGACATTCATACTGCTTTTACTCTGTAGGATATGAAAAAATTTGAAACCGAGCTAAAAAACTTACAAGTTGCTTTGGAGCAAGCCCAGACAACCTTGACTTCTGCAGAAGTCGGACGTCTTAGTCTCAAGGAGCAACTTTCTCATCGACTGGTAAGCAAAAATAATTCAGAGGAAATGAGTTAGGGAGCTATATTTAAACAAACAAACAAAAAAAGGATGATAGTGAGGAAAAATGATTTTTAAACTCAGTTACAGTCTTAGTACTCTATACATTAAAGAAAAATTCCTTGGAAAATGTTTATGACACGTGACAGAGCTGTAATTTAGTAAACGTCTCTGGCTTATGAAATGAGCTATTAAAATACACGATTTTCCTGTGCTTTACAAAATGTAAAATGTGAACTTGTACTTTCAGCACTTGTTGTCTGAGATGGAGTCACTCAAGCCAAAGGTCCACGCTGTGCAGATCTGCCAGAGCGCACTCCGGATCCCCGAGGAGGTGGTCACCAGCTTGCCGCTCTGCCATGCCGCTCTGCACCTGCAGGAGGAGGCGAGCCGATTACAGCACACCGCCATCCAGCAGTGCAACCTCATGCAGGCATGTGCTCCTATACCTGCCGCAGGAGCCTGCCGTCCCCGCGCCGGCAGAGCAACGGCTAATGAGTCATGGGCTTCTTTTCTTAGCATTGTGTGGGCTCAGCCATCAAAACACATCCAGAGTGTTAAATTTGACAGATTGTTGTGCTTATATAAAATAAGGAGATGAAATGCTATCATTTGGATCACCCACAAAAGCCTGGGAAAGCTCTATAAAAAATATCCTTTGGTGAACACTATCTTTGAGCAATATATTTTAGTAAAGAACAACTTATAAAGGTTAATTTTGTCTTCAGTCATATATTTTTATCTCTTATTATCCATCTGAGAATCCTCTAAAGCCTTGTAAAATGCCTTTACTGCTAGCATATTTTACAGAATTCTTTTTTCATATTTCAGCTTATTGATGCACCAAATGCATTTCCTTGCCTGAAAAGTACACCCATGTGTTTAACTCTTAATCTCTTTAGCTGATAAGAGAAAAATCATTTACTAGGCAGGAATGACACTCTTCACCTCATATCTCCTTTCAACTAATACTTTACCTGCTTTATCCAAAAATTGCATACATATCTGCTCATTAAATAGTTAATGGTCAACTTGTTCAACTATTTTTGCTCCTTGAATTATCTTGTAATTTGTTACATAGTAAATTCCTGAGGATAGAAGTCATGCTTACTTCATTTTTTTGTCTTCCACCCCAGCATTTAGACAAGTGCCTTACATATATATATTTAGTATTTCTTATATGGAAAAATGAAGCAATCATGTTTTTCATACTGCTTCCCACCACAACATTGTTCTGACCATAACATTGCCATTTTCAGGACAACATGAATAGGGGAAGAGAGAGGATCTAGCCACTTAGCTATTTTGAGTCAGTTGATAATCTTAGCAAACTATTTTAGAGAGAAGTCTTTGAAATATCTGCATAAACTTGAGGACTGAGTCATCCAGGGATTTTACCCATCATTTCTTTATTCCCTAGACACACAGCTAAATACCAGTTAACACTGTAAACAGCAGCACAGGATGATTCCCATAGTTATTGATACAGAAAGATAATTGTGTGTTGTTTTTTTTTTTTTCCTCTTTCAAAAAGGAGGCTGTGGTGCAGTATGAACAGTATGAACAAGAAATGCAACACCTTCAGGAGCTTATAGAAGGAGCTCACAGAGAAATTGAGGACAAACCTGTGGCCACCAGTAATATCCAGGAGCTGCAGGCCCAGATTTCTCGGCATGAGGTGAGACAGGAACACAGGTGCTTGCTGAGGACATGTAATTGGTTTCTAGTGAATCACCGAGAAAAGTTTTCCCTGTCCCGTACACAGTGTGCTCAGTTCTTGGGGAGCCTCTCTGACTGTCTTTGCATTTTGAGCACTACATTTGCTGATCCTTTCCAAGACCCAGGAGCCTGAGTCTTCCCCTTAAGGCCAAAACCTCTTTACATGTTGCTGATGACATATCTCACCTGGGATCCACCAATTGTCTCCTGCACCCAAAATTCTCACAGTTAATTACACCAAAACATAGTCCACTTGGTATTCAAAGCCTGCTAGAAACAGCAATGCTCAAAGCCTTGCTGCTTTGATCACTTTCTTCAAAAAGAAGAAACATTTCATGTGAAAAACAAAATCATTTTCTTTTTCAAATACAGGTTATTTCATTTGCTTCCACCAAAATCAGAGTATGGTCCATGTTGTTTTGCTGATTTCCAGATTGTGTCTGTTAGCATCTTCACCATTTTCAAATATGCCTTCTTTCTTGAATTTATAACTTCATATTTATAGTGAATTTATAACTTAGGACTTGAACACTCCTTGTGCAGATTTGGTCTCAGAGATCATAGACCTTAAGTGTCTTGGCCCATTGATACCTACCGGTGAATCTCTTCTGACCTGTCAATTCCTATATGGCTCACATTTACTCTTTCCCTTGGGGACTGGCTCATAGCATCATGCATTGGGGTAAGCAAAAGGGCAGGGAAGGGTGTCTTATTTCTCTGTGCCAAAGGTGGATATTTATTCTTCATCTACTCTGTTTTAACTTTGTTGTCGTAAAAGCAACAAACCATTTTTCCAAGCCAAGTATCATAGTGAGTTTCTCAGAAGATTCAATTGTTGCCTTTGAAGGATGAAATATCTCACTACCTACTCTCCAAATGCAATTCTTTAATTTCTTGATATGTCCAGTGCATCAGTACTTACATTTATATATGATTTACAAAATGATGTAAACAAACATCCCACTTACATTTACTTCTGCACTGTACATATCATCTATGTTAACTATTGATTTTCTTATGCCATTGGTTAAGTGAAAATATGTTATGCAAATATTTGAAACCACTGTTTATATAATTCATACATTAGGCTATATATTACAAATTAATTTTGAAACTATTTTAAATGTCATTTTATAAGATCCAGTATTTTGTTGTAACAACTTTTCTCTCATAGTACAGAAAGTGTATATTTTAAAAATCTTGTCTAAAATAACAATAATTATAATTACTACAGTTTTTTTTTTAGTTTTTTAAAGTTTACAAAGTTGTTACATTATCTTTTATAACACCACTGTGAGGTAAGGATTTTTTTTCTAATCATCTCCATTATATTGATAAGAAAACAGAAACTGATTTTTGTGACTTCCCAAGCTCCCAAATCTAGTAACTGATAGAAACCAGATTCTAAGCCAGTATCTGTGGCCTCAAATTCCATGATTTTTTCCCCTGCAGCAGAAACTCTTTGGGCTACCTTATTGCATAGAAGAGAAGAATGATGGTCCAGGAAAATAAATGACTTGCCCAGGGTCCCAGAGTTGGCTCTGAGCACAGTCATCTGTAGACTGTCCTCCAGGCTCCTGTTCAGTGATACATTCATTTTGTCACATTTTCTCTTTCCAGTTCTAAACATGAGTGTAGACATTTGTAAGTTTTCCCATGTGATTTAGAATACATGTTCATAATAACAATGGCATAGTCCTGTGTGAGACTCATTGTGCATATAAAACAAACACAGGAAGGGAAGTGCTCAGTGGAGAAAGCCTGATTTACCATAAGAATGTGGAAGGCTGCTTTTTCGTGTATTTTCAGCCGGCTTTTAATGTAATTTCAATTTTGAGGTGAATCTAGTAACTAGAAGGATAACTTTAACTCATAAAAATAATTGATAATTTATTCATTTCTAAGGAATTCACATTTTTTTCTGTAATTTTTTAAATGCTGCATTTAAGCTGAAAAAAATTATCTTGCCACTTTTAAATCATAGGAGAGAATACTCAGGCTCTTTGCTTTTTACCTAACATACAAGGCCTTCTCCGGAGTGCAGGAGACTGCCCACAGAGGGGTAGCCACTGTACTCACAACAGCCACTGTATCTGAAATTCCCACCTCTTTATGCTCATCCTTTGTAATCATTTTCAGAAATATCCAGTAAAAATTAAAAATACATATGCTTCCTGAGAATAGGGAATGCATTAAGCCAGTGGGGCTCCATTTTAATTTAGCAGATTTAATCACCAGCCCACAAAGTTATTATGATATAGACAGGTTTTAGTCTTACAGAAGAAAGTTCTAAAGAGCTATTTCTCCAAGGGAGTCATATGGGATAAGTATAAAATGCCTAGTAAATCAAAATCCTTTGTGGAGACCAGAATTTCGTTGTTAACAAACAACCCAAATGAGTTTTATGCACAATAAAGTTGAGAACTCCAGTTTAGGAGATGGGTGGTGTCTACTGTCAGCACGGGCACACACCTTTGCAGGGTATAGCAGGAGGGGACACAGCCATCCATGTAGGCGGAAAAGGAGAGGGACTAAAACTAATGCTATTTCACAAAGATTCTTCAAATCTACCCCAATGAGGCAAGCCATTAAGAAAGCTTAGCGATTTGTCCTATGAAAACATAGAATTCAAGAAGTCCATTGAGTTGGTAGATGTCTTCTATATGTGCATGCTAATTAAAATAGAGTAACCATGTATTGGGCACTAGGTCAGAAATAGTAAGTAGCTGTTTAATCACTATTAAAAAAAAAACCCTATTAGGTTTAATTAAGTACCTGCAGCTCTAAAAGTTAAAGAAGTGATGATTTCTACTTTTTAAATTCATGCTTGAAAAATTATCGTGCTATAGAAGTCAAGAAGACAGGCTACTGGCTGAGTTTTGCTGGGTTGTTTTTCCTTTCATTTAGTCAGTTTTGGCTGGGAGGGGAGAAACAAAATGATACATACATGCGTCTGTGTATATATACCTACACATATACATATAAACATACACACACATTATATATATATATATATATATACACCAATTTGTTGTCATTTTGTTTCTGAACTTCCAAGTTCAAAGCTCTAGTTTGAATGTCACTGTGTTTAAAATGATAGTATGTGTACACATATATACATACAGGCATAGTATGTATATATGCCTGTGTGCATGTATGTATATACATACCATTGTTTTAAAGACATTGACATTTAATGTTTTTGCCACAAAATATGTTACAATGCGAACACTAAATGACAGCTTTTCAGGCAACAGAGCCAAATAAAAGGAACGGAAAAAAGTAATGGTTTGGTACTTTTAGGATTCATGTTTTGGAATACACATCTTCATTTTTGTTAAACATGTATACACCTTTTAAGTAAGAAAATAAATATTTAATATTGTAGAATTACCACTTTAGATTATTTTTATTTAATATTTTAGATTTTTGAGAGCTACGTGCTGTCCAGAATATATTTTCAGTAAGGTCTTGGTAAAAGCTTTAACACCCCTATCTCTTAAAACATTTTTTCATCAACAAATGAATTTAAAAGCCATTAAATTTGAACTGGACTTCAAAGCTCTAGTTTGAAACATCAGAAACATGTGAGGCATGATGGAGTCCATGAGGGAGAATTTGATGAATGTACAAAACTTTATTGTGGGAATAAGATGCATAAAAAATTAGGGTTTCATATGTAATATTTAGCTTATCTACAAAAAACAACTCCGTTGGTCACAGGAATTGACATGCAGGTTATTTTTGCGACGCGGTCGGTAACAGTTGACTGCTCTATTTGATACATTCCGTGCGGTAAGAGCTGAGCATTGCATGTTTTTGTAGTTTTAGTCATCACATGACCTAATTTCCATGGCATGAACCATCTGGCAGTTTCAGATTCTTTACGCATTTTAAAGAAAGTTGCTAGTGCTTCACGTTACCTAAGTGCCTGATTGCACACGGCGCCTCTCCCGGGATCAGAATCCCCCGGGCGCAGGGCGCTGGGTCTCCCGCCCGCGCCGCGCAGCCGCTCTTCCAGCCCCGCCGCGCGGTGGTCGGGCTGCGGATGCACGGCCGGGAGGCTCCTCCGCTCGCACGTCCACATCCTGCCTCTCGGCCGCGGCCGCTGCTGCCGCCTGGCGCAGCTCTGCGATTTCATTGGCCAGCGCTGGAGGAAGATGAACGCTACTAGTTGTGTTTCCTTTTGATGCTGCTCTGACACACGGCTGGGGGGGAAAATGTTTCCCCAGGAGCTGGCTCAGAAAATCAAGGGCTACCAGGAGCAGATCGCCTCCTTGAACTCCAAGTGCAAGATGCTGACGATGAAAGCCAAGCACGCCACCATGCTGCTGACGGTGACCGAGGTGGAGGGGCTCGCGGAGGGAACGGACGACCTGGACGGGGAGCTCCTCCCCGCGACCTCGGCCCACCCCTCTGTGGTCATGGTAAGTAAGGGCGAAGGCCGGGTTTGCTGGGAGCCAGCGCGCTCCCTTCTGTCTGTACCCTGGCTAGTGGCTCCAGGTTCCCTCTTCGTGGCTCGAACTGAGGAGCAGTCTCCTCAACTCTCGGACTACATTTGGGCCAAGGCCAGTTTTTTTTTTTTTTGATAGAGTTTTTGATACTGTAAACAGTGACAGTTAAAATGAAGCTATTTGCTTGAGGTGGCTCAATTATTTAATATGTCGAAGGTTGGCCACGCATTGGTTTATAATTTAGCAATAATACTGAGAGGCTCTGACCTTCAAAAAAAAATTTTTCCTTTGCACAGTTTTCGTTTTCTGAGGGATAGGAGAATCATGCTACACATATTTTTTGTGTTTTTCCAAGCTAAAACACTGGCTGACTAGATATGTTTGTGTATTCTGTTATACAGATGTTTAATAAAATATAGAAGAAAAGGTACTATTAGGAAAATAAGAAAACAGAAAAATCCAAGGTTTAGCTTTGGATTAAAATAAATAAGTTCCATTAATTTCTGTTCTGCCACATCACTTACCTATCACTTTGTATCTAAAATGCATTACTTATTTTGGTAACTATAAAGTGCTGTGTATTTTCCACACACAGGTGCTGTGCCTCAGGTAGTGTGTAACCATACCTGGACTCTTTTGGCAAAGTATCACTTTGGGTGCATTTATCTCCCTAGAATATCTAGAATTTGAGATGTCCACGAAAGACCCGTTTTCTTTTGTAGACCCTTCCCTCCGTTGTATGATTCATGATTTTTCTACTTGTCTATAAAGACACAAACAGACATCAAGGAAAGGAAAATAAAATAATAAACAACAAAAGTCATTATTGTGATATGCACCCCCTTTCCCTGTTTGTTTTACAAATGGTCCCTAGAGTCATACTCACTTGAGAACAAAACTTTTAAATACTAACACAGAATTTGTATGTAGATTTGGGTCTCTGTATCTCTAACGTTTGCTGTATTATTACTTGTGTTCTGACCTGTGCCAGACCAGGTCTTTTGTTAACAGAGCTAACTGATGTTCATGTCCTTTGGGCTACATTTTATGTGATAGATGACTGCAGGTCGCTGTCACACTTTGCTGTCACCTGTCACTGAGGAGTCTGGGGAGGAGGGAACCGGCAGTGAAATTTCCTCTCCACCTGCGTGTCGTTCCCCTTCACCTGTGGCTAATACAGATGCTTCAGTTAACCAGGTACCAGCCATTTGGAATTCCTCTAGCTATGATCTCTGGATGGTTGCAGGACTCCATTCTCTGTTCTTAATAGACTGTGGGTGTGAATCTTGGACTTTGAGGGACACACCATTTAGGTGTGAAGTTGCACAAACCGTGATTGTCACATGACGCCACTCCCGGCTCAGCACATCCGCTCTTCTTCTGGGCTGCTAGCAGTGAGATGAGCAAAAACTAGGTCACAGAAATTATAGATGGAGAAAGCCCTGTTTTAAGGCGTTTAGTTTCTCACAGCTATCTGTAATGGAGTACTGCATCCTAACAGAAAATGAAGTGTTTGTGTCACCACTGTAAAATAATATGATCTCTTTGTACTTTAACATTCATTAAACATGGTTTTGCCACTTACCAGCTCAGATTTTGAAGATGAAAAGCTTTTGCTCACCATATTATACTTTTTCTTTATTTACTGTCAACCAATTTAAGGGGTGTCTGCCAGTGTATATATTGGAATGCCTAAGTAGACTTGTGATTTTTGCTTATCTTAATAATCAATAATCTTAAATTTTATTTCCTATAAAGTGGAGGTAATACCTTGTTATGTGGTACTGTCTAGCGTGTTTTATGCTAAATTTAGATTGTACTAAATTAAATATGTTGAAGAGTTTTCATATTTTCATGAAAAATATGCTTTTACAATAGCCAAAACTTTTTAATGTACGTTAAGTAATACCTTTTTTCCTTTAGCCAAAATAGCTTTTAAAAAGTTTAATTACATGACTACGAAATTATGTAAGTGTTCAAAGGAGTTGAGATTTATTAAGAAAGAAGCATTAAACGGAGCAAATGTTCTATAAGCTATATTACAAATCAGTTACAGTTATTTCTATTTTAAATCAGAAGCATTTGAAATAGTATTTCTGTGATTAAAAAAACCCTCCTCCCCCAAAGGAGGAAAATAAAATTGTTGAAAATTTTAGATAAAACAATTCTCTTGGTAAAAATGTTTATAGCTCTAGGAAGTTATCAATTTATGCATTCATCAGACACATTCTGAGCACCTGCATGGCATGAAATCTTGTGCTGGGTCACAGGTAGGTAATAAAGGAGAAGACAACAGTGCCCCTGCCCTCAAAGACCTTATAATCTAGAAAGAAAGATGGATGTGGACTGAATAATAACAAAAGTGTTGAGAGGAAATTAAAAACAATAAAAGGAGAAGTTCAAGGCACTCTGGGGGAAACTTTTTCAAATTCTGATTTTAAAATACATATTACTCATTCTTTGATGTTGTGCTCTTCTCTGTGGTCACAGATGTTATTAGAATCAGAGACATATGGCTATAGTCGGCTGTTTATTGTATAGGAAACAATCACCCGATATAATATACTTAATGTTCTTAAATTTTTCAAATTGAACAGTAAACACTGGCCTTGAGATTAACACTGTGGGAAGAATAGCCCTTTTCTAAGATTGTCAGTCTCAGGGATACTTCTTGTAAAGTGTCTTTCAGTGTACATGTGAAAAAGCCTGATGAATGATAAAATATGCAAATGTTTTTATTATGGTTACTTTAGCTGTCAGACTCAATCGAATCCTAAAATTATGAGTGAGATGTTTGTTTTAAATCAGTTTTGGCACCCCCCCATCAAAGGAAAGCATCAATTAAATGATATTGTTAGTATACTTTTATATGATACTGCAGATGAGCAAAAACTGTCTTTATGTCAGAAGGCTTTACTCAGAGGAGGCTGTTAAAAAGCAAATGTGTTCTGCTTGGTGTTGTTCAAACAGATCAACCCTATCATTACGGCCACATGGTATCCTTCTCATACAGTAATATAAGTCAGAGGAAAATGAACAAATACTCCAACATGGCCAACAAGCTATCTCTGGAAGCTGAGGAGGACATTTAGAATCCCCCTAAGTTCCACTTTTCAGACTCAAAATACTGTACAGAATGTGCACAACTGTTTCAAGGGGCAGCCAAATATAACTGCTTTATAAAATTGCAGCTGTTAAAAAAAGGTTTTGGGCTTGCTGCTTCTGTAAGTAGATCTTCATTATATAACTGATTCCCCCCCACCCCACCCCACAGTCAGTGTGTTCTGCCTCTGACAGTAGCATTAGCTGAAATGTGGAATGGTGTAGCTTACTGGAGAGTGGAAATCACCAGGCAGCCCCCAGATTTGCTGCAGAAGCAAAGCAAGAGTCGGGCTCCTTGGTAGAGTCAACAGAAGGCAAAGTTTGAAAAGCACAATCCTGTACCATGTAGAGTACTAGGCCCCGAGTTAAAGGCTCGGAATGGGTTCCAGGCTTTCTGTGGTAAGCTGAAAGGGCCTGCAAAGTCCCTTAGCAGCCTCAGCTGTAATGAGAAGCAGTGCTCCTCAGTTCACAAAATTTTGAAAATTCAATGTGATGTGAAGCCTGAAAGTACTCTTTAACCTGGACAGTGTTAATGAAATAGTAGTGATAGTTTTCCAAATGTATTCCCTCAGGAATCTACTGGATAATAACTCTCATAACTTAGCACAAAGCAATAAGAGACTGGTGTCTAAGGATGATCCCTCACTATGCCAGTTATTGCCTCTGCTTAGTAGTTATGGAACTGATTATTCTATTTTATTGAATCTATGTAGTCCTCAAATAGATACAAATTATTCATCTACAAAAGGTGCCATATTTTCAAATGCTTTTAAGAAACCAGGAATTGTCAGTCCTGTTTAATCAGTGTGAGCAAAACACATACACACCCACAATCTCTTGCTCTCTCCCTCTCTCTCTCTCTCACACACACACATGCACACGACAAAGAACCAGAAAAAAAAATTTTTTTTAAATAACACATTTGGTTTTTTCTGGCTCTTTTGAGGGGCTTCTTTATTTATAATGGAGTATTTAATTTAAAATTTTTACATTTAAAGCAACTTTCTGCTTTTCTATGTGGACAGTAATAGTATTACCTTCCATGTATATAAAATGATAAAGTTTATAAAAGTGTTTTTACATGTACGGTTCATTAGGGACACATATATATGCCTGCCTGTTATTTGCCAGAGACCCTACGACATGCTCAGAATCAAAGACAACATGCTCACTCCGGTCTTAAGAGAGCTCACAGTCTGTATGAGAGCAGGCAAGTAATCACCGTAGAAGGGGACAGGCGCCATGACAGTGGGAAAACTGCATGGTGAGGGTGGTCTGGAACAAGCACCTGACCCGGGAGTTCAGGGGCGTCAGAGATGGCAGCCAGACCTTTAGGAAAGGAGTACAGGTTAGGCAGCCAGTGTGCACTAGAGTGACGTGAAGTTTTTCAGACAGTGGGAAGGATGTGTAGAAGATGTGCCGGCTGGAAGGAGGATGACCCATCGGACAACTGCAAATAGTATCAGTATAATTAGAGAACCAGATTTGGAGGAGGAGGGAGAAGGGGAAAAAGAAACTGAGAAGGGTGAAGGAAACATATCATGAAGGACAGGACCTTGAAGGCCACACACACACAAAACTGAATTTCATCCAGACGCTAAGAGTTAACCACAGAGAGAATTTAACCAGAAGCTATGTATAGAGGTAGGTTTTAGAACAACTCATCCTGGGTCAACGTGGACAGTAGAATAGAGATGGACAGATTCAGAACCAGAGAAGCTAGTAAGGGACAGAAGTTGCACACTCTGATGCCTGGGCCACGACTGGTGATGTTCATGAGAAAAACAGGCTAGGGGGTGAAGAGAACCTGAGCAGCACCTCTGTTCATACACCAGGCAGCTTCTCCTCTGCTAGAATTACTGGAGCCATGTACACACAGAGTCCGGGTTTACGCACCTTGTGGTTTGCAAAAGGAGCTGTGAATCTGGATTCTTATAAAGACTCCCTACTTTGATGAAATTTTCAACAATTTCATACACTGCATAAGCCAAGCTAAATGTATGCAAGCCAAAGGTAGCCTGTAGGCTGCCAGGGAATTAGGAAGTTGTTGCTCTAACGAGAACTTGAACCAGTGCTGTGGCAAGGATATGTGTCAATAGAATTCATCCTAAATAGGCAGTGGATGGGAAGGGAGAGAAGAAATAGAGGATAAATCCCAAGTTCAGAGCTTTGGTGAGTAGAAGTTCCATTTTTTGAAAGGTGGATAGAATGTTATTTTTTTTCCTAAATTCAGTTCTCATCTGGATTTTTTTGGGGGAGGAAATGTTGAGTTTGAAGAGCATGTGGGATATAAATGTACAAATGAATATGTGAGTGTGGAGCTTATAGATAACCAAAATTTAAGAGGGAGGGGAAGAAACAAACTACACAAAAAGCTTGAATGACTAGAGCTAGAAGGAGAACAGATTCAAGGGAAAGTGTTTCCAGAAGAGGACGGGCAGAAGTGTTGAATGCTTCTAAAGGTCAGACAGAAGAAGGGCTGAAAATAATCATTTTGTTTCATAGTAAAAGAGTCATTAGGGTCGAAGCTCAGCTGGGTATTTAGAAGTGGAATGAGGATGAGAAAGTGAACATTATCAAATGTAAACCACTATTCGCAGAAGCTGGATTATCAAGTGAAAGGGAGAAAAGGAAGAAAGGGTGATCGCGACTTTGTGTTCATGTGTGATGACCCATCATGTTATGATTTGTGGACTTTTATGTGATACCCTATAAGAAAAATATCAAAAAAAAGATGTTTTTAGACTGAAAAGATTGGACTCCATTTATATGCTGGGGAAAGAGTCAACAAGGAGAAGAGGAGGGTATTAATGGACCAAGTCCTTGAAAAAGCAAAGGTGCATGGGGTTCTGGGAGTAAGTGGGAGGGTTATCCTTAAGCAAGGAGACTGGCAAGTGTAAGATAAAGGTGAGTCTGGGAATAGACAGATTTTTAGAAATCTGAGAAGTTTCAGGAGTATCTCCTCAGTGGTTTCAGCTGTGTGTGCGTGTGTATGGAGTGTGTGTGTATGTGTGTATGTGCATGAGCATGTGTACACGTGCACTCTGGAAAGTGAAATTGGATTGAGTCCTGCTTGGGATTTTCCAGGTGTTGGTGAAGCAGAGTTTAAGGGGAGAAGGAAGCAAAGGTGTTGGCAGGAGAAGGGTTTAAGTAACTTTAGACATAGCCCCGAGTGCACATGGGGTGAACCAAGTCAATGATGACAGGCTGTCATGTCCAAGGGTGTGGAGGACTGAAGCGGGGTGAAAGTAGGGGAGCATGAATGGGAATGAGCCAAGCAAAGACTTGAGAATTGCCAGGTAATCTACTCAGGATGGTGACAGGATGACAAATGAAGAGGAACCAGTCTCCACATTCTAGTGTCATCAGTTAAGGTTAGGGACTTATCCGGAAGTCTCAACAAAAACAAAGTAGGTGCAAGGCCTCGTGGCCACTCAAATATGGCTTCATTTAATCCTCAGAACTCCCCAGTGCTGTACAGATTAGGGAATCAATGCATGAGATGTGAGGGACTTTCTCCAGTTACAGAGCTACTTACGAGGAGAATTTCCCCTGGAATCTCAGTTGTCCTGGCTCCTCAGACGTTAGACTCCTGTCTGAACTCCTCCTACTCCACAGTCCTGCTTCTGTCCATGTACAGACCACCAGACACCAGGCCCCTTCCTGCTGTTACTTTGGTCTCCCCAGTGGCTGGGACCTTTTTCAAGACATTATTATCCATAAAGCTCAGGTATTTTAAATCCACATACATAATTATCTTCAATAGTATAATTGTAAAAGTAGTGAACTTTATAATAGAAATTCCCAGAATATAAACATTATTCCCCAATTCAATTTCTATTAATATGCATAAATAAGCATAGAAACAATTGAAAACACATGAATTACATGTCTTGATAGAATAGATTCCATTATGAATACTATAAAATATGTAATGTTACTTATATCCCAAGAAACTAATAAAATATTCAAAAGTTTTATTTTTCATCGTTCACTTTGATTATTTCTACTGTACTTCCAGGAATTGATTAGAAGGAATCCCTTTTATTATTTGTTTCTTAGAGTAGTTTTAACTTCCAAGTTATTACATTTTCCTTTATTTAATATTAAGATATTTTAATTAATTTCTGTGAATAATGAACTCACAAATACTGAAGATCTGGCTGTATCTTAAAAATGACTTATAGATTTAATTTTATTTAAATCAAGTACTTTTTAAATTCAATTAACATATAATGTGTTACTGGTTTCAGAGGTAGAGAGCAGTGATTCATCAGTCTTATATATTGAATTTAAATAAAAATAAATAAATTTTAAAAAATAATAAATCAAGTCCTTTTTTAAATTATGTAGAGCTTTAATCAATATATTAAACAACATGTTAGGAAATAGGTAATTTAGATTCTCTTTTTTTGCCCTACTAGTTAATCAAGCTTTAAACATGTGTACCATTCAAATCCTTGTATTTCCATTTTACTGAGTATAAACTAAGAATGAGTTTTGGCAACTTGAAATATTGGTAAATTCATTCGCTTTTTAATAGAAGCCAAAATTCAAAAGCAACTGTAATGTGCTTTGATATGATCTTTAAATTCTTCTTGTCACAAGAATTATACTAACTTCTATAATTTATAGCCCCCTGGGACAGAGGTGAGTCCTGAACCTTTCTTCCACATGACAGACAGTACCCAGAGCATGTTAACTTTGTCTTCCTCTTGAATCCAACACTGGGCTTTGTACCCACAGGACATTGCTTATTACCAAGCGCTATCTCCCGAGAGGTTGCAGACCAATGCCTCCAGAATCCACCCCAGCACATTGCCATCTCAGGAGTTCTATGAACCAGGGCTGGAACCATCTGCTACTGCTAAACTGGATGATCTGCAGCGTTCTTGGGAAACTTTAAAGAATGTGGTAAGTCTCTGAAACGTGGAATTGTTTAAGTTGACCAGACACGGATTACCTTAGCGATTGTCTTATGCAACACATGCAGAGAGTTTACACACTCGGTACACTGTTGAATACTCTCTGTTGAGCCACAGAGGTAAGAATGTCATATGAGGAAAGAATGTTGTAATCTAGAAGATAAGGGGCTAGGAAACATTTGGTAATATCCTGTTCTTCTGCAGATCAGTGAAAAGCAGCGAACCCTCTATGAGGCTTTGGAACGCCAGCAGAAGTACCAGGACTCCCTCCAGTCCATCTCCACAAAGATGGAGGCCATTGAGATGAAACTCAGTGAGAGTCTGGAGCACAGCAGGAGTCCAGAAAGCCAGATGGCTGAACATCAGGTAAAAATAGCAATGACTTCAGTTTCCTGCATGATTAAGTAGGTGCACTCTTGTGACTGACTGATCAGCCAGCCAAGCGGCCAAGCATGTGTTTGGGAGAGCAGACTGACTTTTTTTTTTTTTTTTTTTTTTAATATCAGTTCTTACAGAGTAAACAAGATTCCAAACGGTGGTTGTTTCCACCACTGCTTCAGGGAGGGATCTAAGAGGGGAAGATAGAAATTCAGACCTTGAACTTAAAGAAAGTTGCATGCATTGGTATTGCTTTTTTACTTTTTCACACAGAGTGCATTTCCTACTAGTTGCCACATTATTTTATTGTTGTTGTGAACTGTTGTTGTAGGAATAAAATGCACACCGCATCCCCCTTCTCTGGTTATTGTTGTTTTGAAGAAATTTAGCCAGTGTGTGCCTAGCAGCTTCCCATTATCACTAGAGAATAATTCTCAGGCTTAAGTGGGCAAAGAAGCAGTTGAAGACTAGGGGTTCAAAGTTATACTCTTAGAGTTGTCCCTGACTTGAATCAATTTTTAAAAAATTATATAAACTAGGCAAAACTTTAGCTTTACATGAGAAACAGAGATGATTACATTAACCTAACTCAGAAAGGTGTTAAAAATGCATCAATTTAAAATGCATGCTAAGAAAGTGCATATATTAAAATCTAGTTAATGCTTCAGCAGTCTGATCAAGTGTGCTATTAATGCACAATCAGGTATAACTGGGAGCCAAGGGTACTGAGGTGTTCACCTAAATATGCAGTCACACTGATGGGGGAAATATTACCTGACCCCAAGCAGAAAAAAGGAGCACGTAATGACCCTATAAAAGGCAGAGGAAAAGAAAGGCATTTTAGATGGAAATTAAGTGCTATAAAAGCATGATATGATATGTGTATCTGTCAAGTACTGGGACATTTATCAGCTTTAAGAGTGAAACTCTGTACTTGGTTTTGGAACCCAGGATAACCTTGGAATACATTGGTTGTTCATATGTATAGTCTAAGATAAAATTGCATTCTTTTACAGTATAGGACCTTACAGTATAACACAAAAACGAGAACATTTCATCTAGAGACAACATACTGAGGAAACAGTGGTTTCAGGTTTTTGACACTCTTGTGACTTCTTAAGATAGAGACCAAAGTGTAGCACCCATTTTTAGGCCCTATTTTGGTAAAACTGCCTTCTATGGGGCTTTCTGCTATCCCAAAGTCATCCATAGTCAGTCTGGTTTGGGCAGAGTGCTATAAAAATAGAAAATTAAAGTAAGTATTTGTTTACCTGGACCAAACCAAACAGGACAATCAGGGACTTGGGTGACGATTACAATGCAATTTTCTTCCAAGTGCCACCACCCTCGTAAACTGAGACTCCAGTTTTCACGTTGCCAGCTGCCGCCCCTCACTGTCATCTGAGGTGTTGTCTGTGTCGCACCAGTGTGCTCCCTGGGGTTTTCTCTGCTCCTCTGCCCCCCCCCCAGCCCCATGTGGCACTCTGCCTGGAGGGGGAGAACAACTCACCTCCATTTGATTACAGTTTCCTCTAAACATTCAAAAGGAATTTGGCATACATTATCCAAAGGCTGCATTAGAGTGAATTCAAGCGTCACAGGCTCAGATTATCAGAAGCAGGGATTCCCGGGAGGGTTTTCATAGTTCTCCTCTCTCTACTCTCAGGGTCATCTCTGCCTTTGTTCAAGGCCCATCATTCTAGTGTCCCAGGTGACTCACCACATGTCACCAAGATCCTTCACTGGTCCCCCCCAGGATCTAGGAACTGCATGAGAACAGGATCCTGGTAGTCTGCCCTGACATTCCAGAGTTCCTAACTGAAAATGCAAGTTAGCTCCCAATCACCATTACCTGACTGCATGAACAATGTTGAGCAAAATTATTATTTTCTTCAAGGGATTTAATGGAGAAAGCTCAAAATTGCACGTTAATGCTAAGTATTAAATATTAGAAATGAATCTGTGACTTTTCTTGTAATTAAGCCAACTACTTGACTTTCTGTATCTTTCTAAATTGGGAGTGGTAATGTGAACAATTTTAGCAATGAGGAGATATAGCTAATTCCATGATGATTATCCATCATTTGAACTTAACAATTACATTAATGCTCTAATGAGAGGCAAAGAAAATATAAATAATGTAGTATTTTTCATATGATCACAAATCTAAAATTTTCCATCTGACCTACTTTTGCCATCTGTACCTATGTTCTACAAATTCTGGGACAGAGCTGCCCATGTGAAAAGCTAATGGTATCACAAAGTCTAAATTGGTTCTTAGCTTCTGGAATGGCATTTTAAAAATTCCAAGAACTGTTGTAGAATTACTATTTTTAGGTTCCAGCTGAATGTGGGTGAGGAAGTCCAGTATGCTTTTTATATTTTCCAAAAATTAATAGAAACACTTAAATTGTTATTTCTTTCCCAACACTCTCTTGGAAGTATTAATGTTTCTTTAAAGGGCTATCCTGATTCCTATATTTTTCTTTAAACATTTGTCTAAATCTACTGAATTTGGGTGGAGTGCTGTGCCTTTCCTGTTATCTTCTCTAAATTGTATGGTAGATCTAATCCTAAGGCATTAATGCAGTTCATAAGCTGACTTGTGGCTGTTCTAAGTGATAAGCCTTCTTTGATAGGGACCTTCATGGTCATGGGCAGTTCATGCTTTGTGGGTATGTGCTGTCTTTGCCACATTAAGCTCTGTGATGCATAGTAAGCAGGGCTCTGAGGTAATTTTGTTTTTGTTTTTGCTTTTTCAATATACATGACAACTCCAAGTTTGAAACGAACTGTGCTAATGTTGATAGTTCTGAAAGTCACAGTAAAGTTCACGTTTACCGTTGGTGTTAAACCAAACATGAACTTCATGTTCTCCCCAGAGGTAAGTCATTTTAGAGAAGCCCAAGGTACTTCTCTAAACCACAGAAGTGTCATGCACATATCGTCCTTGTAAAAACAAGTCAGAAACCCAAGGATGTGCATTTCTTCTCCTTCTCTTAGTCTTAAGTCGGATGTTGTAAGGGAAGAGCTGGTCACCAGGGGAGACAGAGTTACGAGGTGAAGACATATTTGATTGCTGGATCTTTTTGTTTAAATACTCAAATCACATAAAATTAACCACTTTAAACTGTGCAGTCAGTGGCATTTAATACTTTCACGGTTGCATTCAAACACCGCCTCTATCTGATTTCAAACCATTTTACCTCAAGAGAAAACCCCATCTCCAGTAAGCTTGGCTGCTTGATCTCAAAGTTTAAAACTATAGCTACCTTCCAAAAACATCCACTGTCCCTTGAGAGTAAACTGAATCGTGAATAGGGAGGCTTGACCCTAAGAGGATGAAAACTAACAGTTCCAGGATTCCTGAATCCCTTACTCCTTACTCCAGAACCTTCAGAGAGCTGTTTTAGAACATCGTGAGCCTGAAACAGAAGCTGGTGACCTCACTGCACACTGGCTTGGTCAACTCCACTGAGATTCAAGGAGGTGGCTTTTTCTCTTCCTGATTTAGATACCTCTTTTATCTATTGTGAGTTAGAATTAAGTCAGCTAGATGCGTTGGAGCACCTACTATGTGCACAGCTGAAAAAAAACACACTTTCTCATTAACATATGATTTAAAAATGTGCTTTTTGGGTGAATTACCAACCCATTGTACAAAAAAAGCAATGGGATTGTGGGTTACAGTGATGGGAAGTAGATAAAAGGAAATTCTATCAGGTCTTTTGGGAAGCACAGATCTTAAAAATTTGTAGTGGCAACAGGAGTGGGTAGGAGGCAGTATAAATATAAACACATGTGAAGAAAGGCACAGAGTAGAGAATGGGAATGAACATGGTATAAGATAGTGAGGGGCTGTCCTTGCTCATACAGAGGATCAGTGCAAAAAAAAAAAATGGGGTCAGTTTAGTTATGGAGAAGCCTTTAAAAGAGACCAAATAATATGAATTTTATGTATTTGGCAATAGAAAAAATGGTTATGAATTAGTGGAAAATAATTTATTGAAGAAAAAGCATTTTGAATGTATAACAAACAAGATCAGTCTTTAAATTCATTACAGTCTCATTAAAGCATTCCAGCAAGTTCTCTGGTGGAGATTGACAAGCTAATTCTAAAATATTTTGCAAGGGGCACCTGGGTGGCTCAGTTGGTTAAGTGTCTGCCTTTGACTCAAGCCATGATCCTGGGGTTCTGGGATCAGCTCGTGTTGGGCTCCCTGATGAGCAGGCAGTCTGCTATTCCCTCTGGCTCTCCTGCTCACTCTTGCTTGCTCTCTCTCTCTCTCAAATAAATAAATAAAATCTTTTAAAAAATTAAAATATTTTGCAAATGTATAAAAATATATATTGAAAATGAAAAGGGTCAAAAATAGCCAAGACAACTGCAAAGAAAATGAATAAGGCTGAAGGATGTATCCTACCAGAGAGCAACTTACAAAGCAATAGTAATTATGATAGTGTGGTATTGGCACAGATAGCCCAACTGGGTCAATGGAACAGAATTAGAAGCCATAAGCACACAGACACCTACAAAGACACTTGGTTTATGTCAAATATTATACTGTAAAACAATGGATGAAAAATAGTATTTTCAATAAGTCATAGAGGGTCAATTGGATATCCATATTAAAAAAAAAATTAACCCCTGCCTACCCAGGACACAAAAATTAAGTTTGGGTGTATTGTAGATCTAAATGTGAAGGTTAAAAAAAAAAAAGAGTTTTGAAATAGAACTTCTCAAACTATCTGTAGTACTTAATTTTTGAAATTTCTGACCCATCAGACCAGTATTTTAGCAAAATAAAATAAGATACTGCTTGGACATATCAATGTCAAGTTGCTTTAAAAGTTTCTTGACACCTACAGTGTCTTAGTCTTGTCATGAATTGGTAACAAGCATTCTGCAGACTGATACTATTTCATGGGCCATACTTTATTTAAAGTATCTTCTTCGGTAAGATGACATGGGGAAATACATTCATGAGCTTGGGTAGGCAAAGATCTCTTAAATAAGACACCAAACCTGACCCTAACTTTCCCAGTGAAGGAAAATGCTGATATATTAGACTATAATAAAGTTAAGAACTTCATTTTATCAAATGGCAGCAGGAGGGAAGTCATTCCTATTAAGGGACAACCATGTCACAAAGTGGGAGCGGATATTTGCAATACACAGAACCAAAAGGAACACAGACAGTCCTATCCAAAATATAGAAACAACTTTACACATCAATAAGAAAAGGAAAGACTCCAGCAGACAAAAGATTTTTAGCAGGCAGTCCCAAAAGAGGATATCCAGATGGCCAAGAAGCATAGGAAAAAGTGTTCAATCTCAGTAGTCATCAGGGAAATGCAAATTAAAACTACAGTGAGATAGTACTATGAACCCACTAGAGAAGCTTAACTGGGAAAGATCCACAAACCAGGTGACAGTGGAGTACCATATAGCAACAAAAATAACCAGCTCTTTCTACATGCAACATGAGCAACTTTCATCATCATGACAGGGAAGGCAAGAAGCCAGACACAGAACTGTACCTCAGGCATGATTCCATTTTTATGAAGCTCAAAAATAGGCAAAAGTAATCTGTGATGTTTACAGGTTACACCGTGGTGATCTTTGGGAAGGAGGGAGGTCGTAACGGGGAGGGGATCAGAAGGGCTGTGGAGTCCTTGTTCTGTTTCTTGATCTGAGTGGCAGGACATGGGTACATGCAGTTTGTGAAATTTATGGACCTATACACTTAAGAGTCTGTGCACTTCTCTAGATGTATAGAATAACTTCAATATAAATATTTTAAAAATCAATTGAGTATGACACTTGATATTAGGAGAAGAGAAGGTTTTTTTGTTGTTTTGCTTTTTAATATTTGTTGAGAGCCCACTCTGAGGAGGCACTGGGCTTACACTGAACCCACAGTCCTGTGGCAGAGCTGTGAACTCTGTAAGTATGGGTACATTAGAAACTATGAAATATTAGTAAATATGAAGCCTGGTGGGCCCTCATGTGGTCGCACCTGTTTTTTCTACACTTGATCTTAGCCAAAAGGCCTGTTTTTTCTAACACACCATTCAGATCCTAAATAAGAATTTCTCCTGTCAAGATGCCAGTCAAAGAGTAAGTCATAACATACCAAAAGCTGAGAAATAAAAACCATGTATATAATTGTGATGGATGTGAATAAAGAAATCAGCGTGCTATTTGCCTGAAAGAGCTGAAGGTCCTAGAGTGAGTACAGAAGGCGGGAATGTTGTGAGCAGGGAGTATGGATGGTACCAGGGTGGGAAGTGGTGAGACATACAAGTAGGGCAAGGAGTCTGGTTCTTATTTTACAGGCAGTAAGCCACTAAGTATTTTAAAGCAGGGGAGTGAGAAGATCTGATTACCTTTTTAAAAGCTCACTCGGATTGCTTTGTGCAGATTGGATGGGAGAGGCCAGGTAAGCCTGTAAGCAGGAGAGCCGACCAGTAGACCATTAGAGCAATTCAGTAAGAGAGCTGGCTCTGACTTGGGGTGGGGCAGAGGAGACCTACAGGATATGTCGTGGAGGAATTGGTGTTGATTGGATGTGGCGAGTGGAGAGGAGGTGTGAAGAGTGACTCCTAGGTCCTGAGCTTGAACAATGAGAGAGTGTTACCTTTCACTGAGATGAAGACAGAGTGGGAAGCAGGCTTTGTATGTATCGCGCTAGAGATACCCAGGAAACGTGTTTGTTGAATATATAAAGCCTAAAATCTAGGAGAGATGTCTGGGTAAAGGATACACTCCTGTGAATGTTCAGCATTAGAAAGCATTTGAAGCCTCAGCAATGGACAGGAGACACTGAGGAGAGGGTGACATCATAGAAACAGGTGACGGATCTCCCTGGTCTTGTGTCATGTAAGCTTGGGTTAAGGTGTAGTGTTGTGTCAGACTTGGGGAAATTTGGAGTGGGAAAAAATCATGTTGACGAAGAAAGTAGTGAATTCTGTTTTCAACATAGAATCGTAGACTCAGACTGAGCATGCCCCCTCTTCTTGGACTGCAGATGAGCCTAACTGAAAGTCAGAAGGATTAATTAACTTGTTCAAATTCATTTATATTAGGGACACAAATGGTTTTGAAATCGGAAATGTCCTGGCATTCATTCTGGTACTTTCATTTCGGAACTTAGGTTAGTGGGACCCCTATTTGCTGGTTAAATGACTTGCCCGTGAAAAATCTTCACTAATCTCAATGTGAGACTCAGCTAGGGATGTGAATCCTCGGGCCAAAAAAATACATACAGGAGTGTGATTCCACAGTCTTCTCCACAGGCATTGATGGATGAGATTCTCATGCTTCAAGATGAGATCAGTGAGCTCCAGTCATCTCTTGCGGAGGAGCTGGTGTCTGAGTCTCCCGAGTCTGACCCCGCCGAACAGCTGGCCTTGCAATCCACGCTCACTGTCCTAGCCGAACGAATGTCCACCATCAAGATGAAGGCCTCAGGGAAGCGGCAGCTTTTAGAGGTAACAAGTAACTCTGAAGGTGCCCCTCACATCCACCTTCACTCTCCAACTTGTGTTGACAAGCATGCGGGTTATTTACGTGATCTACATTTTTATGTTTCCCACTCAGAAGAAGCTGGTATTGTGTGTGTCTCAAGGAGGGTTTTGTGAATAGAGACTGAGTCGGTATGTAGCCATGAATGTGTCTTTTCACCACTTTCTGACTCATTTCAGCATGAAAAATTGAGAATGTGGAAAGCAAAACTTGGTAGACGTGAGCCTTGTAAAGAATAATTGTGAAAGGTTTGCATAATGGTTTGCTCTGTTTAAATAAGAGCATTTTATGACCAGTATTACTAATACTCTGAAGAATAAATCCTTAGTCACCCTTAGCCAGTTTGAGCACATTAGTTCATGAAAATAATTTTGTAATTCTGTGTTCTCGTTACTTAACTTTAACATTATTTAATAGATAAATTTTAGTGATGATAACATGGGTTACAAAATGAGTTATTTTGCTTTTTCTTTGTTCTCTTAGAATTCCTGGCCCTAAACATATATAATGTTTATATGTTGCGCCTATATATTTGATTAGACTGGAAACCTCTTAAGGACCTTTAGAGTATCTCTCTCCTGGTATCTCCAGGGTCAGGCAGCTTCTCTGGCACATAATCAGTTCTCAACACATTTCTTATTATATGAACTTAAGATTATTTATTTAGCTGCTGGTTATGCCATAATTCAGTTGAACATGGACCTATTATTGTGTGTAGGCTCTTTCCAGCTTTACCTATTATAAGATTAGTCAAATCATATATTCATTTATTTGTTTAGGAGACACTTAAAATCAGTGTGTCAGCTTTATTTAATCTCTATTTTCAACAAGCTTCTCTGACGATTCTAATGTGAACCCAGAAATTTAAAAATAACAATAATAAGTTATTAATGAAATAATTTTTAAAATAAGGCATTTATAGTATTTGTCTTAAGAATTAATTTTCTAATTCATTAATACTGTCCCTAATCATGCTATGAAATCCTGGAGGAGTTTTAAAATGAAGTGATTGGCTTGGATTTTTTTTAATATGAATTATTTACTATCATTGAGAAAACCCAGAGAGGTAACAAAAAATTTGAATTTCTGCCTTCACCCAAGAAACTCGTACCACTGAGCCCCCGCTTCCTGTGGGGGAATCACTTGCCTGAAACTGCATGGTGGTGTTCTGTCCCCACCACTGCTTACACCTTCCCAGACATTGAGGTAAAGTATCTATTGCCATTTACCGTCTTCCGCCATTGTTTTGTTCTAATCCTTGGTCGGTTTCCATTATTTACATTATCTGCCTAGCCCCATAGGCATATTATGCAAGAAGCTTATACTCTGGGTTCACATTAGAATCATCAGAGAAGCATTTTAAAAAATACCAATCTTGAGACTCACTTCCAGAAACTCATTTATCGCTCCAGGTTGTGGCCTAAGCATGGGTATTTATTTTTTATTTTTTATTTTTTTAAGTTTCACAGGTGATTCTGATGCACAACCAGGACTAAGAACCTGGTTCTGTTGTGTTGAATCCTAATGACTTTACCTCATGGTGATCTGTGTTACATTCTACTTAATCCATTAGGAGAAGTTAAATGATCAGCTTGAGGAACAGAGACAGGAACAGGCTCTGCAGAGGTATCGCTGTGAAGCTGACGAGCTGGACCACTGGCTCTTGAGCACTAAGGCTACTCTGGACACCGCACTGGGTACAGCCAAAGAACCTATGGACATGGAGGCCCAGCTGGTGGACTGCCAGGTACAAAAATGGTCTTGAAGGAATATGTCAACATCATGAAGTACATTGTTTAACTACAGAAAACATAATAATAAAAAGACTTGGTACGGATATATGATTTTTCACAATCTGTATATTTTATATGGTTAGAGAGTAGAAAAACAATACCTTATAAAAGATTAAATGATATCCGAAATTGGACTTAGTCTTTTGAAAAAATTTACCAGTGGTATCTACTCTTTAGAAAATCTTCAGCTTCCTAAAGGACATTTTTTAAAGACCATAAATACCAAAAACACTTACGGTATCTCCATTTAGTGGCTAGTAAGAACTACAAACCCAATGAAAAGAATTCGTATCAGTGAATCAGACTGTGGATAAACTGTGTGGATAAACACAGCAGGAGGTGTCTCTAGGTGCTCTGTTGCAATTTTGGTTCTAATTCTGATATATTGTTTGGACAACTTGGAAAAACTGTCAGTTATAGGCAGATAGACTGAACATAGAAGGTTGTCTTTTGGAGCAGAAAAATACTTCCTCTGATGTGAGGTCTCTTGGAATTAATGTAAGGACTAATGATATTAAGGTTTTTATTGTAATATTTTTTATTATATCTTCATTATGGAAAATTGCAAACACATGTATAAGTATAGAGACTAGATAATGACCCATGTACCAGTCACTGAATTTCAATGATTATCAACATAATAGACTTCACATGTGGGTGAAGTTATCTAGAAGCTCTTTCATTTAACAAACTAGCAAGTATCTAGAAAGACTTACTAATCTGCAGGGTTAAGTATCAGTATGCGTAACTTTATATATGTCCTATTTGGAATCAGGAAATATGCAAAAACCATTAATGAACGAACACTGTCTTTTTTCTTAATACGTAGTATGCTATTTTGATCGTTCCTTTTATGATTTGAGACTTATTATAATATTGATCATTATAACTTGGATTTTTAAATTCTCTAGGCAACTTATCTATGTGTATTCAAAGCACTGTTGTTCTCTGCCTGGATGGGAGAGAATAGAGAACCACATGTGAATGTTTTCTGTTTTTTATATCGTCTTTTCTAAAGTTTCCTTGCTGGAAAGAAATGTCTATTTTTTACGTTCCCTGCTAGTGCTTAAAATTAGCACATGTACTAACTAGCATTCCAAAATTATGTTTTAGCATTACTCCCACCTATCCCTTTTGGATGTCTCTATTTTTGTAGCTATGGATAAATTCCACAATTCAGATATATATTTCAGGGTTTTTATGAAGTATTGAAATGGTATTTTGACAACATTTTTAGAAACTAGAAGCATATGGAATCACACAAGTATACAGCAGTTCCTCAGTCAATTCAAATGTAGTATTTAAGCCAGTCGTGTAATTAGGAGTGTGGCTGTTACTAGGGTCTCATTATGAATTTTGGGGCCCTGGGCACTTTGCTTCTATGGGCTTCTTTCTCTATAAAAATACTAAAAATTATATTTTTATTTTATAACTGCTTTGGTACAAAGACTAATATGATCCAGGGTAGATTTATTAATACATATTCATTATTATATTCATTTTTTTCCTTCTGATTTTAGAAGAAATTAAAATTAAGATTTTTATTGGGCCTTGAAAAGTATTATGAGCTCTCAGCACTGTGTCAGCTGTGCCTAATGGAGGAGTCTGTCCGGCACATAATTATATTAGTTTCTCAAAAAATAATCTTCAGGAAATCGTCCATTAAGCCCCATTTCATTAAACATTTCATGCTTCCATTTAGTTCTAGTTTTTTGGTTCCAACATATATTCTTACAAGTTGATGGCAGTTTTCTGATTTAAAATATCTTTTCTCATTAGTAAAATACTTGATTACTTGATTAAATATAAATTGGAGTACATTTCAAAAAGTTTAGAGTTAAGGAATATAAGAACAGAATGATTTCTGCAGAAAATAAAATGATTGTTACTTGTTCAGCTTTGATATTTTTATTTTGTTCTTTTTTAGTTTTTGTTTTAAATCTTACCTTGGAAGAAGGGAGACTAGTTTGCTCCTTCTCTAAACTTAGCCGCTATTTGAGAAGAAAAGGCAGCTCTAGAGAGTTGTCATAGAAAGTGAAAGTAAAATTCTTATGAAAACTTTTAGAAATGGAAGGTTAAAAGTACATTATATAACAAACAAAAAAATTAAAATCAAGAAATAAGGGCAGCAATCAAAAAAAAAAGAAGTATCTTGAAAGAGAGAATCATCTTTAAATTGACAAAGGGTTGATCATATGACATCTTTACTATTATTAGTCATAAGCCTCACAATCTAACACTAAAATGATAAAACAGTCGCAATAATGGGATAATACAAAAGCATGGTCTTTTCTCCTTATCCGTTGGCTATGTGAAATACGCTTTCCGTGTGCTTTTCCAACATGTTTTCCATTATATAACATCTAATCTTAAAAAAGAGAAAAATTAGGAAGCTCAAGGAATTTTTAAAAATCTATAACTACTCTTCAGGTCTGTCAGAAAAGTAGGAAAAAACCCAAAGGCATATTCTTTTGGTGAAAGACTAAGGAAGTGTTGTATTTCGATGTGAGAAAGGATCTTTGCTGAGGCCAGCAAGCTGTGTGAATTTTCATCCTCATTTCTGTTGCTCCAGAACATGCTGGTGGAAATAGAGCAGAAGGTGGTGGCCTTATCAGAACTGTCAGTCCACAATGAAAACCTGCTGCTGGAAGGCAAGGCTCACACCAAGGAGGAGGCTGAGCTGCTGGCCGTAAAGCTGAGAACCCTCAAGGGGAGCCTCCTGGAGCTGCAGAGAGCACTGCATGACAAACAGCTTGACATCCAGGTGAGGGCTCCAGCCACCTGCAGCAAGCCAGTGCTGCAACACTGCTCAATCCTCCTACATTGTTCCGGGCCTTTTCTGTGCCTTGGATCCCTAAAGGAAGAGTTGGGGAATGATACATACTTAAGCACGGATCTGCTTTACACACACTTCGGCATTGATTTTCAAATAGGTTTTGTAAGGACTGTTTGAATCCCTAGACCTGAAGTCTGAGGTGTAGGAAAAGAAAAGAAAATGAAAATAAATACCTACATTTAGCAAATAGACTATTTTAAAAAGTATTTAAACATAGATTAAGATATTCTATAACATTTTAATATTTTTCTTTTATTCTCCTACATTCTGTTTTTCAGATATACTCAGACTTTTTAATTGAAGGCTCATCCTTATATTGTCATATATTCTAGGTGAATGGAGCCTTTTTACTCTCACGTGGTGATCTTAATGTTCCCAAAGTGATTTCTGTTTTATGTCACTGGAGTTTTGGGGGGCTAATATTTGCCTGGTGTATCCTTTAACTTTCCTTTGATTTCACCCTTTCTGTGTCCTTTTGTTTTAGATTTGCTTCTTAAAAAGACATTTGGCTGTACTTTGTCTTAAACATTTAGGTAATCAGAAAATCTCTAACTTTGAAAGGACAGGGTTAGTCCATTTAAGTTTACGGGGATTACTGATCTGTGTAGACTTCTGTTATCTTACTTTTTGTTTTTTTATTTTTGTTCTCCTCTTTCTATTCTTTTTTTTCTCCTTTTTAACCTTTATTTTTAAGTGGTTGAATGCTTTTTCTCCCCAGTATCTACTCTTTACCACTCATACCTAATAAATTCTAAGTTTATTTCTTAATCTTCTTCAAGGTCAATGTAAGAATCTTAGAACACTTTCACCCAGACTTCCCCTCATGCACCTTTCATTCTGATACTGTCCAGTATTTTAATTTTGCTCTTTTTAATCTGTAAAAATTAGAAATTACTATTATTATCCTGTACAACAATTAAGTGAACATTTATTGAGAAGCAACTGTGAGTCAGCTGCTATTTTATATAACTGAGCGAAGGAGCGCGGAAAATAACTGTATTTGTGTCTATATGCCTGTGTTTATACATTCCTGACCTCAAAGGATTATGGTTGGGGGAAACAGTAAATAAAATCAAAACACATTATTATAGATTAAGTTAGGAGATGATAAGAGGCACAGGTGAGATACCATAAGGTGGGTAGATGGGGAAAGGCAGTCTGGGTGGATTTGCAGTTCTAAACAGGGTGACTAAGGAAGCCTCCCTAAGGTTACATTTGAAGGAATGAACCATACAGATATGAAGGAGAGAGTTCTACACCAAGGGGAAAGCAAGTGCAAAGGCCCCCAGGTGGGATCATCCCACCTGGTCTGTTCAAGAAGGCCACTGTAGCTAGAGTGGAGTGAGCAAGGAGAGAGTGGTGTCAGATGAAGCCAGGTACAGGTAACATGGGACATGGTACAATGGATCTTATCAGCATCGTACCCACTTTGGTTTTTACCCTGAGAGAAATAAGAAGACCCCGGAGTATTTGGGAATAGAGGAGTGACGAGATCAGCCTTTATCCACTATAGGGGACCAGGGTGGAAGCTCAGGTGCCGGTTAGAAGACATAATGTGGAGGTTGAGGTGACAAGAACTTCCTAGATTCTGGATAATTGTGAAGGTGAAAACTACCTGAGGAACAGATGTCGGGGGAGAAAGAGTAGTCAGGTCAGCAGTTTAATTTCTGACAGGTGAAGTTTGAGATGCCTATTCAGTGTCCCCTAGTGGCCGGAATTCAGGAGAGAGACCTAGACTGGAGTCATCAGCCTCTAGATGGTCCTTAAGGCATGAGGCTTGATAAGATCCCAAAGGATTGAGGAGAGATGAAGACCAAGGTCCTGGAATCAAGTGCTGGACCACTCCAGTGCTCTGCGTTTGCAAGATGTGGAGGAGGAGCCCACAAAAGAGAGTAAAAGGGAGAAACCAGGGAGGTGAGAGGAGGATAGAGAGTTTGGTTCCTGGCAGCTACTTGCCAGTAAGCGGGACAAGATGAGGACTGGGAGCCGACCGCGACGTGTGGGTCTTTGGTGACCTCAACAGCAGCCCTTCCAGTTGAGTGGAGAAAGCCAAGACAACTCTGAAATGAGAGTGAGGACGAGGGCACGGGCTGGAGAGGAGAGCACCAGTGACCTGGCGGCAGGGAAACGATAAGCTTTAAGAAACGTTTTAAGATCAGAGGAGTAATGGCATGCCTACATGCAGATGGAAACAGCTCGGTAGAAGAAAGAATGATGAAAACGAACCCGACGAAAATTGTGTAGGAGGGAGAAGATAGGGCCCAAAGGGTGGGGTGTGGTCTGAGAACTCCAGTGCCAGGGAGACCCCTTGTCTGTGCCAGATGCTGGCAGGGGGCAGGGTACCAATACTGTGCTGGAAGCTTGATGAACATACACTCTGATTGCCTCTGTTTCCTCAGTGTAATGACAGTTCTTTTCAGACTAAACTACACATTTTCAGTTCTTTTTGCTAATTGTGTAATTATGTGGTCTGGAACATCAAACCTGATCAACAGAAAACTATTAAAAGCAATGGAAAAATTTAGTAAGATGACTGGCTTATTAAAAAAAAAATAAAGTGGAGAATCCAGGGGCACCTGGGTGGCTCAGTTGGTTAAGCATCCGACTCTTGATTTCAGCTCAGCTCATGATCTCAGGGTCCTGGGATGGAGCTCCATGTTGGGCTCCACGCTCAACGGGGAGTCCATTTGAGGATTCTTTCTCTCCCCCCTCCCTCTGCTGGCTCTCTTTCTCCCAAATAAATGAATCTTAAAAAAAAAAAAAAAGGAGAATCCATAATTTTGCCATGTACAAAGAGAAAACAACTTAGAGAAATAATTTTCCACCTGTAATATCAACAAGATAAGAAATATTTGGAATCTCAACAAATAACATTTTAAAACCTGAATAGAAAAAAATGTGAAAAAATGGGCAGATAAACTTTATTCTTAGATAGGAATACAGCATTTTAAAGATGACATTTTTGTCTTTACTAACATATAAGTTTGTTATTTGGAATGTAACACAGCGATATAAAATGTGACAAAATGATTCCAGGTTTACCTGGAATAAAATAAATGTGAAATTAACCATAATTTTCTGAAAGTGAAGAGTTATGAGGGGCTAATTTAATCTTACTATATGTTAAAATACAGTATTACAATAATTAGAATAGTTTAGCACTGGCATAATAAATGGATGAACAAAAAAATTTACAGAATAAATATTCCAGAAAGATACCCCAGTATTTAAGGGAAATTGATTAATGGTTAAAGTAGCATTTCAAATCAGTGGATAAAATAATAATAAAGTAATAGGTGAACCACTTGAAATATGATAAACTAGATTTTCTATCCCATTCTTTACAGAAAAAAAAAAGCATCACAGATGCACCAAATATTTAAACCTAAAAATTTCTGGACATATGGGTATTTGAAAAAAATCTTCGGATGGGAAGGATCTTTGCCGGTATGCCCCCACACAGAATTTTAGTTTCCTTAAAACTACTACACAACAATGAAATAGTTCTGTATGACCAAAAACATAGTAACCAAATGAAAAGACAGACAAATAGGAAAGAAACTGTATAATTCACATGACAAATAATTAATTCCCTTAATTTCCACAAATCTTTTGTAAATCAATATGAAAAGTTCACCTTAATAGAAATATGGACAAAAGATGAGATAATTCAAATGAAGAGACATACAAATGGCCAGTGAACAGTGAGCATGTGAAAAGGTATTTTAATTCACTATTGGTTAAATAAATGCAAATAAAGACAAAATACTGCTTTTTACTTTAAATTTACATACTTTAAAATGTACATGCAATCTGACTTTATGAATTAAAGCAAAAAGAAAAGCGTTAAAAATGTTAAAATTAGGGAGTAAGGAATATAAACTTTTAAAATTTTAGTTAAAAAAATAAAAATATTAAAATTTAACAAAATGAGGATTTTCTAACTATAAAAGTTTACAGTAATTTACTTGGTTTTATAAAAAAAAGTATTATCAACCTAATATATCGTGCTTTTTTTTTTCTTTTCCTAATGATGATATGTGAATGAACCTTGTCTCTAAAGAACCAAATCAAAGGGAGAGACTTTAAGGTTTCACATCTGGAATAGTTATTTAGAAAGCTGCAATTGTTGAACACTACATCAAAAGCAAATGATGTACTTATATGTTGGCTAATTGAACATAATAATAATAATAATAAAATGAAAGCTGTACTTGTGCCCTACCCCTTAGGGCAGGTAGGAAGGGAGGGGGCAACTTGATATGCAGGTGGCACATGTCAGGATTAAAAGGAGGTTTGAGGGGTAGGGGTGAGGGGGTGAAGGCATGAACTCCAAGGCCTCAGGGCCTGGTACGGACATATAAATGAGTGAAGCAGGCCTAGTCTGGACCTTGGCAAGCTGGTCTTATGTCAAGCAGCTGTTCCTCAGCTCCAACTATTGTCATACAAGAATTTACCGGCAGTATTGCTAGATCTTCCAGAGAAGAGACATTTGGATTTATATCTAATAATCTCCCAATTTTAAAACACTGCCATTTGATTCTAAAACCTTAAAATAATTTGTGTGCCCAACAGAGGTCAGACTAGGTTCTTGGACCTTCACTTTGCAACTGCTATCCTAAAGTCTCCCCATCCTGGTGTACCACAAGTCGTTAACTAGGTGACCTGGGGCAAGCTCCTGGAACTTGAGGTCAAGAAATCAGTTTTCGCATCTGTAAAATAGGGATATTAATAGTATTCAACTTTTAAAAATCCTGAGGATCTTAATGCAAGTAATGCTCACAGGAAGTGCTCAAATAGCAATGACTATAATAACAAAACCACCAGCTGTTTGCAAACCACATGCTTTGGGGGGAAAGGAACTCCTGACATGCTGGAAGGTTAGGTTTGAGATTGGGTCAGAGATGGCTGGGCTGAGCTCTTCAATAGTTTGTGGGGCTCACACCCAGCAGATCCTGTCCATGGCCACAGGGATTCTTCAGATTGAGTAAAATCCTGACCCTCCCCACAAGTAGAAGGATTTCCTGAGGATACTGTTGTAAAAATTGTAAATACTGGAAAACATGGAAGCGTTTCACTGAATTTAAATTGATCCTTGTTTATTTTTAAAATATCTATAAATTCCCTCATCTTTTGTCTAATGAGTTTCCAGCATATAAACTATTGATTTTCTTTTTTTATAATTAGAGCTATTTGAAGAGATTATTTTTCCAACTGTACAAATAAAATGAGCCCTGTTTACATTATTAGTACCATAAAAAGGGTCATTTGCCTTCATGTAAAAAAATTCAGAGTTGATCTGAAATTAACTAACTTTGGGGAAAAAAATCTTCCATTGAATGTAGATGTCAGTGAGGTTGTATCCTTCGCTTGGGGTTTGCATGATTCAGGAGAGCTGGAGCCCCTTCCTAAGTCTTGTATGGCCGTTAAGCACACCATTTCTCAGTGCTGCTTGCCTACAAAATGGTCATTATCTATCACGGCCATCTTTTTTAACTAACTGGACTGTATCAAAGAATAACCAATCCCTTTAATCTCCTCCCCCACCCCCAAGAGATTCCTTGTCTTTGTGAAGGAACACAGACATATGGGCACGTAATACCATCTCTTGAATTACATGGTTATCTTTCCTCATAAAAGGTTTAGGTCATTTTCACACATTATCATCCTTTGAAGGAGCAGAGTTTGCCCTATATAAAATAATGAAATGCTTTATAAAGAAATGTTTTATTTCATATTTAGCATTTCCAATCCTCACTAATCTTCCAAAGAATGTTCCTGGCAAAAGTGGTTACTGTTCTAGTATTTCCAAAATAAACAGCTTATGTAGCCCCACCCTCGGGGAACTCTGGGGACCAAAGCTGCCATACTTCCTGTTTCCTAGGTAGGAGAGAAAACTATTATCAGATCTACTAGAATGTAATTACCATCATTCTATTCCTTCAGTCAGTACCTTGTCATCCTCAGGGGAAAGGGAATGAAATTTGAACTGGAGTCTTAATCATTTTTTGTTTCCTGTGGTCCAAGTCTTATGTTTTGAAATGACTGAATCAGTCAAAGAAAAATTTACTAGCTGAAAAATGGAACCTAACCACATAGAAAATACATACTAAACATCTGCTTTTGATGCTACTTAATTTTTGTTTCTCTAAAGCTGTGGATTCAATTAGTGAAATATGACTCCCTTTAGATTTTAAGTCTTAGATTCTGAGTATGTGTCTGTGTGTGTAAAAGTAGTTAAGCTGTTCTTAAGATCTAACATTTCCATTGTTATTTTTCTAAGCACAAATTTGGTGTGAGGAATTTGGGGGGGGGAAGCTCTCAATCGAACAATAGTAACCTGCATAGAAGGGTGAGGTGTGGTGCCCCTGAGAAGTCACCACATGAGTCTCTAGGCTGGGCTCTGAAAACAAACCTTTACTGAAGAGCAAAGCAGAGGGGAAGTGACCAGATCCCGTAAGAAGCAGCAGGTCATGGCCATGGCCACCGTTTTGTCAGCTGGTGCAGCTCTCCCTGGAGACAACTTTCAGCCTTGTACACTGACTTCCTTAGCGTCATTCTCTGCAGGTCCCTTTTGACCTGCTGTCTTAACCTTACCAGAAGAGCCACGATATTTCAGAGTTTATGTTGGGTAGATGGTGCATTCTCAGACGGAGAGAATCTGGTTCATGCAGAAATGTATGGGCTTCAGTGCTGGAGAGTGCCCACTCACCCCATCCCTCTCACCCTGAGGAAAATCACTGCTTATCTGTAAGCAGCATTCCTGGAGCAGTGGGGAACATACTAAACTGAATATCACTAGTCATCCATTGGGAAGGTCCTGTGAAATGCAGATGGCTTACTTTAGACCAGTGGAGTCCCCATTGTTCTATATAAGCCTTATTCTCTTGCTGGGAAGCTGGATCATCTTGAAGGAAAGGAAATAACCTGTGAGCTAAGGTGGCTCCAAATCTGGGAGAGGATTATGCATAATATTACCTCTAGGTTTCACAGTTTCTTTCAGTTCACTGTACTTCAAGCACTGCTACCGATGTGACAAAGTTCATGATCTCCACATTATCTCAGACATTTTGCAATTTAATCGTGAGACTCTAATGAATAAGACAGACGGGTAAATAGACCCCATCTATTTACCTGAAGAGTTAATGCAAAAATCTGAATATAAGAAGAAGAGAAGGGTCTTTGTGGGCAATCAGGCTGGATGATCTGGAGCGGATGGATCCCATTCCATGGTCAGATTTGGCAATGAAGAACCAAAGGACTGGGGAGTAGCAGCTGTGGGGCTAGGGAGCAAGACCCCCTCCTCTGTGGAAGCTCCCTGTAAACTGTCCCTCTTCTCTGCCCCATGGCTTTGCTGCTGCCGCCACTGCGCCCTCTCAGAAGCCCAGGTTCTCTCCCCTCACGGTCTTTGCTCCAGCTGTTGCCTCTGCCTGGAGGGCCCTCCACCTACGTCTGTGCCAGGCTGGTGGTTTCTCATCATTCAGTGCTCAGTGCAGTTTTCTCAAGAGGCTCTCCCTGACCAGCCTAGGAAACCTTCCCCTTCACTTTCTATCCCATTATCTAGTTTTAAGTTCTTTATAGCTCTTATCTCAGCTTATCTTGCTTGTTCATTGTCTGTCTCCCCAGCAGGGCCCCTGTCTGGCTTCTGGGAAGAATATGCCTAGAACAGTGGCTGACACACAGTGCACACTTATTTAATAACTATTTAGTGAATGAGTTATCTTAAGATCGTATTATTTACCTTTTTGACATATATATACATGTGAGTAGAAGGGCTCTCATTCTGAACTAATTCCGTTCTGATATGCAATATCAGAGGGCCTTTCAAATTCCATCAGAATAATCAAGCAGGATGGATAAATCCCTGCCTAGGTAAGGAGTAATTTCTCTTGTCTTTCTCCTTTAGCCAAACATTATCCATGCCAGCAGTGGCAACAGATGACAGTGGGGTCTGGTCTGGATGGTGATAGTAGGGGAAGTGAGATCTAGAGTTATATTCTCATGGAAAAAGTTCTGGAATATCTGGTGACCACATCAGTCAGCTAAAAAAGCCTAGCCTCTAAGTAGACAGTTTTCCCCCTCAAATATTTGAGTATAATCATCTGTTTATTGTTCTCCTTTCTGCAAATACCATAAATTCGATGGGTTTTATGTTACCTTTTTTTTTTTTTTTTTAGTCTGGTTTCATGTCCAAATGGATCTACTTTGGTATTATTATACTGACCACACCAAAGTTGCCTTCACTCCATTTGGTTAAGGATTTTCTGTGGATAGTATGACTCTTGATTTCTGCCTCCTTAAAAGCAGGGCACCGCGCAAGAGAAGGAGGAGAGCCATGCCGACCTAACTTCCAGCCAGAGCCCCGGGGTCCAGGACTGGCTGGCCCAGGCGCGGACCATGTGGACCCACCAGCGACAGAGCAGCCTCCAACAACAAAAAGTAAAGCATTTCTGATCTCTCCGTAGCCTGCAGACCTGCCACACAAACACCTGGAGAGACATGTTTTAGGTGGACAAGTGACTTCTGTACTAAATACAGAGTGTCCCTTTATCTTCTCTTTGGACAGAAATAAGACCTGGCTAACTGCTTCAGTGTACTTTCTTATGACCCCTGGAATGATTGGTCATTTTAAAGTCCTTTCTTTAAGAAAAGCTGGTGTTCAGGTTTACAAATAGCATGACTCAATTATAATCTGCCTTACGAAGGTTACCTACTCTATTTCCAGATTTGCCCCAATTCGAGCCTATTTTAGAGAATAAATAACCTCAGAAAGGCCTTTGAGAATTGGTAAAAAGCCTGAGTTACATGTTTTTAAAAAAACTTTTTAAAAATGCAATTTATTTTTCACTTTTAAGTGAAAATTTTCACCATCACAAGATAAGATTAAAAATTATCACCTAGTGAAACAAATGAGCTTTGATGAATGATTTCTCATTGATACCTTAGCTTTAGAAATGGGGCATATTAAAATATTTCACTTTCTCAAACAGAAAAGACATTTTTCACAAATAGTGAAAAAGTAAAATCAAATCTGTTGATTGTCCAATTTATGAAGCAAGTGGGGAATTCAAGAGAGCTTATCTCAGCTGAAAAGGCAGTATTTTGAGAAGTGAAAGTGCACTGTGTACCACTTGAGGGCACCATTGCCCAGCAGAATTTTTTTTCCATTAAATTTTTTTTTTTCCAAGATTTTTCAGAGATACCTTTTATAAAAGCCAAAGAAAGGTATAGAGTACTGTGGAGACATGACTGCATTTACCTTAACCCACACCTTTTATGTAACATCCAGACTTAGAAACTTACTGCAGGAGGTCTCTGAGAATTTTCTAGACATAAAACCATGATCGTAGGCAATAATCACAAAGTAACACGTTTCCATTTCTGCTTTTCTGTGAGCAGGAGTTGGAACAGGAATTAGCTGAGCAGAAGAGCCTCCTGCGGTCAGTAGCCAGTCGTGGAGAGGAAATTCTCACCCAGCACTCAGCTGCAGAGACCTCTGGTGGTGCTGGGTACGTTTCTAAACACTTTCTCCCAACTTGCCCAGATTTGAAGAAATATAAACATCTCACCTGAAATTTTGTTTTAAACATCTGCAAGAACTTAATCATTTTGTTTTCACTTTATGATATTAAATTTACTTGCATTGTGAACATTTGTTGTGCAGCACAAGGATAGCTAGTAATTATGACGGCTGATGAGTGACTTGTTTGCCCTCTTTCCAGTATGCTGAGCAAATCTGTCCGAAGAAGATGCTTAGTAGTTAATTTTTGAGAATCAAATAAGGAATGCATTCTAAACACATTCCTCTGTGTTTCTGAGTGATTATATCTAACTGCAAAGCATTTTCCCTGCAAAATGAGCTCATCTGTCCCCAACATCACTCAGAAAAATAAATGTATGTGCCCGCTAAATGTCTTGATTTTTCTTGATGATGTCTGTCTATAATTTCTACATGTAAAGTCATTGAGTTTCAAGAACTGGTTTGGAATGGAAACTGAAAGCCTTGTACACAGTGGAGTAAAGTGTTAAAATAAAAAAGAAGGAAGTTAGAGAATTTTCAAGTTGGAGATTCTGACTTAAAAGGCAGGACAGAAAAGGAACCACAGAGCAGGGTTGAAGTATCCCTGTATTTTGAGTCAGGTCTGGGTTTTCTCCATTCCTACACCAGTCACCGTGGAAAAGGAACTCAGCCCTGAGCCTCAGTTTGCTCATCTCTAGGATTACAGAGATAATCGACCACCTCCATCTCAGAACGATTATGAAAGCAGTGGATGCAACTGAGAGGATATGTAGGAAAACTTTAAAATCCAAAACATTAAAAAAAAAAAAGTTTCAGTGAAACCTATGTGCTCATGCATTGTAAAGATTTGATTTAGTAGTATCCTTTGGCCACCGTGGTACAGCAGATAGCGTCAGTTCCACTGAGTGTTGTCAATTCTGAACAATTATTGGAGGAAATAACCAAAGGAGGAAATACATGGTATGGAGATGACTTTTGAAATATTATTTATAGTACCAAATAATAGAAAAGGTGGAAATGCCTGCTAGTATAAAAAATGTAACATGAGAAATGCTGTTCCTTCCACGCCGACTCTGAGTCAAGACCTGACTTCGCTTTTCATTTTATGCCTCCAGTTCTTCTAAAACATTTATTCATCCTTCACAATTTTCTGAATATTTTTGCCAAACTCTATTTTTACAAAGAACCCATTCACCCATTGCCTCCGCATCATATGAGTAGTCACAAAAAGCAGCAGTAGGAATCTTCTGCAACTTTCTTCCCATGATATTTTTCTTTCCTTGGCCTTTAGCTTTGGAAGGACCTAGATGAAAGACAAACCCATTTGCTGTTTCGAATACAAAAATATTTTAAAGAGAAATTCTCAGTGCAATACTGCCTTTCTACACATGAGTCACTTTAAAGAATGCTTTACAAATTTCACAAATTTTTAAATTTTTATACAAAATCTTTAGAAAAGTCACCTGTAAGTCTGTTTGATTACAGTTCAGCCATGCCTTTCAAGCATCTGCGTAAATAAGCCAAACAAAAAACATAAAATAAGCAATATCTAGAAGCCAAAAGAATATATATGTATATATATATATATACATATACATATATATATATATTTAAAAGAACAGAATAACATTGTTAAGGGGAAAAAACCTCGTATTCAGATTTTAACTTGTTAGCTGATTTCTAGGAGTATCAAATATGAAGTAGTTTGTGTAAGAAAACCCCCGCGGGAGGGGCCTAATTTGCTTCAAGGGTACAAATTTAATATATAAAGAATAAGTACCATGTGATGTATAGAAGGGTTGAAGGATAGATAAAGAAACTCAGTTGGACATTAACTAATATAAGCATCAAAGGGAAAGAATATTTTTCATGGGAAACAAAAGGTTTTGTTCTCATTTAAGACTGATTTGCTGCTGACATTTCATATGTGTCAGTGATTAAGTTTATCACCTAGTTTTATACTAAATTGTTATGGAAACATAAATGAATTAAAAATGATGTACTACAGTCCACCATTACAAAGGACATCACAATAAAGAAATTTAATTTCATAAGAACTTTAAAACTTTTTTATTTAAAAAGATTTTTTTGAAAAACACACAGAGAACTCCAGAGACTAACATGACAAACAAAATTAGAGATCCCAACATGATTTTAGCACTTTTTCACTCAATATTACTTTTTAAAACCAATCCATGTTGATACATATAGATCTAGTTCTTTCATTTTAACTGCTTAATTGTATTTTATCTTGTGACAGTAACTTGTTCACCCATTTTTTTGTTGATGGGCATTTACCTTGCTCCCACTTCTTTTTTTGGCTATTACTAGCGTTGTTGACATTAACCTTCTTATGTGTCTCTAAGTGTGCAGGTTGGGGAGATTCTCTAAGTTGTATCCTAGAAGAAGAATATCCTGCATTATAGCCTTATAGATAATTTTTAACAGCTTACTTCAACAGACTTACCTAAAGAAACTATTGTATTCACTACTTCTTCTGAGAAGAATAGACTTCAGGATAGTGTATAGTATTATCCTGCCAATGAACTTGTTATTTTTTTTCTCACTTAAGCAAAAGTTATGTTGAAATATTGATTACAATATAGTATGTCTTTCAGATGACATAGTTCTAGTTAGGTCTTTTTTTTTAAGATTTTATTTATTTGAGAAAGAGAGCACAAACAGGGCGTTGGGGTGGAGGGGGTGGCAGAGGGAGAGGGAGAGGCAGACTCCCCACTGAATAGGGAGCCCTATGTGCCAGGGCCCCACCCCAGGTTAAGCAGATGCTTAACGGACTGAACCACCCAGGCGCCCCTCTAGTTAGGTCTTTAAAACTCCTGACAAACTAGGATCTATTGGAACTTGGGTTCCCCAGACTCTTATCATTAGGCCCCATTTATCAAGTGGCTGTTATGTTCCTGGTAGGGTTCCGGGCATTGTGGCTATCTTCTCTAAATTCTTACACTTCTGCAAGATAGAGACTATCTTCATCATGAAGATGAGATAATTGAGGATCAGAGAATTGAAGCAAATTACTCAAAGTCACAAATCTAATATGCTGGAGAAGAGCTTCTAACCCAGATCTGTCTCACCTGTGAGGCCATAGTCTTTGATGCCACCCTGCTGCCTTAATAAGGATGATACTCAGTGCCTTCCACCCTCTGTACTTCTGTTCCATGTCCTGAAACCTTGTCTGTAGCATTTTCTTTGGACTCAGGATAGAAGCTCTCAGTAGACTAAGTGGCATTTTTAGGGTTTTTTAATTATTCTGTGGGCTGTTTGTCTAAGGACCCTAGTCTAATTGTATACTTTACGATTCTAAATGTAACAATTATTTTGTATCTTTAATACTGAGATATCTTTAATGAATTGTTAAATTGTTATTGTGCTCATAGTTCAGTTATAGAATAAGTTAAGAATATATTTGTTTATGGTTAGTCTCAAATTTTCTATTTTAATTGATAGTTCTAAAGTGTAGCTAATGACTAAAATAATCTAGTTCCAATTTTAGAGGCCAGATCTAGTATATACAGTAAGTTACCTAGAACTTAATGCCTTTTTGTACACATTGTAAACTTAGATTATTTATTCTTCTAATAGCGAAAAACCTGATGTGTTATCCCAGGAGTTGGGGATGGAAGGGGAGAAATCAGCTGCTGAAGACCAGATGAGAATGAAATGGGAAAGCCTACATCAAGAATTTAGTACCAAGCAGAAGCTACTACAGAATGTTCTGGAACAGGAACAAGAGCAAGTGGTATCCAAGCATTTTGATTTTATATACTAACTAATATAAAAGATGTATAACTTATGCTAATGGAATATAACTGTGCAGTAATCTATAATTTCATTATCAATTCTAAAATAAGATAAAAGAAGTTATTCATCTTATATGTTTCTTAACAAGCACATTTCATGTTTCCCTTAATAATTATATATTTATATGTGCAAATTTATTTGATTTCTAGATACTCTTTTCCTCAGAGATGATTAATAACTGATGGCTCATTAGCATAATCCATTAAATTAGCGGCCCTCCTTTTTTTTCACAACCTCTAAAATTAAGGTTGCAAGTCAAGAATATACACATCTAGGACAAGAGAAACGCAACAAATTTGGTTACTTTCTGGAAGTAAATTGTCAAGTTAATCTTATTTTCCATTGCTATTTCCAGTATTTAATAGTTTCAGAAGATCTTAATGAGAAACATGTTGGGACCTCAGTGGATCTAAAAGGAAGGGGAAGCCAGTGGTCAGCTAGAATGGTTACTGGCCCATCTGTAGGCTTGTTCCCTAGATGGAACAAGTACTGTGTGAGATTGGACCTGTTTCCACAAAGCAAGCCAAATCCAGTGGAATTGAATATAGCAGCAGAAGGTTCCAGGTAGATAATAACTATTAGTTCACTGTAAGCAGAAGCCAGAGAACATTTGTGAGTCAGAGGAATCGACCCCGCAGAGTGCTAGTGCATGAGGTGGGAGCCCAGGGAGGCCTGCGATGTTTACCACACCTGTGGCCCAGCTGGATTTTGAAGATAGAAGCCTAGTCCTGGGACCTGGGCCCACAGTGCTCATCTGGGCCATTCTGTGACAGTCATATTATCAGAGGTTCTTTACTGTGGATCTGAGGAAGCTGCTGTTCTCACTGATCTGACTAGGACTAGTTTCAGGGCTGGGAGAAGCTGTACCCAGAAGTGAAAGGCTATCAGTAACTGGAGTGCATCTGAGGAGGGAAAGGTAGGAGCCGACAAAGCAGGCACTATAAGCAGATACAGCTTGCCAGGACTACCTGAAAAGGAGACAGTCTGAAGGTCACAATGTGTCCCCTTATCTGTCGGGGAGCCATGCATCAGTGCTCCGGAGTCAGGCCTGTCTGTCTCTTTTTACAGACTTGTGTCACACCACCCTGTCTCACTCCTCTGCTGCTCTGACCAGGAGCCTTCTTTGTCACCGTCCACATGAACAGTCACCAGCAGTGGCCCTGGGCAGCATAGAGCACTCCATTCTTGGAGGTCATTGTCCCAGAATCCTTTTCCACCCTGGCAAGTGGTGCCTTAAAGCTTTCTCATGGACCTTCTGCCTGTTTGAATTAATCCTTCTTCACATCCCTGATCAAACATTTCTCAGACTCCTAGCCTGAAGTCTTGATTTCTGATGTGGATCTCCTGGACTTGACCACTAGCTTACCTTCATGTTCTGGTATTCCCCATTCCTTCGACTATAGGGGATATTTACAGCCCTAAAAAAGAAACTGCAGTCTTCTCTGACTAGCCTAAGTCAGATAATCCAAAGCATTTCTAGTAATATTCATGTTTACTTACTATTCTCTATTCATTAAGTGCCCATCCCTGGATTCCACCTGTTGTCCATCCAGCCTAAAGCATCTGCATGGTTCATCCAGCATTGAGACTTCCTGGGTGTGTCTCATCCATGACCCACTCTTGTCTCAGAGAGCTATGTTTTCTGTCAGCGCTGTGCTATCACCCTGACGTCCTCTATGTGAGCCTACCATAACAGCCCTGCCTGCTGCCACTGACATTCCCCCATGACCCCTGGACTGTTGTTAAAGTTTAGGTTCAGGTCCATATCTCATTGCCCTTTGGAATTGGAAATGGAACGCATTGAATGTTCTTTATTTTTTTATGGCCTTTTTTTGCATTTGAGTGCTTTCTTTCCATAATCACTGGTCATTTGTACAAAGTGCCTCTGAGGTGGGTTTCTTCTCTTTGGTGTGAAGAGGTGAGAAAAGGTGAGGAAGAAGCAATTTGGCCATGAGAGTTTCCAAGAAGAAAGGGGATGATCATTTAGTGAACATATTTTGTGTTCTAGGTGTTATTTCTAACAACACTGTGGTGAGAGTGACATTTCTCTACTTTGTAGATCTATAAACTAAGGCTTGGAAAGATTAGATGATTTCTCAGGGTCTTGTGACTAGGAAGAGGCAGAGCTGGGATTTGGACGCAGGTCTGTCCAACTCCAGAGTCCCTCCTTTTTCATACTACCTCACTGACAGTTTTATATACTGGATTCGTTAACTGTCTCAAGTATAAAAACAGGCACTTTTTTTGGCCTAACGTTCACTAGGTCACCTAGCCTGAGGATGAGGAGCCATATATGGATGGCTCCTACTCCTAGGAACCTGTAACCCAACCAAGGAAATATTTTATACATTTCTAAGAAATTAGGCAACCATGGTAGGCTCTGTAAGCAGGAATTTAAAAAGCAGCAGAAATAAAAAAAAAAGTAGAAAGCCATTGTAGTAGGTGTGGAATTTAAGGAAGTGGATTTTAAAGAGGTGCTGTGTGGTGGGTGTTCTAGCTACGGTGGGAAATGAGTCGGGCATGTTTAGAGGATAATAAGTAATCAGCCTGAAAGGCAAGGTGAGAATGAGACATTCTATAAATTATAGGAACTGAGTTTGATTGGAAACATCATTCAAAAGTTTGAGGGCTAAGCAATATCATGGGCCTTATCAGGCACTGTGTGGGCCTACAAGAGTGTAGGGGAAGTTGAGTAAATGAAGATTTACAGATACCATCCGGTATCTAGGATGGATGATTTCATCATGGGTAGCCTAAAACCAAGAATACAAGTTGAGAGGAAGGCTGTGATGGATTTCAGGCATTTTTCCCACCACTTTTTTTTTTTTTTTAAGTCCATCAGTGGAAATATTACCATTGCTGAATTTGGTCATCATGTTTAGCAGATATGTCAAAGAGGTCATATTTCTCCAAAAGAGGTTTTTAAAAAGACAGTTTTTCCAGCATCTGCTTCAGTGTGCAATTCTAAATGATGAAACCTGAACATAGTACATATACTCTTAAATAAATGCCCCTGTTTGCCTACAGCTATACAGCAGGCCGAATCGGCTCCTGTCTGGTGTACCACTATACAAAGGGGATGGGCAGACCCAAGACAAATCTGCGGTGACATCTTTGCTAGACGGATTGAACCAGGCCTTTGAGGAGGTTTCATCCCAGGTAGGGCTGCACTTTTGGCTTGCTCATGGATCTTGGTCTCCATGAAGTTGTTCCACCTCTGGGCATGAAGGGTCAAGACCCAACACTAGTGATTAGTCCTGACACGCAGAGCCACCGGACCCTGACATCTCATCCTGGTATTTTTCTTTGATTCCTCAAAGTGCTATAATTATTCTATGTCCCCCGCCTTTTTCTCAGGGTGGGGGTACAAAGAGGCAGAACATTCACTTGGAACAGAAGTTATATGATGGGGTCTCAGCTACCTCTACGTGGTTGGATGATGTTGAAGAACGTTTATTTGTTGCCACAGCACTTTTACCAGAAGAAACAGAAGCTTGCCTCTTCAACCAAGAGGTAAGTTTGGTAACTGGTGGCTGTGAGTATGTGATATTACAAAGCACTTGAAATTTTGGTGTTGGATAATTAATATATAAGGAAGGTCAAATAAACAGTTCTAATAAAGAACAAATTAGGTATATTTCTAAGCTGCATAATACAAAAGAGAGCTGTCTAAAATAAAAAACTCCCAGAGATACTCATGTTTTGCATTTTTATTCTCTATCTTGTGTATGTAGGAGGAAGAAAAAAATGGAGGAATCTTTGTAGAAGTTTGTGTATTGCAAATTTTCTACCTATGAAACACAGGCTAAAAATTAGTGTATGAGTTTCTAAATAGCGCTTTACAAATCTTACCTTTCACCAAATACATATTATAATTAGCTGATGATGTAAAATTTCTGAGAAAAATCTCTCCAGCAGCAACTTGCCTAATATTTATAGAATTGGAAGTGGGTCAACTTGCCTTAGATGTAGTTACCACTGAATAGTAAGAGAGATATGGTGGACTTTCTCTGAGGAAATGATTTGATGTGTATATAGATTCATAGATCTAAGCATTGAAATGTGCTTTCTCTTTTATCAACCCTAGACTCTTGCCAAAGATATTAAGGAAATGTCTGAAGAAATGGATAAGAATAGGAACTTATTTTCCCAAGCATTTCCAGAGAATGGTGATAACCGAGATGTCATTGAAGACACTTTGGGTTGTCTTTTGGGCAGGTTGTCCTTGCTAGACTCAGTAGTAAATCAACGCTGTCATCAGATGAAGGAAAGACTTCAGCAAATACTAAATTTCCAGGTAAGACATCATCAAGAGATGGTTGACCATTCTCTAGCTATATTCAGTAATAAGCAGGTTGTCTTATTGAGGTATGACATAGACCTATTTTTTTTTTCAAATGTACAATGAAGAGCAAGAACATTACAGAAAAAGAAGGGAATAGAACCCTAGGATGAGGAAACTAAGAGGTTTATGTTCTAGAAATGGAGGGTTGAGAAAACCAACCAAGCAAACAAAGGGCTGAATAGAACTTTAAATTCAACCAATAAATCGTATGACTATAATTATAATTTTCACTTGACGATTGGAATTTAAAACATATGACCAAAGAAATACGAAGAAAATGCCGCAGTACAGAACCCTAGACTCCAATGCCCAGGGGCCATTGAAAGTAACTATGGCCTACTTCTGCCTGCATTAAAAATGTACACGATTGGGGTGCCTGGGTGGCTCAGTTGGTTAAGCATCTGGCTTTTGATTTCAGCTCAGGTTATGGTATCAGGGTCGTGAGATTGAGCCCCACTTTGGGCTCCATACTCAGTACAGAGTCTACTTGGGATTCTCTCTCTCCCCCTGCTCCCCCATTCACTCTCTCTCTCTATAAATAAATAAAAAAATAAAATAAATAAAATCTTTAAAAAAAAATTTACGGCATTACTTCCCAATCTTAACTCCTCAGATTTATTGCCTTTAAGCCCTAGACTAGAGTTCTGTTGCCAGCTGAATAATTGTCTGCTTATGAAACTTTTCCTTTGACTATAAACTTCATCAAATGCAAAAGCCACTGATAAACTTTGAGTTGATTTCCATTCCTAATAAAAAGCATCTTTTGGGAATACTTAGGTTTTAATTGAGATTTATTTATTTATTTATTTATTTATTTATTTATTTATTTGATTTAGAGGAGAGAGAGAGAGATGGGGGGAGGGGCAGAGTGAGAGGGAGAGAGAGAATCTTAAGCAGGCTCCATGCCCAGCACAGAGACTGTTGGGGGTCTCAGTCTCACGACCTGAGATCATTACCTGAGCTGAAATCAAGAGTCAGACGCTTAACCAACTGAGCCATCCAGGAGCTCCTAATTGAGTTTTATTTTTAACAAACATACAAGATTTGTAAAATAGATACATGTAATTAGGGCCAAGAGTTTGATATAAAATTTTGATTTGTAAAAAATACTGTTAAAATGTCAAATGTAGCATCAGCCAAGAAACATGGAATTTTCTAGGTATTCATCTAGAGGAACAAATCACCACTGCCTTTCAGTGATTTGTACTCTTAAAACTACAAAGTAAAATTATGAGAACAATTTGTGTATCATTTTTTTATTCACAAAGAATTTTCACCTATATTATTGTCTTTAATCTTCACGACATACCTCTGATACAGTCTCTAAAACCAACCCTCCTGGGTTCAAATTCTGGCTTTGTCCCCTACTGCTATATACCCTTAGCTGCTTCTCTAAGGCTTAGTGTGCTCGACTGTTAGGTAACACCCATCCTATGGTCTCCTGGGGTTTTGTGAGGATAAAATTAGTTAAAATGTGTAAAATAGTTTTTTTAAATGTGTAAAATAGTTTGAACAGTGTCTGAAACATAGTAAATATTCAGTAAGTTTTGTTATTGTTGTTACTATTAATAGCAGTATTCATTATAACACATATAGAATCTGAAACCAATATAAAGGTTAAATTACTTCTCTAAGATTATTCAACCATCAAGAACTAGAGCGAGGATTTGACGCAAAGAATATTTTTATATTTTATATCATTAGGGTGCTAACAGGGGAGATGGAGAATAATAGACCTCTTCAAGATGTATTTTGAAAGCAGAATCAACAGGAGCACATTTGTGTATGGGTTAGATATGGGGAATGAGAGAAAAGGGCACTGCTGAGGAAGTCCAGGGACTCGGGCTGACAGGACTGGTGCAGAGCAGTTCCATTGTTCAATGGGCATGGCTGGACAAAGATATGCTATAGAATTAAGATACTCAGGTGAATAGTCACAGTAGACATTTGGGTATGCAAGACTCTGGCTTCAAGGAATGACCTGGACCAGATATTTGCATTTGTATAGGTTATGTTGTATAGTTCGTAGAGAGGAAAGCACATTTCACTTGGAATCAGAAAAACTGGGGCTGCTTATTTGGGTATATTGTTTTGGATGCAAGATCTGATTGCATGTCCATAGATACAATATCTGTCTAAAATCAGCAAAACTGTTGTGCAACTTATGGAAACTTCTTTCTTTACTCTAAAATGCACCTTGCATAAAATAATGCACTGAGTTTTAACAGCATTCTGGTCGGTCTATCAGCCACGAATGAGGGGGGTTAAAAGTACAAATGTGTGTATCACTTGGAAGTCTATTTCCCTTTACACGTTTCATTTACCATGCTAGTGTCTTCAGTACTTTAAAAATTTTTATTAGTAATTATAGCCAGTCAGAGTAAAATATGAACTAAGCGTGAAGACTCTGGAACTGATTTTCTGTAGAGGCCAAGAGAAGAACATACAATCATGAAATTCTCTTTAAATCATCTTCTCTATTTTTCTTCTGCCAACAAGTTTCTACTTGTTGGCCAGCTCACGAACAACAACTGACATTTCAAAATGTTTGTGTTCCAATTTAATTGAAAGAAATAGTTCCAATGTTAATATAATTAAAGGTCAAGTCACAAACCATTTTATTTTACTTTGCACCAAGCACCCGGTATGCTCTCCGTGCTCAGTAGTTAATGGGACGGTATGCCTTTGTTTTCCATTTAACTTTTGAGTATTAGCTTTTGCCAGACTGTTAACTTTACCCTATACCCAATGGACAATCTGGAAGAACGTGTTGATGTTATGTAAATGTATATTATCTCCATGGAATCACAACAAGTTAATCATCGATTACTCTATTAAAAAGGTTTTTACCTATAGACTTAACCCCAAATAAATTTACTGGACATTTTTATAATCGAGTATTTTAAGTTATTTAAAAACTAAAAAAAATGAAAGAATTCTTTATTAAATGAGTGAGCCAGCACAGATGATTTGAAAACTTGAAACCTTTTATGTACCTGTTTCTCAAAAAGCAAGAATCCTGCCTCGTTATGTCCTACAAGCAATGCCAGTGACCATACAATAAAACTTGCAATTTCTAATATGTGTGTAATATAGAGACGCCTTAATTATCCTGCTGTGTCACATGTGTAGTAACAAAAAACAGTTATAGCCTTTGGATTTTCGTTTTTAAGAAAATACCAATATCCATGGGGTGCCTGGGTGGCTCAGTCTGTTAAATGTCTGACTTCAGCTCAGGTCATGATCTCGGGATCCTGAATCAAGCCCCACTTCAGGCTCCCTGCTCAGTGGGGAATCTGCTTGTCCCTCTCCCTCTGCCCCTCCCCCATTCGTGCTTGCACACATGAGTGTCTGCTCTCTTATTCTCTCTGTCTCTCAAATAAATATATAAAATCTTTTTTTAAAAAGTTTTAAAAAAGTACCAACTTCCATATGGTTAATAACACCCCTTAAAGTCTCTTATTAATTTTTAAATCAATCGTATTCTTGGCTTTAGTGTCTTCTTGGCTGGACCCTTCCAATAATTAGTGAGGCCTCCAGAAATGTGAACTCTATTTTCTATTACCTTGAGTAGAAGATAATTAAGAAAGAAAATGTTATTAAAAATATAAAGATGATGAACAGGAAATATATCTGTAATCTTCATTTTTTTCTTTCTTTTTTTAGTTTATTTAAGTGATCTCTATACCCAACGTGGGGCTCAAACTCATGACCCTGAGATCAGGAGTAACATGCTCTTCCAACTGAGCCAGCCAGGCGTCCCCATAATCTTCATTTCCTAACCCATGATGTATTATTTAGACTTACCTACTCATTTAGAATAACTGAATTAATGTTGTTCTAAATATATGTCTCTAATAGAGACTTTTTCTTTTGAATCTGTTCAAATGAATGGGAAACATCTTTTTCTAGGCATTCAAACAGATAAATATGTCATCGTTCTAATGGCCCACATGGCCTCACTCTGAGCACAGTTGAATAATACAAACATTGCTATAATTCATAAGCAAAAACCTTGCTTCTGGCATCATTTTTTCCAGGACTGTTATAACAATTTCCTGGTGAATCCACAACGAGGCTTGCAGACTGGTTTGGATTTTGGTTAGTGACAGTTATTGCCTTTTTGGATAGTATGCTTTTCTCTAATGTTCATGTGCAATTTTTTTCTTTTTCCTTTTTTTTATTTTAGTGCATAATCCACTCACTGTTTTGTTTTCTAGCTTTGCATTTTGTGTTATAAGGCTGGCACACATCCTAAAGATGTTTTTTTATTCCTTGGTGTGATTATCCTTTTCCTTGTAGACAGATTTTTGCATCTTGAGGAAGTGTCCTTGTATATATATCATCAGCCCCTAACAAAGAGGATGTGATGAGTCAAACTTCAGCCTCTGCTGAACAACCAGCCCATCATATATGTTTGCTGACATTTTAGAAGGAAAAACTAGGAATTATATCATTCAAATTTTACCCCAGTTAATTATTTCCTATAGAACTGAGGACCAAAATTCTGATAGTTGACTTTTTTTGGATGAATATAACTTAATATAAATATATTTGGACTTTTAAGTGAGTAATCTTTATGAACAAAGTTTTTGCTAAGGTCTTTTTGTGTTGTCTCTTCATATGTCTTGGTCATCATGGATAAAATTTATTTTCTACACTTCTGCATGGCTTTTTGTAAACTTGGGCAAATTCTCTGAAAATAGGAGAAAAAGAAGTGTGAGAGAGAGGGAATGAGGGGAGAGAGGAATTATATAAAGGAATTATATTCTTCTTAATCACATTTTTTCATCAAATTTAAGATGTAGTTTTAAATAAAGTTTGGACTTATCTGTAAAGTAAAAAATATAAAATAACTTGAAATAAAATAAAAGAATCATATTTTTCCCCAAATAAGGGCAGCAGCTATAGGTTGTTTCACTAAATAGAAGCCATTAGTGTAATATTTCCACTGCAGTATTTAAATGTGCACATTTATTTCAAACATATCCAGGGTGACTAGTATTTGCTTTTTATTTGTATACTTCATCACCATTTGTATTGTGTTGGAAATGCTTTGTGTAACAAATTCTTCAAAAGTCAATTTTAACACTTAAATTGTCACCACTTCCTTTCTCCTTCCCCCAGGACAGTATTGTTTCTTCTGGACGTTAAATTCCTACATCAATATATTATTTCTAAGAATGTGTGTTATATTTACAACCAATTTGAATTCCCTGTTACACGTATTAAGTCTTCCTATTGCTTTCCTCTTTAGAATGATCTGAAGGTGCTGTGTACATCACTGGCTGACAACAAATACATCATTCTGCAGAAACTGGCAAATGTGTTTGAACAGCCTGTGGCAGAGCAAATAGAGGTATTTATGGCCACCTTTTTCCAGAAGAGCAAATGCATACATAGAGTAGATCTGATTTGGTAGGAGATTTCAGATATTCTATAAAAGATTAATGGCTTACTATTATAGCATTTTTGCTTGTCATACATTTTGTCTTTAAGTGCCAGGTTTGAGTGATGGGCCAGGTGACATGGAATCTGTCACTTTCTACTGAATGGAACTAGGAAATAGGAGATAGGTAAAGGTGTCAGTGGCAGATGATGACCTGAAGAAGTTTGTCACCTAACACTGAGATTAGATAGGAGCCTCAGTGACACAGGACAGTCAGACTGTCCTGGGCAATACAGATAAAGCACTATGGACGTTCAGAAGAGGGGCCAACTGCCTCCAGCAGAGGTAGGATCCAGGGAAATTTTGTAAAGGAAAATTGGAACCGGACTGAGAAGTTTGGACACACAGAGACTGGGAAGAAAGATATCCAAGTCAAGAGGACAGCATGAACAAAGGCATAAATGGCAGACAATTCAGGGCATTTCTGGAGAAAAGCAAGTTATCCTTAGATAAGACAGGAAGTATATCTACAAATATATCTTAGAAAAGCAAGTTATCCTTATTCAGCTAAATGCTGAATTTATGATGAATGAAAACAACTGAGGGGAAGTAAGTTTGGATGAGTACATTTGAGGCAACTTGGAGGGCCTTTTGAATGTCAGAAAAATTTGGACTTTATTTTACAAACCAGTGGTCTCTAAACTTTACTGATGGCATACCTCATTAGTTTAAAAATAAGCACACACCACAAGTATATGAATCATAAGCAGGTGCTGTGTTATAAAGCATATACACAAATGAAAATTCAGAAGAATGTGGTTGAACATAGAGGAAAGATGTAGTGTTTCATCCTCACAAATCATCTTATATACTCGGGTCCTTGCACTCACCTTGGAGACCACTGGCAGTGCAGAGTCACTGGGGAGGTTTGAAGGTGAGAATGAGTGTCCGTGCCAGGCCCTTCTTCTGGATGGTGGACCTGACCACGCCAGGTCAGGAAGTAGGCAGCTTCACGTAGCTGCACTGAGGAGAAGGAATGAGAATTCTAACTCGAGTGATGTCACTGAATTCTAACTCGAGTGATGTC